GTTCTGGCCTAAAGGTGATCATTATCTAGGTTATTGGAAAGATGACAGTAGACATGGAGTAGGGAAATTCACTTTTGCTAATGGTACTGTTCAACAAGGTACATGGAACGATGATACTTTTGTAAATTAAACATAATGTTGTTATGAAAAGTCCTTTTTTACTGTAAATGTAATTCCATAGATTAATAGATCAGTATCAATGTTTAAATAGTTTAATTAAACTAGAGAATAGATTCCATATCATGCTAACACCTTTGACTTTGATCATCTTACAGACGTCACCGTTTGGTTTATCAATAGCAACTATATGTAACTATGTATCATCAAAAGCAACCCACTCGTACACCTACATGCACCATCTCTCTTCATTGAGGTACTATTACTTTAGAAGTAGTTTTCAAGTTTATGAGCGTGGTATTGCAAATTTATCACTAATAGCAAATGCACATGTTTTCGTTTCATTCGGACAATATGTGAATGCAAATATAATCAGTTTGTTCGCGTCACGAAAGTACGAAGAAATGTAACTAGAATAACAACATCTTATTAAAGTGTGTGATAAAAAAAGATTTCATCAAGAGCTGTAGCCTGCTCATAAACTTAAAAAAGATTTATAAAACACTGATAAAATGAAGAAAGAACATTCTTTTATTGCATACGATTTGATTTTTCACTCCGTAAAAATCTTTTTACAACGTCTTTCTTTTTTTAATAATTGCTAGGACTTGGACGATCACGAACTCATCCACCTGATTATACAGTTGAAAGCTTCAGAGCAAGTGTGAAGAAAATATCGATTAGAGCTGAAAGCGACACTGTGGATACAATCATGTCTGTTAGAAACCAAGACGATATTTAGCGAGCAGAAGCAACAAATTTGAAGAGTAGAGGTTTGCGTTTTCTCCTGAACTTCAAATATTTAATGGTGAGAGATGTACATCACTGATTTTCTTTAGAACAAAAAAAAAGAAATGGGTGATTTTGGTGCCGTCATAACTCCTACAACTGATCAGCATGATGTCAACAAAACTCATCCTACTGATGAGGTACATCCGCAACCATTAATATGGTGTTTTTGGATAATTTTCTTAATTCTCGTTCCACTATCATCCGTCATTCTGATTGGATTTGCTTTGTTTGACGACAGCATAACAGCATTTAATGGAAATGGTCGGGTCGCTGATCTTCTAATGATGGTTAGCTACATCGTAGCCATCTACGGCATTGTGAGAATCATACTTACCACCGCAAGTAGCATCTCTGTCCAACAAATCACTTCGACTCATACGAAGAACCATTCCAATATTGTACTGGCATTTATTTTCATTCTTGGCGTCGGTGATACGTTGTTTATAATGACCAGATTTGGTGATCAACTAATCATGATTCTCAATCACAACTACTTTCCTGGTTTAGAATGTTCGCCTAATCTTGCTGTGTCAATGATTGCAAATTTCTTGAAAAGCTTATGCCAATTGTGCATCTTAATGTTTATTCTTCATCAATTAAATCATTCCATCAAATTCAAAAAACACGGATCGAAAATATTCCTAACTTGTCTATCCATATTTTCCTTGATTCAATGGGCACAAATACTTCTGCAAGAAGTGCACTACCACAAAAATGTACCTGATTCGTGTGATTTGTCCACGACTCAAAGCCTGCAGCGTTTTGATCAAATCACACCATATCTTTATCCGTTGGGTTTAGAATATCGATTTGCTTGCTTTCTTGAACTGTTAATCATGTCTGAATGTTTGGGAACCAGTAAAAACAATATTATCTTAAAGTTTTACTTTTGGTTCAATAAGAAGATCGCTTGCAAGGTTTGTATGGCCAATACAAAAATAGTATCGGTCAGCGGATGTTTGAGAAAGGCGCTTTCATGTTTTGGCACTTGCTTCAGGAAGATCAAACGTCCGTTAGGCAAAAACGATATCTTATTTCCGGCGATTTTACTTCCTGCCATCGGAACTCTCCTAGTTAGCCTTTCAATAATCATCGTGTTGTTTCAAGAAGTCAATACTGATGATCAGCATCGCCGAAGTTCTCTTGTTCATTCGGAAAAAAACAGTCTATTAACATTGATTAGTGAGATCTGTGAAATTATTCTCTTAGTCATCATTTCCTTCTATTCAGTTTATTCATTGGACAAGTTATGTAAAAAACAACATGAAGTCGACCATGTCTCGCATGTTGGACCAATAAATATGGAATTCATCGTTGACTTTGCCATTCTACTCATATCGAACCTTTTCTTGCACATATACTGCCTCGTTACTTTAGTTGGTTCAGTCATATCCGATGCAGACGATCGATTAACGGAATTCATACGCTGGTTGACATTCACGGCTTCCGTTATACCAATTATTCAAACGATACTTCAGCTGATGATCATCTGGAAAGTTCGTAGATACAATGGTTTGCTTCACAAAGGTATCAATCAGATGTGGATTATGTTAGGTTTTGCTATATGGCTATTCGATACCTTTAGTGCGAAAGCCTATGATACGAATGAAATTCAAATTAGTGTTTATAGTGGAAGCTGGGATATTCTAGCCGCTCTTTTCGTACCGATGTCGCTGTTTTTTCGATTTCACAGCTGTATTATGTTCGCTAATATCAAAGATGGAATGTACTGGGATGAACAAGATGAATCTCTGGTGTAGCAGACATATGAACTCGTGCGAATATCTAAAAACATCGATTTTGATGTAACGCTTGACGAAAATATTTTAACTGAATAAACAAAATCGTATAATTCTTGCTTTTTTCCTTTTTCGTTAGTATCAACGCAGCTGGAGAGACGAATGAAAGTAGACTGAATCAAACATACAATGCAGAATTAAATATACTTTTACACTTTGTATTCGATATAATAGGAGAAAAAAAAGCACTCATTCATTTGATTGTCGTTCAGGCATGCATTTTCCCCACAATGTACTTTTTTCTTACTTACTTTTGAATGATCTGGCGCTCTATTTTGTGTACGGTCTACATTTTGACTGTTTATACTCGAAATAAAACGAGAATAACGCATTACGATCCGTTGCATCTCCTCATCGTCAACGATTTGTTTCGTCAAATGGAGACGAAGAAAAGCAAATCATTGTTTCTCTCACCGTATCCAAATCACCTGCTAGATCTGACAAGATTCGATAAGTCAGCTCAAGAAGTGGCTGTTGTGCTGCAAAACTTACGACCCAATGAGAGTTATTCGAATCTGCCCTACGAACAAGCATTCAACTGGCCGGATACATTTTCCAATTTGTTAAGTGACTTTGAAGCTGCAGACTTTTACGTGGTTCGCTACTCCGAGTGCCGATAGGCGAAATTTAGCGACTTGTGTATGGACAGGGAGAGATTGTGCACTAAAAGCTTATGAATTACCAGAATATGCGAAAGCATTGATGATCGTCTGTAATGCAGTTTACGAACAGTGGATCATAGAACAATTTAATTTGAGTATAAAAGATTATAATCACTGGATATTGAATTTGTAAAATGTATTGATAATCGATCGTTATGTTGCAAATCAGGCTGTATCTTGTACAATTCGTATCTGTCTAATACGTTTTCTATAGAATAAATAAAATACTGAACTTAATTTCTCGGAGAACGAAGGATTTGGTCATTATCCAAGCGTGCTGCGAAATTTCTTCAGAAAGAATTAGCATTTTAAATACATATTTGAGATTATATAAAATATCGAGAAATGATTTCGAAAGCAACATCCATACCTATATTTTTCCATTGAAACAAAGAAGCTTTATAGTGTTTAAAGCGCTTTAATCTTGAAGCGAACGTCGTTCATCGATATACATATAGATAGATAGAAGGTCTCCGTAATGCTTGCACCATTATATCTCGATATGAAACTAATACTGACGTGTTGTTCATGTATGACCAGATGATTTTATATAATACGTGTTTGTACACATATATGTACGTACGATACGATACGATACGATACACGGCTCTTTCCACATCATTGGTCTCGTTTTTAAATAGTAGAAAGAACGAGTAAAATAAAATTTAATCACATTACACCATGCAATCCAATGAGTCAAAGTTTTAATTTTCTAACTTATGCGGTGTCATCACCTAAGCAGTGACATCTTCTATAACCCTGATTTTAGCTTGTTCCAAGTCTCAGCAAGCGGTGAGTAACACTGAATGATTTTTTTTCAGAGAGAAAACTTTACATACCTTACTGAAGCAACACTACTGAATCAATGTACGAGAGGAATAGGAAGTCGTAACTATTCTCCTGAGAAGCACACACTCGTCCACACATTCTCTTTTTTTTTTCAACAGAAAAGGAAAGAAAAAACCATCTCGGTATTGAAGCCTACTATATGTTACCAGTTCATTTTTATTTCTTTTCTATTAAGCAGAAAAAGAGAAACGCGTGTAATAAATTTACTGCATCCTATTCACTCGCAAAGTTAACAGTATTTTTTCATGCACACGCTAGAACAATTAAAGACAGGTCAACTAGTCGGTGTTCAACGACTTCGACTATCCTGTGAATTAACAACATTTCCTATTCAAATATTCGATCTAGCTGACACATTAGAGATTCTCGATTTATCAAACAATCACCTCTCACATTTACCAGATGACTTCAAACGTTTACAAAAACTCAAAATTGCTTTCTTCGCCAATAATCAGTTCACAGAACTTCCTGCCGTTTTATCACAATGTCCTCATATTGAAATCGCTTCTTTCAAATCGAATTGCATTTCTACTATTCCTGAACACTTCTTCAGCCCTACTCTACGCTGGCTCATACTAACTAACAATCGAATCACGACTATTCCGTCTACCATCGGTCAGTGTACCCGACTTCAAAAGCTCATGCTAGCAGGCAATTTACTCAGTCAACTACCGGCGTCTATGACTCAATGTACAAATTTAGAACTTCTCCGCCTATCTGCCAATCAATTTGTCAGTTTACCTTCATGGTTATATCGATTACCAAAACTGGCATGGTTAGCGTTCAGCTCTAATAGCTGTTGCAAAAAGATGGAACCATCCAGTGACTTGGTAGAAATTCCATGTAATCAGTTGACCGTCACAGAACAGCTAGGTGAAGGTGCATCTGGCGTCATTTCGAAAGCACTATGGAAGCATGACAGCATACAGCAGGTAGTAGCTGTGAAGATATTCAGAGGGCAAATGACAAGCGATGGTTTGCCCGAGGACGAAATGAATTCTTGTATGGCTGCAGGCACTCACGAAAATCTCGTAAAGTTACTGGGTAGAACAACTGATGACTCGACACAAGAACGGTCAGGACTGGTGTTTGAACTGGTTCCAGCCAGTTTCAAAGTGCTGGGAAATCCACCAAGTTTCGAAACATGTACGAGAGACATATACCCACCGGAGACAACTTTCACTCTCAGTCAAGTCATACAGATTGTCTCTGGAATAGCATCGGCTATGTCTCATCTGCATGGTCGTGGTATCATGCATGGCGATCTCTATGCTCACAACATACTGGTCGATGCCACGAGCGTGTTGTTGAGTGATTATGGTGCAGCGACCGCTTACAGAAAAGAGGATTCAAATGATGCGGCAGTTATAGAACGTGTGGAAGTGAGAGCATTCGGCTGCCTTATGGAAGATCTGTTGGATCGGGTAAATAGAAATGAAACAAATGAAGCGTTGAAGAGAACATTGAATGTACTGAAAGAGGATTGTATGCGATTGGAGGTGTTGGAACGACCGACCTTCAAAGATATTTGTAAACGAATAGCTCACTTTCAATCGTCAACATAAAGAATTTTGCATTTTGGTTAATAATTGCTTTGAATAATACCCAAAATGAAAACTACACGTGTATGTTCTTAATATTCGTATATCTGATCTTATACATTGTACCTTTGATCCACCCATATTTATTATCAAATAAAAATATAGTTAGTTCGTCAAGCAGCTCAAGTAATGAAAAGTACCTCCTTCTATCTATCATTCAAACGCTACAAAAAAGTAAAGCGAACAAAGAGTCAGTGTACAATTGTTATTGAGGATAAAGTAAATGATATAAAAAGGATCTGATAAATTTGTACGTTGGACTGTCCGCAAAAGGATTTAGTTCTATATATTCGTAGTGTATATGCTCATGGTGGGCTGCGTTGGCAACTGCGTGTGATGGTTTACTTTGATGAAGATGACCGTGTGCAGATTGCAGATGATTGTCATTAATATGATTGCGCATGCGATTATGAACTTGCTGTAGATGCCGAGCAGTTCTAGTGTGCATTCCAGTAGGGTTGCTCATGTTGTATGTTAAACGACGCAAAAACGATCGATGAAAACGAATGTATGCTATTGTATGAGAGAAAAAGCATCTATAATATAGATAGATGTTTATTTCGAAAGTTGAGTAATCAGAGGCAATGATGCATGGAAGGAAAAGCACATAGAACAATTGATTTCATACATTTTTCACTAGTTAGTTCTGAATACAAACAAGGCGATGGTTCTGCGTGGATGAAGAATTGGAAAAAATGCATGAATATACCAAATGACTATCTATATTGACAACAAGAAAAATCACTCGATCGAAATTTATGATTTCATCAACTTCGCCCGAGTGCGTCATCACTAAAAGAACAAGGGTAACGTGAAGAAGTCATCCAATCTGCAATTGCAATTTGACGAACTAAAAATATCTTATTCAGAATATTTTTTCATAGAACACCATCGTTTCGAATTATGAATATTGATTCGCACCTTCACGATGACATTTCCATACGAATAGAGCCAACCGAATAGAAAAGAGAATATTTCTTTAATTTATGAAAAAAAGTAGTGTAGATAATATGTCTGCAAAAAAGTCGGTTGTTTTTGGCCATTCTTTAACATAGACTTTGGCATCTATTTAATAACTTTTTTTCTGAAGTTTTCCTTTTTGAAGTGTGATAACAACCACAAACAATGAATGCATAAACCAACACGTCGATCACGATGAGAAGTTAATACTACCATTTTCATTCGATATTACCGAAGATAAGTTAGCAAAACCATTCCATCAATGAACTCATTAAATGACATTTGTGTCATGAAAATTGTCAAAGGCAGTGAATGCAGAGATGATAATTGCAATAAGAAGTACATAAGAGAAGAAATTCAAATCTACTTATACGATATCGCATTCATCCCTGTCGAACGAACAATAGTTGAGAGCTATGCTGCCTTTTACGAATTATCTCATCTTCTTTATATAACGTTATACCGAATACAGTAGACGTAATAAATCATGCCAGGAAGTAAAGCTAAGAGAAGAAGGTAGCTGAAGTTAGAATAAGTAAAAATCGAAAAAAGTCCTTGGGATGGTGGGTGGACATTACGTGAGAGTAAATTGAATTTGCGGCATTTAACATTCGATTGAAGAGTTTCAAAAAACATTCAAGATTACTTCGGAGCTTTTATGTACCGGTACGTGATATATTTTTTTCATTAATTATTTTCCATCTGTGAAAATACAGTATTTAAAGAAAACAACTGAAGTAGAACATTTACTCGTTCGTAATTAGCTCGATAAGACAAATATTTTCCACTGAGATTTCACATTTGCTGATTATATATAAGTTGTCAATGAAGACATTGACCCAAATATTACATCACGCCTCACAATCCGTTCTTTGTGTACGCTGCATACTAGAGACGTTTGAATATTTCAAGGTAGCCATATCATTCTATTTACTACTTCGGAGATCGCTCAGCTGCGTTTATGTATGCTTAAAAGAAAGTATAAGTAAAAACTTGAAAGTAAATGCGCTATTTGAGATAAAAAGAAGAGGAAAGAAAAGCCGTTTTCTCTTTTTTTCAGAAACATCATAGAAAGGACTTTTTCTCTTTGACATTTTTCCATGTATGTATATCAATTAAGAAGAGCGCGACGTTTTTGAGTAGCCAGTCTATTTTCTGAAATAAATAAAAATGTCGTCGACAATTTTCGCTTTGGAAGAAATTGACGGATATGGAATTGTGCTCGGCTTTGGAGTAGTTTTTACTCTTGGTATGATCGGAACTACTTTAGGCTTACATCGTTATCATGGTGAAGAATCGTTCTCTAGTGAAACGTTCTCGACTGCCGATCGAAAGGTCAAAACAGGTCTAATTGCTTCAGCTGTCGTTTCATCGTGGACGTGGGCTGCTACGCTGTTACATTCCAGTTCGGTAGCCTATCTATACGGTATTTCTGGCCCGTTTTGGTACGCAAGTGGAGCAACAGTACAAATTGTTCTATTTTGCGTGGTAGCCATTGAACTCAAGCGTCGAGCACCTTTTGCGCATACATTTTTGGAAGTGGTTCGTGCCCGTTATGGCCAAGCAGGTCATGTGATTTTCATCATGTTTTGTCTGTGCACGAACTTTCTCGTTACATCAATGTTGTTAACCGGTGGTTCAGCAGTTATTCATTCTCTCTGTGGTATGCACATTGTAGCTGCTTGTTTCCTTTTGCCATTAGGAACGATTATTTACACAGTAGTCGGTGGACTCAAAGCTACTTTTCTAACTGATTATGTGCATACACTTGCAGTTCTCATCATCATACTATACTTTGCCTTTATTACTTATTTCAAATCGCCTATACTTGGTTCACCTTCAAAAGTCTATGATCTCCTGGTCAACGCCAGTTATACCTATCCAGTAGAAGGAAACGCTCAAGGTTCTTACCTCACCATGCATTCACGAGATGGAGCGATCTTTTTCGTTATCAATATTATTGGAAATTTTGGAACAGTTTTTCTCGATAATGGTTATTATAATAAAGCCATTGCCGCTTCGCCGATGGCCTGTCTACCTGGATATATTTTGGGTGGACTGGCATGGTTTGCTGTTCCGTTTCTGGTAGCGACGACAATGGGATTGGCTGCAGTTGCACTTCAAAATCATCCGGCCTTTCCTACCTATCCGAATCGTCTGAGGCCACATGATGTATCCGCTGGTTTAGTATTACCAGCAGCTGCAGTCACCCTGCTCGGTAAAGGTGGTGCCATTGCTAGTATGGCTCTAATCTTCATGGCATGTACAAGTGCGATGTCTGCTCAACTCATATCCGTGAGTTCAATTGTTACATATGATATCTATCGAACTTATATGAACAAAGCAGCAAGTGGAAAGAAACTAATCTATGTTTCACACGTATCAGTAGTTATCTTCGGTTTTGTGATGAGTGTCGCCTCGATTGGTCTGTATTACATCGACATTAATATGGGATACTTATACTCGATGATGGGTATTATCATTTCAAGTGCTGTTATCCCAGGTGCATTAACTCTTATGTGGAAGAAACAGAGCAAAGTAGCTGTTTGTATTTCACCAATCATCGGCTTTGCTTGCGCGATGGCTGCATGGTTTACTGCGACTAAGTTTATATATGGTACAATTTCCGTTGAAACCAGTGGCGCCGACATAACAATGCTTGTAGGGAATGTAGTGGCTCTATTCTCTCCTGTTTTGTTCGTGCCTGTGTTTTCTTTTATTGCACCTGACCCGACACCTTACGACTTCACTTCGATGAAGGAAATTAAACTAATTGATGATGGTCCAAATCATAACCCTCAAATAACCCCAGAAGAAGCAGAACGTGGCGTGATCCACTTAACACGAAAATTACGAATTGCACGTATTCTCGCTATCTTCCTGACCTCATGTTTTGTTCTTATTTGGCCGTGGCCTATGTACGGATCTGCCTATGTATTCAGTGAGGCATTCTTTACAGGTTGGGTCATTCTCGGAATCGTTTGGATGTTTCTTTCATTCGGTATTGTTGGTATTTATCCTCTGATCGAAGGTTACGACACTGTTATCACTGTCTGCAAGAATTTATTCATCGATATACGGCAAAGAAGACAGCGCATAGCTAGAATTACTCCTGACCAAATGAGTAGCAACGTACAGATGGATTACGTAGCACCGAAAAATGCTTAGCAACCATGACATTGTATTGGTATCGATCAAACCATCATATATTCAAAATAAATAGGATAATAGGACGACTAGCTAGGTATTTTTTTTATTCGACACTACATGAGATATGAAATTTAAAAAGATTTCTCAATTGCTGTTTATGCCAGACGAAATAGATTCTGTGAAAACTGTCAATTGAAGCTACGTCGACGATAGTTTGCCATCGAAGGTACACCTAATCGATGGCTAGCATTGCGTGAGACATTGGATCCAAATGCTAATCCTTGCATTGGTCGAAACTGATGAAACTGTCCGAATGCAGGATTAAGTCGAGGTATATTGTTTGGATTGGCAGCTTGCCGTAATTGATTGTTAACATTGTAATAATGAAAAGCAGTTCCAGTGCTCATTCCAGTAGGCTTATTCATTGCGACAATTATAAATGAAGAACGACGACGGACGAAGTAAATGTATCTTTCAAGCACCTTATGTCGAAGATAAACGTTGACTATATATCACCTGTGAGAATTGAATCATAGTAGGCAGTAAGGCATGATAAAAAGAGTATTGCACGCTTTCGACAGAGGAAGTAATTACTGTCGTTGGAAAAAGGCCTGCTGATTGTTTGTTTCGATAAATGACAAAGTTATAACGATAATTATTACCCCATGACTCCTTGTAATCATGCCCATTCATTATCTTGCAGTCGTTACTCATACCCATAATTAGTAATACAAAAACATCGCTCGTGATGCTATATTCAAAAGAATGTGAAGTGTATTGAAGTATGTCGATACATTCGTTTCAGCGCAATTCGATATATTATAGTCAGACGAGATAAGTCGGATGAAAGGAGTCACACATTCGCATTTGTTGTTTGTTTATTTTGGGATGTCTGATCTGAGCTTCAATTGTTACTTCTCGTTATGTGTCTGTTCGCGATATGCGAAATAGTGATATAGAGACGACTTGCATTCTACTGAATTGGCGAGTTCGTCAATACAAATATCCGGCATGTCATACAATGAAACTTTTACAGCTTCATATCCAATATCGAACAAAACTCGTATAACAAGTGTTGCTAAAATGAACGGTTAACGAAGTAAGCATGCGAATAGCATCAAAGTAATATTTTTTGCTGTCAATTTTGTACAGAAAGTTACACGTATGTTTTCTATCGAGATTGGAACATCTTATATTCTCTATTATCAAAGAGAACGATTGACTTCCGTCATTATGGTAGTTCCAGATGATAAATCATGGCTAATTCAATTATATGTCGCTTTTTCACTTGTTGCCGCATCGATTTTATTCATTGCAATCTATATACTAGTGTCAATAACATTCATTGCATGTTAATCTGCCAAAAATATGCGTTCTCATATACTGACAATGAAATATCAGCTTCGAAATCAACATTTTAATTTTGTTTTCTTATATTTTATTAAAGTATGAAAAGAAACAAGATAGCACTCTAATTTGTAGTCAAATGTTTCAGCACGGATTTAAGAATGTTTGAACTGTGCTGTTTCCAGGGTTCGTAATAGCAATGTCAATTGTAGTGTCACCTTTGAAATCATCAGTCGCCAATCTATTTGGACCGCCGCTATTTTATAACTGAAGTTAGGGCTTCGGAGGCGAATGTTTCATTATCATAGTTAATCATTACACCATAATGAACACAATCAACGTCCGGCAGATTATCGCTGTTCATGTCAGCGACGGCAACCATATTTGGATTATACCTGCCCCAGTGGAGATCCGCTGTTGAGTACGAAATGTCCCATTACAGCAACCAAGCAGGATGTCTATATTGTTACTACCACTATTTGGCAACGAAAATATCAGGACAATTATCGTTGTCAATGTCACCAACGTCCACTCCGTATGGACTCGCATCGGCAATAAATATTGTCTGTGCAGAAAAATTTCTCCAGCTAGATACAAGTAGAACACCTACATTACCATCTAAACAATTGACAACGATCAAATCTAATTGGTTATTTGTGATAACATCAGCAACCGCAATTTTACGAGGATAAGAAGTGCCACCGATTGAATAAGTTGTGGATGGTTTAAATTTCCATTGCCAACACTAAAGAACACAGCTATGTTGTTTGAGCCTGAACTGGGAATGGTAAGACCTAGTTTACTGTCGTGATTAAAATTACCAGTAGCAATTTCTATTGTCACTGAAATTGCGTACGAAGCTAATTGTGTAAACATAGAACTACACATTGTGACTAGAAACAAAACAAAACGATAGTCAGGTAATATGTATTTCTCTGGAGAATGTGTTCCTAATTGGAGGACTAACATCAAATACCTGTTGTAGTTGTTGTCGTAGTAGAAGTCGAATTATTACGAGAAAGCACGATGCCAAGCGAAACTCCGATTGCAGCACGTATAGGTAGATAGAAGAATAAGAATTAGAAATAGAACCCACATAATGTTTATTCTTGTATGACCTCTGATGACATAAAAACAATCAGACTATAATAGGTCACGCTCAAGACAACAAAACTTACTCGGAAGCTTCCGTAAAACATTCGTTGACATTATTCAAATTTCGTCGTTGGTTAGTACGCGATGCGGTTTTGACCTAGAATTATATTTTTCTTTCTAAATACAAAATCTAAGCACCAAGCTTATGTTTCGATTCTTGTCCAGCATTGTACAATTGTAAAAACTTGATTTGAAAACTTTTCAATAAGGTGGAATAAATGCTAACGGTTAGACGACACATCTGACATTGTTTCATATAAGCTTTGATGTTGCTATTGTCACTTGTTTGACTATAGTTACTATGGCAATATTTGATGAGGAGGAAACAAAGAATTCAAAGAAGTGTACACATTTACTTTTTTAATCGTTATCAGATAAACAAACCGTTTTCTACTTTTTTTAAAAAAATTTTCAACCTTTTTCGCTATTATTTGTGGTTTTAACATAAACATAAAAATGCTATGTATTTGACTTAACAACCGAGAGCATACATGTCGTGCATATCACTACGTAAGGGTTGATATAGAAGAAAACAAAACATTAGTTACACATTTTTGAAATAAATACATTTCATGGAATACATACTCTGATCCAGTACAAGTTTCTGAACTTAGCTTTACCAATTTGCAACTTATTGTTTATCGCTCGCTTATTGTATCACAAAAAAGAATACGATATTATTCGAATTTTATTTCTTAGGATGAACTAGATAATGTACAAAGAGTCTGGCAAATTCATGTACTGAAGGACTGGGTGGAGGAGCTCTGGCTGCAGCATGATAACTATGATGTGAAGCATTCAATGCATGTGCAGCTTCAGGTGCTGGTCGACTTTCATGCACATGACTGTGCACGGAATGAGCATGTCGATGATTGTTTTGATTGATATGACGAAGCATTTGATTATGAACCTCTTCCAAATGCCGAGCAGTTGAATTGCCCATACCAGTTGGATTACTCATCTTTACCGTGTGAGTGCCTTTCACCTTCTGTTCGAAACTAACATGGTCGGAAAGTATTATATATGTAAAAACGAGTGATAAGATGCAATCAAGCATGCAAAGAGAGAGAGAGAGAGACAGAATGGTCGATTTTATCACTTTTCTGTTGCTTATGATAGGAAATAAACAAGGTTTAGTGTAGTGGAAGAAAGAACAAAAAATACAAGACGATGATCAAATATCACGAAAGTATGAAAATACAATTGCCATTTCACCGAACTTACTGCGGATTAAAATCATTTTTTTTTGAAGGAAAACACTTCGTTTGTACTACTTTTTAATACACATACATTATCTCGTTAAGATTGTAATCGATGGTACTTAGCAAGTGACTTGAATCTCACTTCTCCCTATTACACCATGTCTAGAAAATCTATTTCATTCACGTACATATATGCACAATGTTGTCATTGCCATTTCTATTTCAAACTTGCTCTTTTCAGTTGCTGTGAAACACAATGAAATGTATTTGTTACGAAATTCATTCGTCTTACTTTTTATTTCAGAATTCATAATATCTGTAACTTCAGGCAACTCGTTGAGAAACTTCGTTTTCTCATTATTTGAAAACAAAGTCGCCGACCCAATTTAATTATTATGACAGGATATTCTCAAAGATGCTTTTACTACGTTTGACATTGTAATGTTTATTATATCCGTGATTAGAAAAATGAATAGATAAAATTTACAAACATGCGTGTGTAAAATGATTGAGAAACAGATCAATGTATAGTATTTTATACTTTGTTACACAATGACTTGATCGACAGTACGATGGCGGGCACAGCAACAGTAGAGAATGAGACCTGGGTGGAAATCGTAAGTGCAAATATTGAGTTGAAACTATAGTTGAAAATTTACCTCCGATGGGAAAGAAGAAGATAATCAAGATCCAGATAAGTTTAGAACACACACCGCGTCCGCTCGATTGTAAAAGTTCGAAAATCGCAATCAGATCAAGAATGAGAATAATCTATATTATATGTAGTTGGAAGTGAGAATTTCTCTTGAACTGAAACTTACTGATGCTACAACACCTCCGACGCTATACCCGATAATAACAGGTCGATTGTCGGCGGAAGCGACCTGAACAAGTGACAAGATAATAACGGATAGAACAATAAACGAACTCATCCCAGATCTGATGATTTTTAAAATGACGTAATTTGATTTGAGACAAGAAGAAAAACAAGTCAGCAGTAAATCAAAACTTACTCATCAACATACCTGCACGCTTGTTTGCTGTGCGAAAACCAATGGCAGCTAGGAAAGAGAACGCAAAGTTAAGCATACCTAAAGCGATAGATGGAAGTATCATCTTCACCACACGTTCTACGTTTTATTTTGTCGATTTTTTTCAAATCGTGGCAACTACCTGTCTTCGCTTCGAATTTACAAAAAATCGTTGTAGTTTCCTTCCTAATTTAGACTTTGACGCACAACAAACGAACGGAAAAAGAAATACAACATAAATGGCAAAGAATGCTCCGTGAAAGTAGATTGACATCACATTATCAGTTGCTAAACCAACTAATATACAAAACTGCGATGCCACTCGTGCGTGAACTCATGAATATGAAATAGAGAGTCCAGATGGACAGTATAATTGAATAATCATTCGTCGCTGTTTACGTCAATGAATCGATTGATTCGAACGACTTTTACGTCGAAGAACACATACCAGCACTCCTATATACTCGATATACCAATAATAAACGTTGGAAGAATTTGATGAAAAATGGCGTCCCATTTGATATACAATGGATAGGATAATATACAAGGCATAGAAACACCATTCAGTGGCGACATAATCGTCGGCGGTCCGAAAAATGGAAAAAGAATCAGTATAAAATGGTGCAGAAAACAATAGATCACAAGTATGAATAATCGAAAATAATGAATAAAAAAACGATTGAACTTTGTCGGCAAACATTGGTTATGAAATATTAGGATATGTCGTTCTAGTGAAGCCCAAGCAAATCCCATCAGTTGAATCGTAACACATAAATAATCGATAAATATCCAAAAGTTCGAGAAATGATCTGCCAAATGCCAAATATTACCAACATGATAAAAATATATCATCAATGGTACGGTGGTCAATTCATAAGTTAAGCCGAGTAGAAGAATAAGAATGATCACATGATTATGTGCTGCTTGACGCAGCTGCCGATCGGCCAAGAAGTAAAATAGAACAAAGAATGAACAGAAAACTGAGAGAATTTCAGAAATAAGAAAAAAAAAAACAATCGAACTGGTAAAGGAATGATGATAACATTTGACCGATTGATGTTATTAATTTTTGGTAGAAATGACGCTTCAATCAAAGACATAGATACTTTTATGGATATCCTGGACGAAAACGCTTGCTCTACCTTTCGAGTAATTTACGATCGTTATAGTAGAAGATAACATTCTGTTCATGCATTTTATGATCTAATATTGGAAGTTAATATTACTCTATCGTAAATCAAAGTAGGGAGAAAAAAGATGAATCACATTTATTAAATGATGGTGTTTCTTTATCAACATATTTGCACTACTGAACTAATATTACTCAACTCTGCCGCGAAGATTCGTCACCATATGCTTCACAACCATTTTAACCTCATTTTCTGATTATAAAAAGAGAAAAACTATTGCAGAACACGACAGTTTTGTTATCAATCGAAGTTTATCGTGATTCATCGCTAACTCATCTTACAAAATAAAAATAACAAGTACCGATAAGACCATCTATACCTATAAAAGCTCGTCTAGTTTTACAATTTTATCACATAAAACTCGCAGTCATGGGAGCACGGACATCATCGTATCCCGCCGGTGCGTTTGAAAACTTTGGTCAAAAACTCTATTCAAGTCTATGTCGTCTTTAAACTGGCGAAAATCTCTTTCTCTCACCTGCAAGTATTGCATTGGCTATGTCAATGTGTGCAGTTGGTGCTCAACATCAAACCTTGCAACAAATCCTAGACACACTCGAATTCTCGTCAACAGAAGAGCTGGTCAAGGCGTGTGAGGAGATTCTCAGCACCTTTTCTATTGTCGGCCAAGATCAATCGATTCAGGTGAAACTAGCCAATCGTCTTTACGCACAGCAAACATGTAAACTCGAACAAGATTATTTAAAACTTATTCGGACATCTTTCCTAGCTGATATGCAACTGGAAGATTTCAAGAACGACAATATCAAAGTTGCGCACGAAATCAATGCCTGGGTGGAACAACAAACGAATAACTTAATAAAGGATTTACTTTCGCCAAGTGACATATCAGCTGACACACGGTTGCTCATCGTCAATTGTATTTATTTTAAAGTAGGCATAACTGTTTTTTGCTGTTGACGAAAACTAACAGTTTTGTTGTATTTTTTCTTCAGGGCACGTGGGAAGAACAATTTCGCGAATCTGTAACTGATCGCAATGCGAATTTCCATGAAACTAATGGAACGATATCGAAAGTTGAATTGATGCATCAGAAAGAAACATTTGCTTATGCAGAAAACTCATCACTAGGAATACAAATCGCTCACCTTCCATATAAAAGCAGTGGCGAAAATATTCGATTTGTTTTTACAATTGTCTTACCGAAAGAAGGTGTTTCATTGTCTGAAGTCGAAAACAAATTCGCGTCAAAACCGAGTTTATTACAAAATGTGCTCAATAGTCACAACGCGACACCAAGGGAATTGCTATTACACGTGCCAAAGTTCAAGATGGAAACTTCATTTGACTATGAATCTGTTTTGGCGCAATTAGGAATGCGGGATGCATTTGATGGAAACAAAGCAGATTTTACTGGTATTGTCGGTAAATTCGATGGTCAATCTCGGCTATTTATAGACAAGGTAAAACAAACATTGATAGGAAAGAGCTTTTACGAATGAACGATTTTAGGTTATTCACAGAGCATTGATTGACGTGAATGAGCAAGGTAAAAATGATGGTGTTCATTGAACAAATCTCTAAATGTAATTTAGGTACTGAGGCAGCTGCTGCTACAATCGTCAGAGTGGTGCTCACTTGCGCAAGACGACGGAAACCGCAGCCGATCTTATTTCGAGCTGATCGACCATTTTTATTTTATATCCGTGAAGTACGTCAGAATCTGACATTGTTTGCTGGTAAATTTCTCACGGCTGCTAAATTATCTTCTTAAACGACATTTCTTCATCATTTTTTGTCGGAAGTACTGTTCTGAATCTTAGTTCAATAAAAAAAGATTCTCTTGTCCGTTTTCTAATTCAGCCATGATCCAGCTGAAAGATCTTTCCATATATTAGAGAGAAGGTTGTGGATGTCTATTAGAATAAAAATGAGCATTGCCAGCAATATGTGAAGAATCAAACAAAAAAAAGAACGCTGATTTTTTTTCTGATAGTGTGTTAGCTCATATTTCATCATTCTCGAATATCACATCCATCTCGCTGATGTTTGAATGTGCTGTTTAGACAGCCTTTTTATTTTCTGAGTCATGTTCATCAATGTCACGTATATCATGATCCACAAAAATAACTGTTTCACAAGAAGTTTTTCTTAGTCTGGCTGGATCCAAGAGCAGCTGCATTCAGTTGCCCCGTATCTCACGGTACTGTATTATTATTCTTTCTTTTGATATACACATATTGTAATTAGTCACAAAAATAATGAATCATATTGACCTAATGATTCTTCCAAAAAACACGTACCAAAAGGGAAACATGACAAATGAGTTTTGTTTCACACAATTTAAACTTCAGTTACTTAGTCACAGACAAAAGAAAAACAAATATCAACCGGAAGATTCACATTTATAAAGACTCGTCTGTCTTTTTGCAAGTTAGTCATATAAAACTCATAACCATGGGAGCATCATCATCTACCAGAGGCAATTTTGAACATTTCAGTCGAAAATTTCAGCCAACACTCTGTCGACTTCGAATTGATGAAAATCTCTTTCTCTCGCCCGCCAGTATTGCCTTAGCTTTGTCAATGTGTGCAGTCGGGGCTCGACATGAGACCTTAAAACAAATGCTCGATGTACTCGGATTTCGATCGATCGAAGGCTTGATCAAGACATCCGAACAAGTTCTCAACGCATTTTCTGTTGTCAGTCAAGATCGATCAATTCAGATAAAACTGGCCAATCGTCTTTATGTACAGAAGTCATATCAAGTCGAACGAGACTATCTAGAACTGATTCAAAAATCGTTCTCGTCGGATGTTCAATTCGAAGACTTCAAAATTGAATTAACGAGAACCACTTCAAAAATCAATGCTTGGGTGGAACAGCAAACTGATCAGCTCGTAAATCGCACACTTTTGCCTGATGACATTCCAAAAGATGCAGGATTAATTGTCATTAGTTGTGTCTATTTCAAAGTAAACATGAGCTTTCTTTAACAATGAATTTCATTATGAGTTGGTTTCTCTTCTAGGGAACGTGGGAGAGTAAGTTTAACGAAGAATTGACTGATTACAATGCAACTTTTTACGAAACAAACGGAACAACATCGAAAGTGACCTTGATGCATCAAAGAGAGAAGTTTCTGTATGCGAGAGATAAATCACTACGTGCACAAATCGTCCATATTCCTTACAAACATAACAGCAAGGATGTTCAACTTGTGTTCACAATCATTTTACCTAAGGCAGCTGCCCCCATACATAGACTTGAGAAAAAATTCACCTCAAGACCTCAGCTGTTACAGAATGCGCTGAAACTAGAGAACACAAAATCACGAGATTTATTATTACATGTGCCAAAGTTTAAAATTGAAAGCACCTTTGAGTTGAAATCTATTTTGCAACGACTGCGAATGAAATACCCGTTTGATCAAAACATCGCTAATTTCACTGGCATCGTGGATACGCAGGATGCTGGATCTCGACTGCTTATCGACAAGGTAAAGGAGAGTTTGACTGGAGAGCATGTTATTTTCTTACAATTAACAATTTCAGGTAATTCACAAGGCAGTTATTGATGTAAACGAACAAGGTAAGGAATCATAGAGGAAAAGAATGTGACGCTGTGTATAGAACAGTTTCGAATATACTTAGGTACCGACAGTGATGCTGTTCGAGCCTTTCCGGCATCCGAAGCAATAACTTTTGAAGGACCATGGAAGAAACATACGACTGTGTTTCGAGCTAATCGACCATTTTTATTTTACATTCGAGAAGTTCGTCAAAACGTGACGTTATTCGCTGGGAAATTTGGTAACAGTGAGATTTTGTCGTCATAAACTACATTTCTAGAAAGTTCTTTTTTTCTAAATAAACGAACCCTCTTTTACTACCAACAAGCATGCCAACAAACATATAATAACATGCACCTTTTTTACTTTTTCTTTTGTTCTGTTCTTTGTGATCGTTTGCTGTTTTGATTGTCGCCATATCGCATCTGCTGACATAACAAAGTACATAAAACTGTAAAGTAGAAAATGTTGCCACGATGTTGTATTGCTATTTTGATGGAAGTAAGCAATTTCACTGGGTTTTTTCCCAATGATCTCATGATATAAGCATCGTTTCAAAAAGAATAACTGACATTAGCGTATCCAGAGATTTTAATCTTCTTTTGCAACCAAAAATGCTGAGCGAGCAATTGGGTAGCGATGAGTCGCGTGGTCTTCTTTTGGCTGTGGATCGAATGCGTGAACTATTGCTCGATGAGAGAGTCACACTACCTGAGATTGTTGTCGTTGGTGATCAATCTGTAGGTAAATCATCAGTGTTGGAAGCAATATCAGGTATTCAATTACCCCGAGCACAAAATATTTGTACGCGGTGTCCGCTTGAGTTGCGAATGAAAACAGCAACAAATCAAGAGTATGCAACGATACGTAGTAGTATGGACTCTGCTAACGAGAAACGCATTGACGATTTTACAACAATAGCCGCCGAAGTCGCTCGGTTAACATCGGAAATTGCCGGTAATGGGGTGAACGTCAGCGCAAATCCTATTTACTTAACGGTGTACAAACATGATATTCCGTATGATCTGACACTAGTTGATCTTCCTGGTATCACACGAAATGCTATATCTGGTCAAGCGGACGATATTCATGAGCAAATTCTAAGTTTGATTAACAAATATATTGAACCATCGACTGCGGTAAGTTAGTTCGGAACGCATTGTAAATTGCCATGAACATCTATTTAGATTGTTCTACATGTGATTCCGGCTTCGACTGATTTTACTACATCCGAATCGATGAAACTTGCCAAGAAATTTGATTCGCAATGTCAGCGGCAACTAATTGCGGCCTCTAAGATTGACAAATTCGACAAAGGTATCGCCGATAAATTGCAGGGTCGTGGTTCTGGCTCTATGGATCTACAGTTGGGCTGCGTCGCAGTGCTCAATCGGAATCAGCACGAAATTGATCAAAATATTTCATTCGAAGAGATGAGAAAACGTGAAAAGCAATTCTTTATTGATCATAAAGACGAATTTCAAGATCTACCCGATGATTACAAAGGAAGCGAACAATTAGTCCGTCGTTTAGCTACCATACAGCAAGAACGCATTCGTCTGACATTACCAGACATAATCAAAAATTTGAAAAAGCAAATAAAGGAAAAAAAAAATAAATTGAAAAAGCTTCCTGTTTCGTTGAATACTGAAGCGGACTGTTGGGCCATTTTTCAATCAATGATTAATACGTTCCGGGAAAGTATCAATGACAACGTGAAAGGTGAATATGATCAGGTGGCGTCTATGAATACTGTGCAACATAAGACTACGTTGACTACTCAAGATAATCAACTTGAATCAGAGTATATATTAGATGAAAATGATGAAGAAGATGAAGATTATGAAGAAGATGAAGATTATGAAGAAGATGAGAATCATATAGCGTATCACATTTACCAAATACAACGCAAGTTTCAAGACGATTGTCGGAACAGTTTCACAAACTTCTTCTCATCTCAATATCATAAAGTCGTACTTCGAGAAATCGATCGAGCCGCTGGTATATCTCTGCCTAACTTTCCAAGTTATCAAATAATCGTAGGGCTCTTTCGTAAAGAACTACAAAAATTTCCCGAATGTTGTTACAATGCAGTCGACCAGATGCATGAATATATGAATCGATGCTTATTACGATTGTTCGATCAAGCGTTCAGTAATGATTATCCTCGGCTAAAACAACGTCTGAAAGACATCATTGGAAAAAAATTAAGTGACAAAAAAGAAAAACTGCAAGAACGCGTTGAGGAAATACTCGATACGGAACGACGTGTATTCACTCTCAATCATTACTATATGGATACGGTGAACAAAGAAAAACAACATATGAAGAAAAAAAAGGAGCAATCAAGTACTGCCTCTTCATCATCAACAGTTGTGCAAAAGGTGAAAACTGTCAGTGATGAACTTGCTTATGCATCTATGTCTAACGAAGCACAAGCGGCAACTGACATTCAAATCTCTTTGCATTCCTACTCAAAGGTAATACTCTCCATTTAACTTTTTCATAAACGTAGAAAAACGATTTGTTCGTCCACCTAGGTCGTGGAAAAGCGTATCACTGACAACATCGCACAAGTATGCTACTATCATTTCATCACCAAATGTGCACTGAAAATGGACGAGCTGTTGAGCTGCTCAATGCCTTCATCACAACTGCTTCAATACATGCGCGAACCACACCAACAAACCCTTCTGCGAAATAAACTTACGCATAGCATTCAAGCCTGTGAAGAGGCTTTGCAACTCGGCCAGAGACACATATAACTGCAAAAGACTGTTGAAGTATAATGAAATATTGTGAAAAATTTAGTAGAGTTCATTGTGAAATAAACAATATCCAAGTTGATGATTTCGAAGAAACCAATCACATGAGTTGAAATCGTTAATAAATCCAAGATCAATTGATCGGGGTTTGAATAATCACGTTTGCGCATCTTAGACCATTTAGAATGAATGTTATTATGATTTCATTCGATTTTATAATGTTTTGCGAATACATATTCTAGTGGAATATCGGAATTGTCTACTTTAAATGTGAAAATGCCACGAAGAGATAGCTGACTGTTTTTGATTTCGAGAGAAAATTGTTTGGTTTACAACCTTTCCAGAAATATAAAGGCATTGACAACTGGTCAGCGTCAGTGGTAATTCATGGCCAACGTTCGACTTCCTTCCATGCATGATAATGAATTTGTCATCATTTGAATTTTTAGTGGCATCGATAAAATGCTATAAATCATTTCCACAATCACCGATGGATATTACTCCGTATTGCAGACAGGAAAATTCTGATTATCAGAGACGCCATAGATTGCATCAACGGCTGGATCACATTCATCAATAAAGATCAAAATGTTGTAGTATATTCGCTGATGATACTCAAATTACTCTGAATGTTATTGACAACTCAAGCGATACTCGGATATTGAACATGAACTTGATGACCATACTTACGAGTAGGACTATAATATGCACCTTTGACATGAAATCAATCGACGTACCGGCAGTGCTAGCATGTTGTAATAGTTTCTTGAGAAAATCTCCACTTGAACTGGTGCTTGATAATGCTAGACCAACAATTTTTAGATTCGGATTCATTTACTTCACCATTTGAATAGAATAGTCATATAGCAGACAATAATCTTCTACTGATCTTAACCACTAGCTAAGAATATTAGGTTTCTTCCAGAATTCAAAACATCAGCTCTCTACTTGATCACCCTATCGTACATTTGATCGAGAATATCAGAATTGTATATAGGACTGCCATGTTCATCTTTCGTACAACGCTTTTGTTGATCCGTGCACTGAAGAAGTCAAGCAATTTCCATTGGTAAATGCGTTACGACCTCGTACATAGTACGGTCTTTGAATATTTCACCTGTTAAACGGAAAACGATGTAGTCTTATCAAGAACTAGAATTCTGTTCACTTTTCATGTTTTGAGTAAATCTTTGCCTTGCTCCGTATAGGACCAATTGGTTTCATCAAAAGCAATCGATGTCCAGACAGGCCTCAAATCGCCGATGATGCTTTTACAATCGATCGTTATACTATAACTGCCACTGGCATGATGTGCCTCTCGTTTAGAAATATTTCTATCTCTTTCATCTTATTTTCTTAGTACGCCAATATACTCGCATTAGTCCCATTCTTCGATCATTTCATTATGTATGTTATACTATATGCTAGAATATGAACATGTGTCTGAATACAAATGAACAGAATTTAAGACATGTTCTGTGGAAGTTTATTCGATTACTACAGTTCAGAGATAGACAGAAAAGGAAAGAATGTATAATGCCTTGTGCAAGAGAGTTCAGGGAGTTTGGTTGGTTGCATCAAAGTGTTTGTTTACCACCAGAAGGGATCTAGAAATGACAAAAATAGGTCAGTATTGTGAGAATGATCAAATAGCTGGACACTACAAACCCCATGCTCCCCATCCCCACGCAGGATATGGATAAGCAGGCCATCCCCATGTGGGACCCCAACGTCCATATCTACCCCATGGACGATACCATGCATCACGTGGATCTTTTCCACCTGAAATTTAAAATGTTAAGAACTAAACGAAGTAATATTTGAATGAACCTGTTTGCAATGGTTGCATTGGTGCCATTGGTGCCATTGGCGCTTGTGGTCGTTGTCGAAACAAACCGGCAGTGGTGGCAGCTCGTGTTGTAGACATTTGAATTAGATCAACAATGAATACGCACTTGCTTTTATGTGATTGAAATTGTTATTTCTTGTCGTCTACATTTACTAGCTTTTATAGGTCGATATACAATAGAGCATATCCTTTCGCCAATTATCGAAGGAAATTTATTTCATTTCACATGATTTTTCCATTTGTTTTCACCAATAAATATGAAATTACTATTCTGTCTACATTAGTTTGTCACATGAGTTGGAATAGAAAATTGAATATTACTTCACCTATATACTTTCGTTACTAATTCAATTGACAAAAGCTACCAGCGAACTCCGTTGAAATTTTCCGTCCATCATTCTGTTTTACCTGGAGCAATGAAGAGTAGACATAGGGAAAACATGCATATATACATCTGTCGTTGATTGACATTTTCAAAGGTAATTAAACTGGGTGTCTTAAAGTAAAACATTTTTATATAATAGATAGTTCTACAAACGGAACGGTCAATAACCAAGCGGCATAGAGAAACTAAATTGTATGTAGAGCGTACCAGTAGGGGAAGTAGCAAAAGAACTTCATTTAAACTGACTTGCATTATCAATAAAATGAGCAGAATATCTTTTCGATTCCATATACATATAATCTATCATTCTAACCGAAATATGTATTCTCTTGGCCTTTCACATTGGTGAATAACCTTATAGAAAACCCGACTATGGTATGTAAAACACCGGTAACCGTTTGCATACACAGATATATCGACGATTCTCTACCTTTACTCATCACATTTGACCATAATAATAGCACGTTGAAGCTACATTCAGTAACCAATCATTCAAAAACTGTCTGTTTAATTACCGAAATCGATGATGAAATCGGTTATGAGAAGGAACGCATTACTATTGTTGTCCACAATCGTATCCATCGGGTTTTGTTTTTGTTGATAGAAACTACATTAAGAAAAACGACGAAAATGTTCGATTAACTACATTGTATACCATCTTTGTGAATCAAATGACTTAATCATCGATCATGAGACGTATAGTGTATAGGTGATCAACTGCGATTGAAAAATAAGAAAACGTGTGCGAGCGCAAGGTCGATGATTTGAATAGATAATATTTATAGGTAATATATTCGTCTGATCATCGATGCAAATACAATAATATAGATATTGCCGCTCGCAGATCGGATTTTTCGTCTCAACATACTCGTGAAGAGCGTTTCTATGAAATTTTTTTCTTCTTCTGGATATCACAGTGTAACATGTTGCGAAGAAAATCCGTCACCAAAGCGAGCGGAAATGCCGGCTCAATGGCGAACGTTTTTTGCTTACAAGATATGCAAAGTCAACATAATGAATTGAATGGAGAGTTTCTGCTCTATCAAGTGATTCTCAAACGTTTACTATCGGAAGGCTTGACCGATCTTTCGAAAAAAGCCACACTTATCGAGCATTTTGATCCTACCGATGCAACAGATCAACAGATTATGAAAGAGTTCGATACAAGCTACGATCCAAAGAAAGCCATCTATTGGTACACACGTGAATCATGTATATATCGCTTATTAAACAAAGCCTTACGGACGCAAAGCATTGGAGATCTGATTGCGTTTACACAATTCATCCGTGATCTATACAATCAATTAGCCTATGAACAGATAACCTTCTTAATTACAAGTCCAACGATGTTCTTAACAGTGTATCGTGGCCAGATGATCAGTGTTGACGAAGTGAATCGAATCAAGTATGCTAAAGGTCAATTATTGTCGATGAATTCGTTTCTGTCGACAAGTACGAACCGTAAGCAAGCATTAGAGTTCGCCATGAGCGGAACAAAATCAGAGACGTTAACGACAATTCTATTAGAAATTAAACTTGATTTACGACAGTCGAGTCGACCGTATGCTGATGTGAAAAATCTCAGTGCATTTGCTAAGGAAGACGAAGTGCTGTTCATGTTCGGTTGTGTTTTTCGTATTGATCAAATTTGGTTTGATAAAGAATTAAAAATTTGGCGAGCGAATTTGACATTATGCGGCGATGAAGATGGTGACTTAACCCGATTTGAAGTCGAACTTGAACGAGAGTTAGAAGGGAAGAATATGCTAGTATGTCTCGGTCTTTACATGATGCAAATGCAGAAATTCGATGAAGCTGAAGCTCATTATAAAATGTTGTTAAAAGAGAAACTGATCAAAGAAGATTTCGATTTAGCTACTTGTTATCATGGTCTCGCACAAGTTAACGAAAAGAAAGGAGATTATGATGATGCTCGAAGGCATTTAGATTTAGCAATGAATTATCTATCGAATGATTCAAAAAACAAAGAGCATTTTCTTGTCGGTCAATGCCATAATGATTTAGGTTTAATTCATTCCCATCAAGAAAATTATCCTCTCGCTTTTCATCATTACGAACAAGCGTTGAAGTTCGAGAAAAACAATCATTCGATGACTTACGCCGGTCTAGCTAAACTACATTACACCATGGGAAATTATAAAATTGCATTGGAATATCAGTACAAGTGTTTACAGCATCAGACGAATACCACACGACCATCGTTCATCGCGAATACGTACATCGAATTAGGAAAGATCTTCACAGCATTGAAACAATTCGAAAAAGCGAAAAGTATCTTCCAAAAAGCAATCCAGACGCAACAACAAGCTTTGTTCGCTGATCATCCAGATTTAGGCTACACTTATATCGCAATGGGACAGATGTATTCCGATTTCGACCAGGAAAGCAAAGCATTCGAATGTATACAAAAAGCATACGATCTACAAGCGAAATCTTTACCGAACAATCATTCGGACTTTGCGGTGACTTTCAAAAACTTTGGTTTTCTTTACCAAAAGAAAGGTGACTATGAACAAGCATTGCATTATTTCAACAAATTACTCGAAAATCAATTGAAAACATTATTATGGAAACATCCGGCCGTCGGTGAAACGTATTCCATTCTTGGCAAAACTTATTTAGCACAAAACAATTACGATCAAGCACTGGATTATTTGGATAAACTTCTGAAAAATCAACTGGAACGGTTAAACATCGGCAATCCGGCGATCACAGAAACCTACAACACAATTGCGAATACATATTTAAAAAAAGACAACATCGAGGATGCCTTGGACTACTTTCGTAAGTCGCTGAAAAACGATCTCGAACGGAAACTTCCGGATGATCCATCGCTGATCGAGCTCTATCGAACCATCGCGAATCTTCATTTAAAACTCGATGACTACCCATCGGCATTGATTCATTTCAATCGATTAGTCGATGCTCAAGCACGAGTGAGACCTGTGGATGAAGAAGCAATCGACGAGACATATGAAATCATCGGCAAAATTTATGCTCAAAACAACTTTTTTGAAACTTCCCTACTTTATTTTGGAAACTCGTTGATTACAAAAATGCAAAATTCCTTATTAAATCGAGCTGACCTCTCCGACTCATTCCGTATGATTGAAAGTGTTCATTTCGAAAAACGACATTTAGATCAAGCTTTGCGTTATTTTCAACAGTTGTTAAAAATCGAATCGGCCAAACTCCAATCGGGCGATGCACGATTCAGTCATTTACATAAAATTATCGGAAATATTCTATTAGAAAAGCAAAATATGGAAGAAGCGTTAACGTCCTTTGAAAATGTAATGAACAATGAATTGAAAACCAAATCATCAACTGATCCAAAACTATACGAGATTTACGAAGTGATCGGCAATATCAACGTTGAAATACATAATTACGATCAAGCGTTGATTTATCTCAAGAAATTACTCACTAGTCAACTAGAAAAAGTTCCGAGAAATTATCGTCGATTGGCTGATCTTTATAAATATGTCGCGAATATCTATCTGGACAAATTAAATTATCCTCAAGCATTGATCCATTACAATCATCTACTCGATTGTCAATTGGAAATAAAAGTCAAAGAATTGAATGCAACATTATCAAGTATGGGGAAAATTTTTTGTAATTATGATCGATTTGCTTCGACGACGAAGTCCAAATTGGGCTTCGTAACGACGATAAACCTACCGAGATCTCTTCGAATCGCGTCTCTGACGGAAAGTTCGATAGAACAACGTCATTTTGACCGTCTGATCGACTATTTCGAGCAGCTTATCACAAAAAAGACTTCGCTAAGTGATTCTTATCAAATACTCGCACATGTCTACCTCGAAATCCAAAGCTTCGACGAAGCGTTAAAATATTTTCGGAAAGCACTTCATCTTGAAACGAAAGTTCAACCATCAAACGATACACTAATCATGACAATCTACAAATTCATCTGTATAATCTATTTCGAACAACATAATCTCAGTCATTCCATGAAATATCTTCAAAAATTATTGCACAAACTCTTAAACAAAACTCTCGTTCAAGATCCTTCGTTAGCCGACATCTACCATCTCATCGCCGTGATTTATTTCAAACAGAGGAACTTGTCGCACGCGCTGCTTTACCTCAATCTTCAATTAGATTGTCATGCACAAGCCAAATCCAATGAGAAAACCGCCACCAAACATGCTTTTTCATACATCAAATCGATCTATTTAGCTTGCGATTATTTTCCAAAGCCTTCACTAAAATCGTTATCATTAACATCGATAAAACTGATCGAAGGCAAATATTTCGATCAGCGACATCGTGATCAGTCTATCGAGTATTTCCATCAAATACTCAAGGAACAAATTAAAACATTATCTACTGGCGATTCCTTACTGTCGGAAAGTTACAATGTTATTGCGAATATAAATCTCTGTCAACGAAACTATAACCAAGCGTTGCTTTTTTATTATAAATTATTAGCGAATGAGTCCGAAGAGAAAACACTCAAGGATCTTTCGTTGGCAGATATTTACAGAAACATGGCATATATTTATTTTGATCTGGAAATCTACGACGAAGCGTTACTGTTCTTCAATCGTCTAATCCATTGCCGAATAGAAAATTCAGATTTGTTAATCAATGAGATCTACACAATGATAGGAAAGATCTATTCGACGAAGCATATCTTTTTTCCGACGGATGCGGTGTCCACCGCCGAGCATTGGAAGCAATTGATTCAATCACAAACTGAAGCCGAACGAAAACCACTGAATAGTCTTTATGAAATTCTACATAATAAACCGTTCAAATCCTATTACCGAGATCGAGCATTGGATCATTTTCTGAAATTACTTCGTTTACAAATCGATAGCAAAACATCAATGACAGTCGATATGATTTATTTGATTATTGCAAATATTCATTATGAAAAACGTGATTACAATCAAGCGCTATATTATTTTAATAAATCAATTGAATCGAATACATCGAGAGATTCTTCATTAGCAGATATTTATACAACAACAGCGAGAATTCATTTTCAGAAGGGTCATTTCAATCAAGCAATAGCTGATTATCGATTAGCATTAATATATTACAAAAAAGATTCTTCGGCAGCATCACACAAAATCGAACAAGTCAAACGATATATAAACGAAAGTATTTTACAGCTGGAGAATTAGTTCGAAAGCAAGTTTTTTTTTTGTAAATCTCAGGAAAAGCGTTCTCTTATGTTTTTTTTTATAGTCGTTAATAAATTATTTCTCTCTAATGCTGATTTAGTTTTGGTACATCAACGATTAACACAAAATCTTTTTCTAATCGATTATGTCTATGCGAAATGAAAAAAGAAACAGGAAAGATTGGACATTCAACAGATGTTTTTCACATCAGTCCGTTTCGTGATGAGCGACAGAACATGAAAAAAGCATGTAATTGAATGAAGACATACACTTACCTCTTACTTCTTTCGTCGTTCATGCATGACAGACCGTATAGAATTGAGTTATCTTTTTAATCAACCTGTAAGGTGCGATCATTCATAAAGGTGACAAGCGTTTTGACATGTTCGTGCGACGATATCTGATCGTTCTTCTTCTTACTATTCTTCTGTTTGCCACTCTTCGTCTTTCACCTAATCGTTCGAAAATATTAAATGAACAAGAATCATCTAGTTGTTCACAATTATGTCCTTATGTGATGAATTTATCGTACGACTATCTTCATTTCGATTCACATCATCTAACTCGACATTATCCTGACTTTGTTTGTCAATTGAATTTTCGTAATATGGCCGATTGGGTTTACGGTTGGCCGTATGCATCTCACGAGCGAATCGAAACAACAAGAAATGGAAAACACATTGCCCCGTGTCTACCTGATGGTAGTATTATCTATGTTAGCGTTTGGGCGATTGGCACATTCTTCACGGATGTTTATCCACATCTTATTCATAGATTTGTTCTAATTACGGGTGAAGGTGATTTGTCTTCGCCGATTCTTGACTATCTCGAACGAACCGATTCGAAAATTATCCATTGGTTTGGTCAGAATGGCGCAATTGCTAGTTCGACGAGCAAGAAATTCACTCATATTCCAATCGGTAAAGTTCATCAATGAAAAATCGTTAAAAAACGACTTGCTTTTTTTGTTGAATAGGTCTTCAATGTTATGAAATGGCCGAAGCAATGAAAACGATCTACAAAGAGCAGAGTAACTACACACTACCACAACTATATGGCGATATAGACGAGCCGATAAAGTACATTCAACCAATGGACATGACTCATCGAATATTGTTTAACAAAGATAGTATGTTGAAAAAAAATCTTTTGCTCATCAACTTTTTGTCGAAGAACGATGAAACAGGATTGCGCCGGCGTATTTGGAAAGATTTATGCATACATAGGAAGAAAAATCAATCATTTATAACGTGTCTCAGTAAAACTCCTGGTGTTAATCCATCAAATCTTATTGATGTCTATCGACGAAATCGTGAACATTCATTCTGGTTATCACCGCGTGGCAACGGTCTTGATTGTCATCGGACGTGGGAAGCCTTGTATTTGGACATGATCCCTATCGTTTGGAATTCGTCGCTTAATGTCCTTTATGAAAACTTGCCTGTTGTTGTTATTCAGGATTATAAAGAGATTACAGAAGAATTTTTGAATGAGAAATTGAAGAAAATTTCGACGGCGAAGTTTTATCAAATGAAACACACATATCGTATGGAAAAATTACGTAATGCATATTGGCGTCGATTAATTTTAATCAAATCTAGACATTCGATAAAAGAGATTAATAAACGAACGAATCTCTGCTGGAGAGTAGCAAATTCCACAAAATCGTCAGTCTTCCCGTGGAAAAAATAATAAAATGACATATGTGTAATTCTCTCTTTTGAATCTATATGAACAAAATCAAAGTTTTAGCAGAATAGTGCAGATTTATTGAAGACTAATATTGCCATTCAGGAGTTTGTTAAATTAAATCGTAAAATACGATTATTGCCGCTGTCTGCAACGTACAGATTGTTGAATCTATCAAAAGCGATGCCATATGGACTGTGTAATTGATTGGAGTTTGAGCCAGCTGTTCCATTGCCCGCAACTGTCGAACCATTAGATGCTCCGTTAATCCACCGTTGAATTCGATGATTACCTACAAAAAGAAAATCGACGAAATGTTTCATTGATTTTCACTTGTATATTCATGATTAACATTACCATAATCACAAATGTAGACGTCTCCAGCTGAATTTACAATAATTTGTGTGGGCTGTTTCAATCGATTCGAGGTCGATCCTGAACTGCTAACTTGTCCAGCGACCAAGACACCAGATGTTGATGGTGGAGTCCATTTAAGAACTCGTCCATTGTTATAATCAGGTACATAGATATCACCATTGGAGTTAATCTTTGCATCATATGCATAGGCGATATTGCTCAACGACGTACCGGTCGATCCGTTTCCTAAAGTGAACAAAAATAGTACTTATGTCATTGTACCAAAATCAAACTACTAACGTTTTCTACTTACCAGCAACCATGATGCCTTGAGAGGCGCCCAGCTGCCACTTGAGAACTCGATAATTTTGGCCATCGTAGATATACATATTCCCAGTACTTGAATCAATAGAAACACATTGAGGCTATGGAAAAAAGACAAATCTTCTCGTTTGTTCTTTATTGGCAGATGTATTGTCTGAACTTACTTTGTTTAGCAGAGCTAGAGTTGACCCACTAGTTCCTGTTGTTCCAGCAACGGTCGTACCATTCGTAGCTCCGGGAAGCCATCTCTGGATACGATGATTGTTTTGATCTGCCTAAGGAAATTTTGATGATCTGACCTGATACCACTTCATAGGAATCATATCGTGCTTACTATATACAGTGCTCCAGTCGTGTCTATATCTATACCATTTGGCGAGTTGAACTGGTTCATTTTCGATCCTGCAGTTCCGGTGCCAGCGATCACTCTGGGCATTGATCCATTGCTTGGGTATAGAATGACACGATGCTTGCCGTAATCATTCACATACAGATTGTTGTCTATGTCGACAGCGATGGGACCTGGACCAGTTAATGATATGTTACCAGCCAAACCAGCTGCACCACTGCCAGCCACTGTATCACCTGTAGCTGACCATACAGCTTGAGCTGTCAACTGTTGCTCTATTGCTAACATAAGAATGAAGTCAATATGTGTACTTCCTTTCGTCTCTACTAACTTGTTCCTATGTTTGTAGTTGTTTCAAAAGTAGTGTAGTGTTGTTCGGGTGGTAAGCTACGAAAATAAAAAGATGAATTGAGATCGACAGTGAGATCGTAAGGGAGCGAATAATTGTAGAAGAACAAACATGTTTGATTTTGTGAACAACTAAGACCAATAATGTCGTCTGATAACATCATAGTACATATGCATTCAGTACACGAATCATTCGTTAGTACAGTAATTCCGGTAGACGAGAAGAACGAGACACCTTGAATTGACCCAATCTGTACAGATACGATTCGACTGACAAGAAGAAGAATCGTTTGACCGATAAGCACTCTAAGCATGCGATGGTATGTCGACAAGTTATGGAATTTTTATCATTAACTAGGCTGGTGCAATGATTAATAGAAAATATATGCACGAGTTTCAATAATTTCTTCTCGTCTCTGCTGTTGTGTTTGTTTTTGTTCGAGAAAAATTATTAAAAGAAGATGCAACAAAAAGAGCATATTTGATGAATGTTTACGTTTTCTATCGGTGTGAGTGGAAGTAGCGAACACAAGACGTTTTTATTTGAATTACATCCACACCTTTAAGAAAATGATTCGTTGTCATGTTCAACAAAATCCACTTGTAGTTCCTTTTGATTTTCCTTTCGGCTCAAGTCGAATAGTTGGACTACTTGTTTTCGTTGATGATTCCTTCGATATCAGGTCATTAAAGAAATACATGAAAACTTGTTCGATGTTGGTGCCATTCTTAGGCGATGTCTCCAGATAAGTTACATTCCTTGAATCAGCTAAAGCCTACAAAACAAACAAATATCCATGATGACGACAAGTTTAATAACGTTTTTGAGCAATGAATACTTTAGCTTGATCGTAAGAAACTACTCGTTCAACTGTTAGATCACATTTATTTCCCACAAATATAGTTTTGACGTTATTTGTATTATTGGTATACGCATCGCTCAACCATCTGGTTAGATTGTTGAATGATTCCTCGAATAACAGTAATGATATGAACATATGAGTTCAATTGAAATAACATACTTCATTGGTAACATCGAAAATAATGATAAAACCATCGGCATTTCGACAGTAACTACCTGAAAATCAGAACAGTGATTTAGCAATGAAACATATGCAGTTACCCGATAAACTTCGATATCGTTCTTGACCAGATGTATCCCACTGAAAAGTTTCAATCAGAAGAAAAAGAAAGAACAAAATAGAAGTGATTGTCAACGTACAATTTGAAACCGTATCGATTGTTCATTTTGTGTTACCGTATGAGTAATCTACAAATACAAAACAAATCTATCTGTCGATTCTATAATGAGACGAACAAAGGCATACGAAATCGATGCCAACTGTTGGTTGAAAATCACCATCAAATGTATCTTGCTAAAAGCTATGAATATGATGATAAACAACGGCAATGAGTTCATATTTACCGTCAGTCGCTTTAATAGAGCAGATTTTCCAACACACGAGTCTCCAAGTAGCACTAATTTATACTTTCGATGCCTAGATAAGATACGAATATCAGTCCATCATTCGGAATCATCTTTTTGGACACAAGACTTTACTCTTCACACGCCGATGCAGCTGAAACGCCACTTTCCAGTTTTATTTTTTCTTCATGAGAAACAATAGGTTCGATTGTCAGAGATGTAACTGTTGTTTTTGCCATATCATTCACCATGATAAGAAATATTTCATGCACATTAGAAGTATTCTTCGCTGACGCTTCAATGTAGGGTATATTCAACGAATCAGCTAACTCCTATGAGCAGAGAAAGAGAGACAGAGTCGAAACTTTGATCGGTTCAATCTGCCTGACATACTTTTGCTTTTGAATGTTCAATCACTCGTTCTGTGGATAGATCACACTTATTACCCACCAAAAGTTTTATCACATTCACAGATTGATTGTTATTGAGCATTTCAGACCAATATCGAACGTTTTCGAATGAATTCTGGTAACAACAACATCTGCACGATATCACGGAGAAATTCTACTGACTATACATACAGAATTTGTGACATCGAAAACGATGACAGCGCCATCGATACCTTGTACGTAAGTATCTAGATGCATCATCGTTCGACATAGATAAAAACGACAAATAGTCAATATCACCTGTCAATGATCGAAATCGTTCTTCACCAGCGATATCCCACTAAAACAGTCACAAGTATGCAAATAATCTTTTCATCGTCTCATTTCTATTTACAATTTGTAATCGAATAGTTTTTCCATCGCTTTGCAATCGATGAGTTATCTGTAAATTTTCTGTATTAACTCCTTTTCTACGTACCAGTGTTACTTACAAAATCGACTCCGACAGTTGGAGCTGCTGTTTCATTGAAAACATCGTTCTAATGGAGCAGCGAAAGATTGATTTAAAAGAAAAAAAACATGCACATTACACGTACTCCAAAACGTGACAACAGCGATGTTTTGCCAACATTTGTGTCGCCAATGAATACGAGTTTGTATCTTTCATAAACAACAAAAAAAACTCTTTTTTTACCGTGAAAATTTGGTTCTGAACATACTTTTGCACAGCCATAAGTACGACTATCTCGAATTCAATTACTTCTCAGGCAATTATCGATCAATTATTATATTTTCACATTGATACTTAATGACATGAATGCTGTTAGTTTTTAAAGAGTAGAATCGTTTCTTTTTTTTCCTTTTCAACTGCCAGTCGACAAAAGAGAAAAAGAGAAATGCAGCCACCTTCGTCATTCTTATATTTTCAAATATAATTAGTTCACTTTGTGAACAAACGATTATTTCTACTAGTGATTATGTGCAAAATAATCATGAAATAAGTAAAAATGCAGACATTGCGTTCAAAAGTACTTTCTCGGATTCAGAAGATTTGTTCTGCGTTATGTCAATTCAGCTCTCTCGAAATTTAAAACAAAAAAACGTTAACGAGACATTCGATCATGCCAAACCATAATATATACAAAAACTAAGGTAAACAACGGCAGATTGATACGTACACGTGTTTCTATTATTCACCTTTGTAACGATGATTTTTGTAACATGTTAATCTTAGACTAGAGCCCTAAAATATATGCAGGTACATTCGTTCGTGGAGAAAAAACAAAAGTATTTCTGTTCACAAGGAAAATAGGATACAGAAATACTACCGTTTATTCTTCATTCACAATCTATTTTGATCAATTTATTTCTTGCACAATCACCTTTCAATGAAATTATCAACCGTTGTTTATCGTTACTTTTTATTTACGAACAAAAATCAAATTTGACAGAAGAGTGAATAATCAAAGTGATCTCATGAGAGTGCTGAATTCAGCTTGATCGATTCCTCCGTCATGATTTACATCTGCATAATCGAACATGGCGGCAGCTGGATCATATTGCGCGCTTCGTCGTGCTACATTGGGTGCGCCAATTCCAACATCTGGCCCGAGGCCGTATGAATGACGCGCATTCGCGTTTGCGCCAGCACTGTATTTTTCATATTCGATGGGATTTTTGGTGAAACCAGCCAGAGCGACATCGAGACCGATTTCATAGGTCAATGTTTCAGTTGCGTGTTCGCCGTTCTATCACGTAAAAAACAGTAAACCGTGAGAAAGGCAAACGAAATTTTCCGATGGAAAGGACAACTTACAGCGTTTGCTTGAGCGCTCATCTTGTAATCTGAAAGACTGAATGAAGATTCGACGTGCATTTCGCGAGGATTATAAATCAAACAAGTTTGACGTCAATGGTATTCAACCGTAAAAAATATGTTTTTTTCCTACACATCCTCATCGCATACCAATTGAGGATAGCATTCTTGATCTGTCTATCTTAAGTTATTTACAAAAACAAAGGAATGCGACGTCATCATAACGAAAAAAAGACGGTGTGTAGTTATGGTTGTACATATTTGTTTTCGATAGAGTAATTTCCGCCGTGTATAGTTGAGACGAACATCTACATTTTATCTTTGACAATTTGGTCATTTCGTTTAACGGATGATCAAATTGTGTTTGCTTTTCTTTTTCTTTATCTACGTATACAGAGAACAGAAATTAGACGATTGACCCAATGATGTATTATTATTCGTTTGTTTTTCTCACACCTTGACACGCATGTTATCGGTGAATTGAATCGGAAAAATCATTTGTTTACAAAATATGTACAAATATTTTCTTATTTCATCGACTTGTATGATAAAAAAATGAAATAATATACTTTATTTAATAGCGCAGTTCATCATGTTCTATTGATTCTATTTGAATTCTACAGCAAAGTATCAAAAGCAAGGATAATAATTAGTTCTACATAACTTTTTGAGTTTATCGTTGAAGATCAGAATGACTGTTGCGTTTAGATATTATTATACAACGGATAGATGGTCAGAAAAAAATGTTGCCCTCTATCTATCATAAGATTATTGGTGAAAGAATTGAGAAATAGGCGCAATGGATGATATCATTGGAATAGAAATATACTTTGTCTTTTTTTTACTGATTTTCAAACAGTTCAAAAACATTTTCTCTTGTTAAGACGATTGTTTCACTATCAAAAAACAATTTTGTGAATATACATAGCAGAAGCAGATGAAAAAGTGTGTTTATTTTCACAATACAAATGCGAATCGATCCGCATCCTTGATAAACGATAAAATGCAAAAAAATGTGTCTTAGTTAGTTCGTAGCTTTTATGCGTTTGTCAGATCGTCGACCATATTGATCCAGTCATTGAACATATCAGGAATTTCAGCACTAACAAAGTAGATCTTCTCTACTCCTTTCAGACCAAGTTCTTTCGTTTCACTTTCAATCTTGTTCTTCACCTTGCTTTGCTCTGCATCTTTCACCAGATCGAACTTATTGAACACAATTGTGTATTTCAGTCCAAGTTCATCCAGAAGTCTCATCAAACTCGAGTTTTCTTTCACCGTCGACCCAATGAGAATGAGACGTCGGGTGAGACCTTTGAAGAAAGAGATGTACTCCATACTGAAGTAAGAGACTTCGTCATTTCGACCAGGAATATCCCAAAGGATGAATTCTGCACCTTTATATGGTGTAATTGTGGTTGTTGTTTCACCAGCACCTGTTTCGGCAACGTCTTTGCCGATCAAAGTGTTGAGCATAGTAGATTTGCCAGTTGAGGTTAAACCGAATAGGCCGATATTGTTACCTTCCATAGGTAAGGCTTCTGTCAGCTTTGCTAGTTCTATAAGAGTTTTCAGCGCTTGTTGATCATGCTTGACAAGATCTTCAAACGATTTTATTCGTTTTCGTTTCAATTCTTCGTTAAGATTTCTGTAGCGTTCAATCAGTTGAGCGTGGCGGTCACGATACTGAGCCACTTCTGCTCGTAGTGCTGCATTATCATCTGTGTTGCGTTCAGTCTCGACCTCTATTTGGTCTGAACTTGGCTCTGCAGTAGGTGAAGGATGATGAGCATTTATTGAACTGGAAGCGTTTGAATTCTTCTCCGATTCTTGACTTAACGTTGCTCCTTGCCCATATTTTGGAGTCGTTGTTTCAGTCTTCGCTTGATTTTTCGACAATTCGCGACGTAGAACGGCATTTTCCTGTGTAAGATCGTGGTTTCGGGATCTTAGATCATTTAACTGCGCATTTTCAGCCGATGCACCATGACGATCTAAATGTAAACAACAAGGGTAGAAAAGCTTCAACGATAAGAAAATATCTTTCTTTTACAAAAACTCCTATAACATACCTCGAAATGAGTTAATTGTGTTTAACAGTTCTTGAACTATATGACTACTCAAGTATGTGATGATATTCATAGCTATCATATTGAAATTTCAAAGTACAATCCAATATACAATCGATAGACACGTAGTTTTTTTCGCATATGGTCACTAATGGCTATATATATAAGGATAACTTTGTTGGAATATTCCACATTTTATAACATTTCTTTTTCTCTGTTGCGTATGCATCCTATTCGTTTGTGATACAATCATCAATAACAAGGAAAAATCCTCTTCTGATATCGTTTCGTACAAGAGAAACGCAAAAATATGGTAAACATTGGGGAGAGAAGGATTCTTCCCTGGGTGTTTTTTCGCTGATTTCCAGTCTTGTGTAATTACAACGTGGTAAAAAACGTGTAATAGTCAGCACCGAAAATGCGACAAAAGATTTAGAAGCATCTAAGACAAACAGCTATCCCTTCGGCTTTAGGATATTTTGAACGCAAATAGCTTGTATACGACTCTTGTATTACTCCGACGCATGAAAAGAAACAGCACCGAACATGGATTTTTACGATGTCGTAATTACACGAGACTCGAGATCGAGGAAAAAACCTTCAGAGAACAATCTTTCTCTTACCCATATTTACCATATTTTTAGGTTTCTCTTGTACGAAACGATACCACAAGAGGATTTTTCCTTGTTATTGATGATTGCATCGCAAATGATTAGGATACATGCGCAACAGAGAAAAAGAAATATTATAAAATGTGGAATATTCCAACAAAATAGCTTCTATCTATCTATCTATATATATACATATGTAGTCTTAATATCGAATAGATATTCTTGTTACAAATCAATTTCAGTAACGCTTGCAAAAAAATGGCTTATTGGGGATTAGCTATACCAGCGGCTATCAGGGTCGTTGAAACCTTGTTAAACGAAGTAGCAGGAAAAAAAAAGGGTGAGTAAAGAAACTTCTATCCATGAAATCGCAATAAGATATTGAATGCATGATTTCTCTGAACCGTAGCACTTTTTTACAAATACTATGTTGATCTTGTAGGTGAATCACCCGCTGTAGTGAATCCATCAAATAGTTCAGCTGAAGCAGCCGAATTACGACAAGAACTAGCTGAATATCGCGCACAAAATGCTAAATTACTCTCACGATTCGACACACTTACCGCAGAGATGGAAAGAAAGAGGATCACGACGTTTGAACAACTTCAAAAACGGGATCAACAAGCGAAGAATGATCTCATCCACTTGGCTCAGGAGACAAAGCCAGCTAAGTTGGAAGGTAACAACATCGGTCTGTTCGGTTTGACCTCAACTGGCAAATCTACTATGCTCAACACTTTGATCGGCAAAACTGTTGCCGAAACAGGTGCCGGCGAAACAACAACCACAATTACACCACACAAAGGTTCAAAATTCATTCTTTGGGATATTCCTGGTCGAAATGACGAAGTCTCTTACTTCAGTATGGAGTACATCTCTTTCTTCAAAGGTCTCACCCGACGTCTCATTCTCATTGGGTCGACGGTGAAAGAAAACTCGAGTTTGATGAGACTTCTGGATGAACTTGGACTGAAATACACAATTGTGTTCAATAAGTTCGATCTGGTGAAAGATGCAGAGCAAAGCAAGGTGAAGAACAAGATTGAAAGTGAAACGAAAGAACTTGGTGTGAAAGGAGTAGAGAAGATCTACTTTGTTAGTGCTGAAATTCCTGATATGTTTGAAGATTGGAAGACTATGGTTAATCATTTAGTGAGTCTCTGACACATAAACAATTGATAATTATAATGATTTTTGCTTATTATACCTTTCTTTTTTCAATAAACATGATCTTCTTGAGCAATTTATACTCTTGTTTATAGTGACGTTTTCAAGATATAAATGCATCGTTTGTCAGGCTGTCCGATACCATATCGCTTTAGAAAGTTAACGCCGAAAGTTAAGATACTGTGTTACATTCAGGGATTAAAGAGGAAAAAGGTTTTTCGTGGGTACTATATATGATTAAAACAAATAAGATGCTTATTATCATAGACATCAGACAAGTAATACAAAGTAAAAAAAATACGAAGAAGCGTATCCGATCTTTTCAAGGTTTATGCTTTGGAACGTCAATGTAATAACGGTGGTTAAATTCACATATTCGTTCAATCTGAATCTGAACTTGAGTCTGAGCTCGAGTTTGAGCTTGAATCTGATGACGAATCCAGATCAGAGCTTTGATAATGATGTTCATTAGTTAAAGAATCGACCATTGTCAGCCAATCTGAAAACATATCCGGATACATTGCACTTAGAAAGTAGACGTTTTTCACTTCTTCTAGTTCAAGTGAAGAAATTTCCCGTCGAATTTTCGATTGAAAACATTCTCGTTGATTTTCACGAACTTGATCCAGTTTGTTAACAACGATATCGTAACTCAGGTTAAGGTCATCCAATAGTCGTAGCAATTCCAAGTTTTCCTTGACTGTATGCTCAATAATAACAAGACGATGTGTTAATCCTTTAATGTGCGACATATATTTTTCATTTGTATATGATAGTTCATCGTTACGCCCGGGTACGTCCCAAAGAGTGTATCCCGTGCCTTCGTATGGTGTTATTTCTTTTGTTGTTTCGCCCACGCCTGTCTCAGCGAGTTCTTTTCCCAAAAGACTGTTGATCGTGGTCGATTTTCCACAGGATGTCAGTCCAAAAAGTCCAATATTCTTCCCTGGTAATTTATTTGATTTGGTTTTGCGGGCCAGTTTCTTAAGTGTTTTCTCTCGACTTTTCCCTTGCTTTCGTTCCATTCGTTCGAGTCGTCTGATCAGTCGTTGTGCTTGTCGGCGTTCTCGATCCACATCTCGACGTACTGTTCTTATTTCCTGTTGAGTCGGTGAAACTCTCCGAATTCTGTCATCATCCTCGGATGCCTCACGTTGTCCTTCCCTCAAGTCAGCTAAAAAAGTTGCACAGAAAAGTTTTCATTTTTACATTATGATATACGATAAAACGGTGAGTATTTTATCATATAAATGTGGTAACTTACGTATAAAAGGCATCGGTACTCGCAACATGGGTTGAAGAGCTGCCCTAGCAATACTATTAAAGAAAAATCCGGCCATCTTTCATCAAATATATGCAAGATAAATCGAAATTTTCGAATGAAATTCGTTCTGACTGATATTTATACATAAGCGCCGCGTTGGAATTTTCCTTTATCTGCCAATGCGTCATCGAAGAAAGAAACAAGTTTTTTTCCCTTTTCTTCTACATATTGGCATTTACTGGATTTTTCCATAGCGTTTTATGTGATACGTCGATTATGATGTAAGCGTTCTGACAACCAGGGAACATGTGTATACGCTGATGAAACATCGCTTTCATTTCATTTCTCCTCATGCAAAACACGCTTTTATACTTGTCCATGAAAACAAAACAGATAATACATATGTATTTGTTTTCGCGAGTCAGATTTAACGATGGTATGGTCAAGAAATATACAGAAAATTGTCTTTAATTATTTAATAAAAAAAAATTTTCATGTTCGAATAATGTAATGAACTGTCTGATACGGTGGCATCAAGCTCATAGCTTGACTCGAACCTGTCGTGCCTGTCGATCCACTAATCGTATGGTTGTGATCGCCAACTGTGTTAATTGTAATACTTGTCTTACCGCTGGAAATCGAATGACTATGTGTACCAGCGCCATTACCTGGTAAACCGGAATTGACCATAGCAGCAGTGCCAGCACCTAATGGTTGAGTACCTGTTGATCCACCATGATCATGTCCGGGATCCGTGTAATTATGTGTATGACTACCGCTGTACGAGGTGACTAAGGATCCTTGATCATGACTATGTGAAGGCATCTCAGCAACCGTAATTGTGTGTGTTGAAGATCCGCCAGAGAGCATGGTCACATCACTGCTTAATGTGCTACCCAACGGAAATCGAGCCCGTAAATCGGGTAGATTGAATGTGTTAACGCCATCACCACTTCCGTATATAGTACCAATAACACTGAATAAGTTTCGATAGATTTGGCGCGATACTTCTGAACCATTACAGAATAACCATCGATCGTTTTGACCTAGTAAAGCTGCTGATGTCCCACTATAGAGAAGGATGGTACCAGTTGGTACTTCTAAGAAAAAACAACGGAAATTGTTTAGATCTTCACATCCAAAATGGTCTCACCCGGTTGAAGGCCAAAGATTAAGCTAAAAAAGCCGAGAAGAATAGCAGCAGCTGAGAGCGCACTGACAAGTCCGAGAATGCCGATGTGATCGATACTTTCAAGCGCTTGGTCACTAAGAAAAAGGACTTATTAATAGAGCACGCATCTCTTGACAATTGAATTACTTTTCATCGGACGATCCTAGCGTAGGTATCTATCGAAGACGAGAAGATGTATTATATTAATAATTTGACATATAATCACATACCTCCGAATTTTCATTCGTGGTAGGTCTTTCAGGATAAATCGCATTCAATCTTCTGATAATTCTCAGACGACTGAACGGTGGTAGTGAAAATGGAAGTGGAAATAATGTTCTAGGCTTCATCAAAGATCTAAATGTATTATTTAGTAACCGATTACTGGGTATCTAATCGATAAGTGTGCGGAAAATGTTTTTCCTTCTCGCTCTAACTCACACAAATAGAAGTGAAAAAACTCTATTTCACTTCTCTCGGAGAAAATTAAGTCGAAGTAGCAGCACTTCTCGCATCGGAGAGAGAAACGGAAAGCACTACAACAAACATTCCGGTTGCTAAGAGCATGAGCAATGAAAAATTGATTTTTATTTTATAAATAATAAATATCCATCAATCCGTTCTCAAAACATGATTTTTAGCCTGTTTTTTTTTCCTGTACACAAACACGCGAGCTTTTATTTTGCTAGAATAATTTATAAAAAAATGTGAACATTTCCAACAATCAGTCAATTATAATTCAATTACGTGCATTATTTCTGTAATTCGATCAACAATATACTAAAAGAACAGATCAATAAGTTCATAGAATAACGGAATAGATCAAAAGGGACATACTCGAGCATCACCAAGATTTTCAAACGAAATAATCTTTTCATGTTCTCGGTGTCTGTTAATTCTTCGACGTAATTTAGCGTCCTAAATGATTACAATTACTCTTCTTGATAGAAGGGTGCTCGAGTTACTTTTAAATTGATTTCGATTTGATTCAACCGAAAATTCATCTTCGGCGCTTCGTTTAATTCTTTGTATTGAAAGTGCCATTGAATTTCGTAGACATCAGGCCTCTGTGACGTATCTTTGATGAACATAATGTGTCTAAAATCACAAAGTTTCCATCGAGTCAATCGATTGAAATATAACTCACTTCGATGTGACCATAAACCAACCAAGTACATTATTTTCGAGACAATTTATGTGAGCAATATAGTCATCTGACTGAATGTATTTCTTATTATCAAGTCTCTGACAAAAACGGAAGTATAAAAACTAGTTTGTTGCTTCTTAAGACTTACATTGAAAATAAAACGACCTTTTGTTTCATCAGCGATCGAAGGTCGGATAAGAAAGTCAGTTCCGATATGTCGTGAGCGTCGAGTACGATGAATAATATCGCCGTGTGTTACAGTCCTGTGATGTTTCATCGATTAATCAGATTATTTTTGTTTCCGTGAAAGTCATCTTACCGTTTGAGAACATCACACGATGTACTAGTCAGATTAGCAACACTACTTGTTGGCCGCGCGACGACGCCGAGAAAACCTTTACCTAATCCTTTCATTAGACCTGCAGCACCTTCTTCTTTAGCACCAGTTATTGGTTTTTTAACAACATCTTTCACGCCATGTACAACATCCTATGGAGAATATATGAATTTTAATCTGTAGAGACGAATTGTTCGATCTAAAATACCTTAGCAACGCTTTTTCCACCATTGACAATATCTGATGTCGTTTGTTTGCGAGATTNTTTTCCCACGAGTTGTTCTCTCTGTCTCGTGGTGTGTGTGTTTCACAACCAACCTAGACAGAACGTTTTTTTTCTTCTCGTTCGTTCGTTAGCGTTTCGTTTTCCGTTTGTTTTGTTTTAATCAATAAAACAACAACAAAGTTGAAACGCGTTTCCTTCAAGCAAATCTGCACAGATTTACATATTATTACTACCACTGTTGGCAACGACAATATCAGGACAAGTATCGTTGTCAATGTTGCCAACGTCCAATTCATGTGGACTCGCACCGTCAGTAAATATTGTCTGTGCAGGAAAACCTTCCGAGCTAGATCCAAGTAGTAGAACACGAACATTACTACCCAAGTAACTGACAACGATCAAATCTAATTGGTTATCTTTGTTAACATCAGCAACCGCAATTTTACGAGGATAAGAAGTGCCACTGATTGAATAAGTTGCGGATAGTGTAAAATCTCCATGGCTAACACCAAAGAACACAGCTATGTTGTTTGAGCCTGAACTGGAAATAACAAGATCTAGTTTACTGTCGTGATTAAAATCAGTAGTAGCAATTCCAATTGGCATTGAATTTGCGTACGAAGCTACTTGTGTATTGTGACTAGAGACAAAACAAAACGATAGTCAGGTAATATGTATTTCTCTGAAGAATGTGTTCCTAATTGGAGGACTAAGATCAAATACCTGTTGTAGTTGTTGTTGTAGTAGAAGCCAAATTATTACGAGAAAGCACGATGCCGAGCGAAACTTCGATGGCAGCACATATGCGTAGAAAGAAGAATAAGAATTAGAAATAGAACCCATAGAATGTTGATTCTTGCATCACCTCTGATAAAATAAAAACAATCAGACTGTGAGAGGCAGCTCAAGACAATAAAACTTACTCGGAAGCTCCCGTAAAACAGTCGTTGATTAGTGCGTGGTGTAGTTTTGATCTAGAATTATATTTTTCTTCCTAAATACAAAGTCTAAGTGCCAAGGTTATGTTTCGATTCTTGTTCAGCATTGTACAATTGTAGAAACTTGATTTGAAAACTTTTCAATAAGCTGGAATAAATGCTAATAGTTAGACGACGCATCTGACATTGTTTTATGTAAGCTTTGCTGTTGCTATTGTCACTTGTTTGACTATATAGTTACGATGGCAGTATTTGGTGAGGAGGAAACAAAGAATTCAAGGAAGTGCACACATTTACTCTTTTTAATCGTTATCAGATAAACCGACCGTGTTCTACTTTTTTTAAAATTTTCAATCCCTTTCTCTATTATTTGTGATTTTAACACAAACATAAAAGTGCTACGTATTTTACTTAACAACAGAGTGCATACATGGCGTGCATATCACTATTTAAGGGTTAATATAGAAGAAAACAAAAACATTAGTTGCACGTTTTTGAAATAAATACATTTCACGGAATATATACTCTGATCTAGTACAAGTTTCTGAATTTAGCTTTACCAACTTGCAACTTATTGTTTATCGTTCGCTTATTGCATCGTAAGAAAGGAATACGATATAGTTCGAATTTTATTTCTTAGGATGAATTAGATAATGTACAAAGAGTCTGGCAAATTCATGTACGGAAGGACTGGGTGGATGAGCTCTGGCTGCAGCATGATAACTATGATGTGAAGCGTTCGATGCATGTGCAGCTTCAGGTGCTCGTCGACTTTCATGCACATGACCGTGTACGGAATGAGCTTGTTGATGATTGTTTTGATTGATATGACGGATCATTTGATTATGAACCTCTTGCAAATGCCGAGCAGTTGCATTGCCCATACCAGTTGGATTACTCATCTTTACCGTGTGAGTGTCTTTCACCTTCTGTTCGAAACTAACATGTTCGAAAAGTATTGTACATGAAAAAACGAGTGATAAGATGCAATCAAGCATGCAAAGGAGAGAAAAAGATAGAATGGTCGATTTTATCACTTTTCTGTTGGCTATGATAGGAGATTAACGAGGTCTAGTGTAGCGGAAGAAGGAGCAAAAAAAACAAGGTGATCATCAAATATCACGAAAGTATGAAAATACAATTGGCATTTCACTGAACTTACTACAGGTAAAAATCTTTTTTTGTGTACTACTTTTGAATACACATACATGATGTCGTTAACATTGAAATCGATGGTACTTAGCAAGTGACTTGAATTTCACTTCTCCTTATAACGCCATGTCTAGAAAATCTATTCCATTTCATGGACGTATATGCATAACGTTGCCGTTTCTATTTCGAGCATACTCTCATTTTCGAGAATATATAAATATCTGCTGTTTTTAGTTGCTGTGAAAGGTAATGGGATGTATTTGTTCTTATGACACATCAACAAATAATTGTACTAGATTTTGGTTGACGATGTAAAGGTACACGTTTTATGCAGTACTGTATTTGTTACGAAATTCATCCGTCTTATTTCTTATGTCAGAATTCATAATATCTATAATTTCATGCAACTCGTTGAGAAACTTCGCTCTCTCACTATTTGAGAACAAAGTTGCAAACCCAGTTTGATTATCGTAACAGGAAATTCTCAAAGATGCTTTTACTATGTTTGACATAGTAGTGTTTATTATATCCGTGATTAGAAAAAAGAATGGATAAAATTTACAAATATGCGTGTGTAAAATGTTTGAGAAACAGATCAATGTAGTATTTTATACTTTGTTACACAATGACTTGATCGACGGTACGATGACGGGCACAGCAACAATAGAGAATGAGACCTGTGCGAATATCGTAAGTACAAATGTTGAGTTGAAACTATAGTTGAAAAAATTTACCTCCGATGGGAAAGAAGAAGATAATCAAGATCCAGATAAGTTTAGAACACACACCGCGTCCGCTCGATTGTAAAAGTTCGAAAATCGCAATCAGATCAAGAATGAAAATAATCTACATTAAATGTAGTTAGTTGGAAGTAAGAATTTCTCTTGAACTGAAACTTACTGATGCTACAACACCTCCGACACTATAGCCGATAATAACAGGTCGATTGTCGGCGGACGCAGCCTGAACAAGTGACAAGATAATAACGGATAGAACAATAAACGAACCCATCCCAGATCTGATGATTTTTAAAATGACGTAATTTGATTTGAGACAAGAAGAAAAACAAGTCAGCAGTAAATCAAAACTTACTCATCAACATACCTGTACGCTTGTTTGCTGTGTGAAAACCAATGACAGCTAGGAAAGAGAACATAAGATTTAAGCATACTTACAGCGATAGATGGAAGTATCATCTTCATCACACGTTCTACGTTTTATTTTGTCGACTTTTTGAAATCGTAGCAGTTACTTATCTTCGCTTGGAATTTACAAAAAATCATTATAGCTTCCTTCCTAGTTCAGGCATTGGGGTACAACAAACGAACGAAAAGAGAAATACAATATAAATTGCAAAGAATGTACCGTGAAAGTAGACTGACATCCCATTATCAGTACTAAATCAGCTAATATGCAAAATTGCGATGCTATTCGTGGACTCATGAATATGAAATAGAGAGTTGAGATGGACAGTAATTCAATAATCATTCGTTGTTGTTTACGCCAATGAATCGATTGATTCAAACGACTTTTATGTCGAAGAACACGCATGAGCACTCCTACGCTCGATGTACCAATAATAAACGTCGGAAGAATTTGATGTATAATGGATCTGATAATATGCAAGGCACAGGAACACCATTGAACGGCGACATAATCGTCGACGGTCCGCAAAATGGAAAAAGAATCAGTATAAAATGGTACAAAAAACAATAGATCACAAGTATGAGTAATGGAAAATAGTGAATAAAAAATCGATTGAATTTTGTCGACAAACATTGGTTATGAAATGTTAGGATGTATCGTTCTGGTGAAGCCCAAGCAAATCCCATCAGTTGAATCGTAAAACATAAGTAATCGAGAAATTATCTGTCAAGTGCCAAATATAATACCAACATGATAAAAATATAGCATTAATGGTACGGTGGTCAATTCATAAGTTAGAACAATGAATGAACAGGAAACTGAGAGCATTTCAGAAATAAGAAAAAGTCAGAATGGAATTGGTAAAGGAATGATGATAACATTCGATCGATTGATGTTATTAATTTTTTTGGTAGAAATGACGCTTCAATCAAAGACATAGATACTCTTATGAATGTCCCGGAAGAAAACGCTTGCTCTATCTCTCGAGTAATTTGCGATCGTTATAGTAGAAGATAACATTCTGCCCATACATTTTATGATATAATATTGGAAGTTAATATTACTCTATCGTAAACCAAAGTAGGACGAAAAAAGATGAATCACATCTATGAAACGATAGTGTTTCTTTATCAACATAGTTGCACTACTGAACTAGTATTACTCACCTCTGCATCGAAGATTCGTCACCATATCCCTCACAGTCATTTTAACCTGATTTTCTGATTATAAAAAGAGAAAATTTACTCTAGAACACGACAGTTTTGTTATCAATAGAAGTTTATTGTGATTCATCGCTAAGTCATCTTACAAAATAAAAATAACAAATATTGATAAGACGATCTATACATATAAAAACTCGTCTGGTTTTACAATTTTATCACATAAAATTCACAGTCATGGGAGCGCGGACGTCATCGCAGCCCGCTGGTGCGTTTGAACACTTTGGTCAAAAACTCTATTCAAGTCTATGTCGTCTTCAAACTGGCGAAAATCTCTTTCTCTCACCTGCAAGTATTGCATTGGCTATGTCAATGTGTGCAGTTGGTGCTCAACATCAAACCTTGCAACAAATCCTAGATACACTCGAATTCTCGTCAACAGAAGAACTGGTCAAGGCGTCTGAGGATATTCTCAGCATCTTTTCTATTGTCGGTCAAGATCAATCGATTCAGGCGAAACTGGCCAATCGTCTTTATGCACAGAAAACATATAAACTCGAACAAGATTATTTAAAACTTATTCGGACGTCTTTCCTAGCTGATATGCAACTGGAAGATTTCAAGAATGACAATATCAAAGTTACGCACGAAATCAATGCCTGGGTGGAACAACAAACGAATAACTTAATAAAGGATTTACTTTCACCAAGTGACATATCAACCGACACACGGTTGCTCATCGTCAACTGTATTTATTTTAAAGTAGACACAACTCTTTTTTGCTGTTGACGAAAATTGACAGTTTTGTTGTATCTTTTCTTCAGGGCACATGGAAAGAACAGTTTCGTGAATCTGCAACTGATCGCAATGCGAATTTCCATGAAAACAATGGAACGATATCGAAAGTTGAATTGATGTGTCAGAAGGAAACATTTGCTTATGCAGAAAACTCATCACTAGGAGTACAAATCGTTCACCTTCCATATAAAAGCAGTAGTGAAAATGTTCGATTTGTTTTTACGATTATCTTACCGAAAAAAGGTGTTTCATTGTCTGACGTCGAAAACAAATTCGCGTCAAAACCGAGTTTATTACACAATGTGCTCAATAATCAAAACGCGACACCAAGGGAGTTGCTATTGTACGTGCCAAAGTTCAAGATGGAAACTTCATTTGAATATGGATCTGTTTTGGCACAACTAGGAATGCGGGATGCATTTGATGAAAACGAAGCAGATTTTACTGGTATTGTCGGTAAACTCCATGGTCAATCTCGGCTATTTATAGACAAGGTAAAACAAACATTGATAGGAAAGAAATTTTGCGAATGAACGATTTTAGGTTATTCACAGAGCATTGATTGACGTGAACGAGCAAGGTAAAAAATTATGGTGTTCATTGAACAAATCTCTAAATGTAATTTAGGTACTGAGGCAGCTGCTGCTACAATCGTCAGAGTGGTACTCACTTGCGCAAGCCGACGGGAACCGCAGCCGATCTTATTTCGAGCTGATCGGCCATTTTTATTTTATATCCGTGAAGTGCGTCAGAATCTGACATTATTTGCTGGTAAATTTCTCACGGCTGCTAAATTATCTTCTTAAACGACATTTCTTCATCATTTTTTGTCTGAAGTGCTATGTTCTGAAGCTTGGTTCAATAAAAAAAAATGATTTTCTTGTCCGTTTTCTAATTCAGCTATGTTCCAATTGAAAAATCTTTCAATATATTAGAGAGAAGGTCGTGGATGTCTAGTTGAATAAAAATGAACATTGCCGGCAATATGTGAAGAATCAAACAAAAAAAAAAGAACGCTCTTTTTTTTTCTGATAGTGTATTAGCTCATATTTCATCATTCTCAAATATCACATCCATCTCGCTGATGTTTGAATGTGCTGTTTAGACAGCCTCTTTATTTTCTGAGTCATGCTAATCAATGTCACGTATATCATGATCTACAGAAATAACTGCTTCACGAGAATTTTTTTGTAGTCTGGCTGCACTCAGTTGCCCCGTATCTGACGATACTGTATTCTTATTCTTTCTTTTGATATACACATATTGTAATGAGTCAGAAAAAGAATGAATCATATCGAGCTAATGATTCTTCCAAAAATCACGTACCAAAAAGGAAACATGACGAATGAATTTTATTTCATACAATTTAAGCTTCAGTTACTCAGTCACAGACAAAAGAAAAATAAATATCAACCGGAAGATTCACATTTATAAAGACTCGTCTGTCGTTTTGCAAGTTAATCATATAAAACTCACAACCATGGGAGCATCATCATCTACCATCGGCAATTTTGAGCATTTCAGTGAAAAATTTCAGCCAACACTCTGTCGACTTCGAATTGATGAAAATCTCTTTTTCTCACCCGCTAGTATTGCCTTAGCTTTGTCAATGTGTGCAGTCGGCGCTCGACACCTGACCTTAAAACAAATGCTCGATGTGCTCGGATTTCGATCGATCGAAGACTTGATCAAGACATCTGAACAGGTTCTCAACGTATTTTCTGTTGTCAGTCAAGATCCATCCATTCAGATGAAATTGGCCCATCGTCTTTACGTACAGAAGTCATATCAAGTCGAACAAGACTATCTAGAACTAATTCAAAAATCGTTCTCGTCGGATGTTCAATTCGAAGACTTCAAGATTGAATTAACGAGAACCATTTCAAAAATCAATGCTTGGGTGGAGCAGCAAACTGATCAGCTCGTAAATCTCACACCTTTGCCTGATGATATTCCAAAAGATGCAGGGTTAATTGTCATTAGTTGTGTCTATTTCAAAGTAAACATGAGCTTTCTTCAACAATGAATTTCATTATGAGTTGGTTTCTCTTCTAGGGAACGTGGGAGAGTAAGTTTAACGAAAAATTGACTGATTACAATGCAACTTTTTACGAAACAAACGGAACAACATCGAAAGTGACCTTGATGGTTCAAAGAGAGAAATTTCTGTATGCGAGAAATAAATCACTACGTGCACAAATCGTCCATATTCCTTATAAACATAGCAGCAAGGATGTTCAACTTATGTTCACAATCATTTTACCTAAGGCAGCTGCCCCCATACACAGACTTGAGCAAAAATTCACCTCAAAGCCTCAGTTGTTACAAAATGCGATGAAACTAGAGAACGCGAAATCACGAGATTTATTATTACATGTACCGAAGTTTAAAATCGAAAGCACCTTTGAGTTAAAATCTGTTTTGCAACGACTGCGAATGAAATACCCGTTTGATCAAAACATCGCCAATTTCACTGGCATCGTGAGTAGCCAGGATGCTGGATCTCAACTGCTTATCGACAAGGTAAAGGAGCGTTTGACTGGCGAGCATGTTGTTTTCTTACAATTAACAATTTCAGGTCATTCACAAGGCAGTTATTGATGTAAATGAACAAGGTAAGAAATCATAGATGAAAAGAATGTGATGCTGTGTACACAACGGTTTCGAGTATATTTAGGTACCGACAGTGATGCTGTTCAAGCCTTTTCGGGATCCAAAGCAACGACTTTTGAAGGACCATGGAAGAAACGTCCGATTGTGTTTCGAGCTAATCGACCATTTTTATTTTACATTCGAGAAGTTCGCCAAAACGTGACGTTATTCGCTGGGAAATTCGGCAACAATGAGATTTTGTCGTCATAAATTACATTTCTAGAATGTTGTTTTTTCAATAAGCAAACAATCTTTTCCTGCCAACAAGCATATAATAAAATGCACCTTTTTTACTTTTTTTTGTCCTGTCCTTTGTAATCGCTTGCTATTTTGATTGTCGCCGTATCGCATCTGGTGACATAACAAAGTGCACAAAGACTATAAAGTAGAAAATGTTGCCGCGATGTTGTATCGCTATTTTGATGGAAGTAAACAATTTCACTGGGTTTTTTCCCAATGACCTCATGATATAAGCATTGTCTCAAAAAGAATAACTGACATTAGTGTATTCAGATATTTTAATCTTCTTTTGCAACCAAACATGCTGAACGAACAATTGAGTAGCGATGAGTCGCGTGATCTTCTATTGGCTGTGGATCGAATGCGCGAACTATTGCTCGATGAGAGAGTCACTCTACCTGAGATTGTTGTCGTTGGTGATCAATCTGTAGGTAAATCATCAGTGTTGGAAGCGATATCAGGCATTCAATTACCCCGAGCACAAAATATTTGTACGCGGTGTCCGCTTGAGTTGCGAATGAAAACAGCATCAAATCAAGAGTATGCAACGATACGTAGTAGTGCTAGCTCTGCTAAGGAGAAACGCATTGACGATTTTACAACAATAGCCGCCGAAGTCACTCGGTTAACATCGGAAATTGCTGGTGATGGGGTGAACGTCAGCGCAAATCCTATCTACTTAACGGTGTACAAACATGATATTCCGTATGATCTGACACTAGTTGATCTTCCTGGTATCACCCGAAATGCTATATCTGGTCAAGCAGATGATATTCATGAGCAAATTCTAAGTTTGATTAACAAATATATTGAACCATCCACTGCGGTAAGTTAGTTCGAAACGCATTGTAAATTGCTATGAGCATCTATTTAGATTGTTCTACATGTGATTCCGGCTTCGACTGATTTTACTACATCCGAATCGATGAAACTTGCTAAGAAATTTGATCCACAATGTCAGCGACAACTAATTGCGGCCTCTAAGATTGATAAATTCGACAAAGGTATCGCCGAAAAATTGCAGGGTCGTGGTTCTGGTTCTATGGATCTACAGTTGGGCTGCGTCGCAGTGCTCAATCGGAATCAGCACGAAATTGATGAAAATATTTCATTCGAAGAGATGAGAAAACGTGAAAAGCAATTCTTTATTGATCATAAAGACGAATTTCAAGGTCTACCCGATGAATACAAAGGAAGCGAACAATTAGTCCGTCGTTTGGCTACCATACAGCAAGAGCGCATTCGTCTGACATTACCAGGCATAATCAAAGATTTGAAAAAGCAAATCATGGAAAAGAAAAATAAATTGAAAAAGCTTCCTGCTTCGTTGAATACTGAAGCTGACTGTTGGACCATTTTTCAATCAATGATTAATGCGTTCCGGGAAAGTATCAATGACAACGTGAAAGGTGAATACGACCAGGTGGCGTCAATGGATACCGTGCAACATAAGACTACATTGACTACTCAAGATAATCAACTTGAATCAGAGTATATATTAGGTGAAAGTGACGAAGATTATAAAGAAGATGAGAATCATATCGCGTATTACATTTACCAAATACAACGCAAGTTTCAAGACGATTGTCGGGAAAGTTTCACAAACTTCTTTTCACCTCAATATCATAAAACCGTACTTCGAGAAATCGATCGAGCCGCTGGTATATCTCTGCCTAACTTTCCAAGTTATCAAATAATCGTAGGGCTCTTTCGAAAAGAACTACAAAAATTACCCGAATGTTGTCGCAATGCAGTGGAGCAGATGCATGAATATACGAATCGATGCTTATTACAATTGTTCGATCAAGCGTTCAGTAATGATTATCCTCGGCTAAAACAACGTCTGAAAGATACCATTGGAAAAGAATTAAGTGACAAAAAAGAAAAATTGCAAGAACGCGTTGAGGAAATACTCGATACGGAACGACGTGTATTCACTCTCAATCATTACTATATGGATACGGTGAACAAAGTAAAGCAAGATATGAAGAAAATCAAGGAGCAATCAAGTACTGCCTCTTCATCATCAACATTTGTGCAAAAGGTGAAAACTGTCAGTGATGAACTCGCTTATGCATCTATGTCTAACGAAGCACAAGCGGCAATTGATATTCAAATCTCTTTGCATTCCTACTCAAAGGTAATACTCTCCATTTAACTTTTTCATAAACGTAGAAAAACGATTTGTTCGTCCACCTAGGTCGTGGAAAAGCGCATCACTGACAACATCGCACAAGTATGCTACTATCATTTCATCACCAAATGTGCACTGAAAATGGACGAGCTGTTGAGCTGCTCAGTGCCTTCATCACAACTGCTTCAATACATGCGCGAACCACAACAGCAAACCCTTCTGCGAAATAAACTTACGCACAGCATTCAAGCCTGTGAAGAGGCTTTGCAACTCGGCCAGAAACACATATAACTGCAAAAGACTATTGGAGTAGAATGAAATATTGTGAACAATTCAGTAGAGTTCATTGAGAAATAAACAATATCCAACTTGATGATTTCGAAGAAATCAATCGACATACTGGCGGTGCTAACATGTCGTAATAGTTTCTTGAGAAAATCTCCACTTGACCACCCTATCGTTCATACAAATGTAGATGTAGCGTTTAAATCAAACTCGTTCATTTCAGAATGGGAATGAAGATATTTGCAAGATAATTATCGTACATTTGATCGAGAATATCTGAATTGTATATAGGACTGCCATGTTCATCTTCCGTACAAGGCATTTGTTGATTCGTGCGCTGGAGAACTCGAGCAGTTTCCATTGGTAAATGCGTTACGATCTCGTACATAGTACGGTCTTTGAATACTTCACCTGTTAAATGGAAAACGATGTAGTCTTATCAAGAACTAGAATTCTGTTCACTTTTCATGTTTTGAGTAAATCTTTGCTTTTCTCCGTGTTAGGACCAATTGATTTTATCAAAAACAATCGATGCCCAGATAGTCTTGGAATCGCCAATGACGCTTTTACAGTCAACTGTTATACTGTAACTCCCATCGATATGATGTGTCTCTCGTTTAGAAATATTTCTGTCTCTTTCATCTTCTTTTCTTAGTATCTACGCCAATATACTCGCATTAGTTCCATTCTTCGATCATTTCGTTATGTACGTTATACTATGTGCTAGAATATGAATATGTATCTGAGTACGAATGAACAGTATTTAAGACATGTTCTGTTGAAATTTATTCGATTACTACAGTTCAAAGATAGACAGAAAAGGAAAGAATGTATAGTGCCTTGTGCAAGAGAGTTCAGGGAGTTTGTTTAGTTCCATCAAAGTCTTTGTTTACCACCAGAAGGGATCTAGAAATGACAAAATAGGTCAGTATTGTGAGAATGATCAAATATCTGGACGCTACAAACCCCATGCTCCCCATCCCCATGCAGGATATGGATAAGCAGGCCATCCCCATGAGGGACCCCAACGACCATATCTACCCCATGGACGATACCATGCATCACGTGGATCTTTTTCAGCTGAAATTTAAAATGTTAAGAACTAAACGAAGCAATATTTGAACGAACCTGTTTGCATTGGCGCCATTGGTGCTTGTGGTCGTTGTCGAAACAAGCCGGCAGTGGTGGCAGCTCGTGCTGTAGACATTTGAATCAGATCAACAATCAATACGCGCTTGCTTATATGTGATTGAAATTGTTATTTCTTGTCGTCTACATTTACTAGCTTTTATAGGTCGATGTACAATAGAGCATATCCTTTCGCCAATTATCGAAGGAAATTTATTTTATTTCACTTGATTTTTCCATTTGTTTTCGCCAATAAATGTGAAATTACCATTCTGTCTACATTAGTTTACCACATGAGTTGGAATAGAAAATTGAATATTACTGTACCTATATACTTTCGTTACTAATTCAGTTTGACAAAAGGTGCCAGCGAACTCCGTTGAAATTTTCCGTCCATCATTCTGTTTTACCTGGAGCAATGAAAAATAGACATAGGGAAAATATGCATATATACATCTGTCGTTGATTGACATTATCAAAAGGTAATTAAACTGGGTGTCTTGAAGTAAAGCATTTTTATATAATAGATAGTTCTACAAATGGAACGGTCAATAATCAAGTGGTGTAGAGAAACTAAATTGTATGTAGGACGTACCAGTAGGGGGAGAAGCAAAAGAACTTCACTTAAACTGGCTTACATTATCAATAAAATGAGTAGAATATCTTTTTGATTTCATATAAATAAAATCGATCATTCTAACCGAAATATGTATTCGCTTGGCTTTTCACATTGGTGAATAATCTTATTGAAAGCTCGACTATGACATGTAAAACGCCGGTAAAAGTTTGTATATGCAGATATATCGATGATTCTTTACCTTCACTCATCACATTTGACCATAATAATAACATGTTGAAAGCTGCATTGAGTATCCAATCATTCAAATTTGTCTGTTTAATTACCGAAATCGACGATGAAATCGGTTATGAGAAGGAACGCATTACTATTATTGTCCAAAATCGTATCCATCGGGTTTTGTTGTTGTTGATAAAAGCTACTTAAGAGAAACGACAAATATTTTCGATTAGCCACATTGTATACCATCTTTGCGAATCAAATGGATTAATCGTCGATCATAAGACGTACAGTGCATAGCTGATCAATTACGATTGAAAAATAAGAGAACATGTGCAAACGCAAGGTCGATGATTTGAATAGATAATATCTATAGGTAATATATTCATGTAATCATCGGTGCAAATACAATAATATAAACATTACCGCTCGCAGGTCTGATTTTTCGTCTCACCATACTCGTGAAGAGTGCTTCTATGAAATTTTTTTCTTCTTCTGGATATCACGGCGTAACATGTTGCGAAGAAAATCCGTTAGCAAAGCGAGCGGAAATGCCGGCTCGATGGCGAATGTTTTTTGCTTACAAGATATGCAAAGTCAACATAATGAATTGAATGGAGAGTTTCTGCTCTATCAAGTGATTCTCAAACGTTTACTATCGGAAGGTTTGACCGATCTTTCGAAAAAAGCCACACTTATCGAGCATTTTGATCCTACCGATGCAACAGATCAACAGATTATGAAAGAGTTCGATACAAGCTACGATCCAAAGAAAGCCATCTATTGGTACACACGTGAATCATGTATATATCGCTTGTTAAACAAAGCCTTACGGACACAAAGTATTGGAGATCTGATTGCGTTTACACAATTCATTCGTGACCTATACAATCAATTAGCCTATGAACAAATAACCTTCTTAATTACAAGTCCAACCATGTCCTTGACAGTGTATCGTGGCCAGATGATCAGTGTTGACGAAGTGAATCGAATCAAGTATGCTAAAGGTCAATTATTATCGATGAATTCATTTCTGTCGACAAGTACGAACCGTAAGCAAGCATTAGAGTTCGCCATGAGCGGAACAAAATCAGAGACGTTAACGACAATTCTATTAGAAATTAAACTTGATTTACGACAATCGAGTCGGCCGTATGCTGATGTGAAAAATCTCAGTGCGTTTGCTAAGGAAGACGAAGTGCTGTTCATGTTCGGTTGTGTTTTTCGTATTGATCAAATTTGGTTTGATAAAGAATTGAAAATTTGGCGAGCGAATTTGACATTATGCGGCGATGAAGACGGTGACTTAACCCGATTTGAAGTCGAGCTGGAACGAGAGTTAGAAGGGAAGAATATGCTGGTAAGTCTCGGTCTTTACATGATGCAAATGCAAAAATTCGATGAAGCTGAAGCTCATTATAAAATGTTGTTAAAAGAGAAACTGATCAAAGAAGATTTCGATTTGGCTACTTGCTATCATGGTCTCGCACAAGTTAACGAAAAGAAAGGAGATTATGATGATGCTCGAAGGCATTTAGATCTAGCAATGAATTATTTATCGAACGATCCAAAAACCAAAGAGCACTTTCTTGTCGGACAATGCCACAATGATTTAGGTTTAATTCATTCCCATCAAGAAAATTATCCTCTCGCCTTTCATCATTACGAACAAGCGTTGAAGTTCGAGAAAAACAATCATTCGATGACTTACGCCGGTCTAGCCAAACTGCATTCCACCATGGGAAATTATAAAATCGCTTTGGAATATCAGTACAAGTGTTTACAGCATCAGACGAATACCACACGACCATCGTTCATTGCGAATACATACATCGAATTAGGAAAGATCTTCACGGCATTGAAACAATTCGAAAAAGCGAAAAATATCTTCCAAAAAGCAATCCAGACGCAACAAAAAGCTTTGTTCGCTGATCATCCAGATTTAGGCTATACTTACATCGCAATGGGACAGATGTACTCCGATTTTGACCAGGAAAGCAAAGCATTCGAATGTATACAAAAAGCATACGATCTACAAGCGAAATCTTTACCAAACAATCATTCGGATTTCGCGGAGAGTTTCAAAAACTTTGGTTTTCTTTACCAAAAGAAAGGTGACTATGATCAAGCATTGCACTACTTCAACAAATTACTCGAAAATCAATTGAAAACATTACTATGGAAACATCCGGCTGTCGGTGAAACGTATTCGATTCTTGGCAAAACTTATTTAGCACAAAACAATTACGATCAAGCACTGGATTATTTGGATAAACTTCTGAAAAATCAACTGGAACGATTAAACATCGGTAATCCAGCGATCACAGAAACCTACAACACAATTGCGAATACATATTTGAAAAAAGACAACATCGAAGATGCCTTGGACTACTTTCATAAATCGCTGAAAAACGATCTCGAACGGAAACTTCCAGATGATCCATCATTGATCGAGCTCTACCGAACCATCGCGAATCTTCATTTAAAACTCGATGACTACCCATTGGCATTGATTTATTTCAATCGACTAGTCGATGCTCAAGCACGAGTGAAACCTGTGGATGAAGAAGCAATCGACAAAACATATGAAATCATCGGCAAAATTTATGCTCAAAACAATTTTTTTGAAAATTCTCTACTTTATTTTGGAAACTCGTTGATTACACAAATGCAAGATTCCTTATCAAATCGAGCTGACCTGTCCGACTCATTCCGTATGATTGAAAGTGTTCATTTCGAAAAACGACATTTAGATCAAGCTTTGCGTTATTTTCAACAGTTGTTAAAGATCGAATCGGTCAAACTCCAAACGGGCGATGCACAATTCACTCATTTACATAAAATTCTCGGAAATATCCTATTAGAAAAGCAAAATATGGAAGAAGCATTAGTCTCCTTTGAAAATGTAATGAACAATGAATTGAAGACCAAATCGTCAACTGATCCGAAACTATACGAGATTTACGAAGTGATCAGCAATATCAACGTTGAAATACATAATTACGATCAAGCATTGATTTATCTCAAGAAATTGCTCAGTAGTCAACTAGAAAAAGTTCCGAGAAATTATCGTCGATTGGCTGATCTTTATAAATATACTGCGAATATCTATCTGGACAAATTAAATTATCCTCAAGCATTGATCCATTATAATCATCTACTTGATTGTCAATTGAAAATAGACGTCAAAGAATTGAATGCGACATTAGCAAGTATCGGGAAAGTTTTTTGTGATTATGATCGATTTGCTTCGACGAAGAAGTCGAAATTAGGCTTCGTAACAACGATAAATCTCCTACCGAGATCTCTTCGAATCGCGTCTCTGACGGAGAGTTCGATAGAACAACGTCATTTCAACCGTCTGATCGACTATTTCGAAGAGCTCATCACAAAAAATAGTTCGCTAAGTGATTCTTATCAAATACTCGCACATGTCTACCTCGAAATCCAAAGTTTCGACGAAGCGTTAAAATTTTTTCGGAAAGCACTTCATCTCGAAATGAAAGTTCAACCACCATCAAACGACACACTAATCATGAAAATTTACAAATTCATCTGTGTAATCTATTTCGAACAACATAATCTCACTCATTCCATGAAATATCTTCAAAAATTATTGCACAAACTCTTAGACAGAACTCTCGTTCAAGACCCTTCGTTAGCTGACATCTACCACCTCATCGCCGTGATTTATTTCAAACAGAAGAACTTCTCACACGCGCTGCTTTACTTCAATCTTCAATTAGATTCTCACGCACAAGCCAAGTCGAATGAGAAAACCGCCATCGAACGTGCTTATTCATACATCAAATCGATCTATTTAGCTTGCGATTATTTTCCAAAACCTACACTACGATCGTTATCAGTAGCATCAATAAAACTGATCGAAGGCAAATATTTCGATCAGCGACATCGCGATCAGTCTATCGAGTATTTCCATCAAATACTCAAGAAACAATTGAAAACATTATCCACTGGTGATTCCTTACTGTCGGAAAGTTACAATGTTATTGCGAATATAAATCTCTCTCAACGAAACTATAACCAAGCGTTGCTTTTTTATTATAAATTATTAGCGAATGAGTCCGAAGAGAAAACGTTCAAGGATCTTTCGTTGGCAGATATTTACAAAAACATGGCATATATTTATTTTGATATGGAAATCTATGACGAAGCGTTACTGTTCTTCAATCGTCTAATCCATTGCCGAATAGAAACTTCAGATTTGCCAATCGATGAGATCTACGCATTGATAGGAAAGATCTATTTGACGAAGCATATCTCTTTTCCGACGGGTACGGTGTCGACCGCCGAGCGTTGGAAGCAATTGATTCAAACACAAACCGAAGCCGAACGAAAACCACTGAATAGTCTTTATGAAATTCTACATAATAAACCGTTCAAATCCTATTACCAAGATCGAGCATTGGATCATTTTCTGAAATTACTTCGTTCACGAACTGATGACAAAACATCAACGACGGCCGATATGATTTATTTGATTATTGCAAATATTCATTATGAAAAACGTGATTACAATCAAGCGCTATATTATTTCAGTAAATCAATCGAAGCGAGTACATCGAGAGATTCTTCATTGGCAGATATTTATACAGCGACAGCGAAAATTCATTTTCAGAAGGGTCATTTCAATCAAGCAATAGCTGACTATCGATTAGCGTTAACATACTACAAAAAAGATTCTTCGGCAGCATCACATAAAATCGAACAAGTCAAACGATATATAAACGAAAGTATTTTACAGCTGGAGAATTAGTTCGAAAGCAAGTTTTTTTGTGTACATCTCAGGAAAAGCGTTCTCTTATGGTTTTTTTTTGTACTCGATAATAAATTATTTCTCCCTGATGCTGATTTAGTTTCGGTACATCAACGATTAAGACAAAATCTTTTTCTAATCGATCATGTCTATTCGAAATGACAAAAGAAACAAGAGAAATTGGATATTCAACAGGTGTTTTTCACACCAGTTTATTTCGTGATAAGCGACAGAACAAGAAAAAAACATGTGATTGAATGAAGACATACACTTACTGCTTACTCCTTTCGTTATTCATGCATGACAGGCCGTATAGAATTGATTTATCTTTTTAATGAACTTGTAAGGTGCGATCATTCATAAAGGTGACAAGCGTTTTGACATGTTCGTGCGACGATATACGATCGTTCTTCTTCTTATCGTTCTGTTTGCCACTCTTCATCTTCCAACTAATCGCTCGAAAATATTAAATGAACAAGAATCATCCAATTGTTCGCAATTATGTCCTTATGTGATGAGTTTATCGCACGACTATCTTCATTTTGATTCACACCATCTAACTCGACATTATCCTGACTTTGTTTGTCAATTGAATTTTCGTAATATGGCCGATTGGGTTTACGGTTGGCCGTATGGATCTCACGAGCGAATCGAAACAACAAGAAATGGAAAACACATTGCTCCGTGTCTACCTGACGGTAGTATTATCTATGTTAGCATTTGGGCGATTGGCACATTCTTCACAGATGTTTATCCGCATCTTTTTCATAGATTTGTTCTAATTACAGGTGAAGGTGATTCATCTTCACCGATTCTCGACTATCTCGAACGAGCCGATTCGAAAATTATTCATTGGTTTGGTCAGAATGGCGCAATCGCTAGTTCGACGAGCAAGAAATTCACTCATATTCCAATCGGTATAAAGTTCATCAATGAAAAATCGTTAAAAAACGACTTGCTTTTTTGTTCAATAGGTCTTCAATGTTATGAAATGGCCGAAGCAATGAAAACGATCTACAAAGAGCAGAGTAATTACACACTACCACAACTATATGGCGATATAGACGAGCCGATAAAGTACATTCAACCAATGGACATGACTCATCGAATATTGTTTAACAAAGATAATATGTTGAGAAAAAATCTTTTGCTCATCAACTATTTGTCGAAGAACGATGAAACAGGATTGCGCCGGCGTATTTGGAAAGATTTGTGCATACATAGGAAGAAAAATCAATCATTTATAATGTGTCTCAGTAAAACTTCTGGTGTTAATCCATCAAATCTTATTGATGTCTATCGACGAAATCGTGAACATTCATTCTGGTTATCACCGCGTGGCAACGGTCTTGATTGTCATCGAACGTGGGAAGCCTTGTATTTGGACATGATCCCTATCGTTTGGAATTCGTCGCTTAATGTTCTTTATGAAAACTTGCCTGTTGTTGTTATTCATGATTATAAAGAGATTACAGAAGAATTTTTGAATGAGAAGTTGAAGAAAATTTCGACGACGAAGTTTTATCTAATGAAACAAACGTACCGTATGGAAAAATTACGTAATGCATATTGGCGTCGATTAATTTTAAGCAAATCTAGACATTCAATAAAAGAGATTAACAAACGAACGAATGTCTGCTGGAGAGTAGCAAATTCCACAAAATCGTCAGTCTTCCCGTGGCAAAAATAATAAAATGACATATGCGTAATTCTCTCTTTTGAATCTATACGAACAAAATCAAAGTTTTAGCAGAATGTTGTCATTCAGGAGTTTGTTAAATTAAATCGTAGAATACGATTATTGCCGCTGTCTGCAACGTACAGATTGTTGAATCTATCAAAAGCGATGCCATATGGGCTGTGTAATTGGTTGGAGTTTGAGCCAGCTGTTCCGTTGCCCACAACTGTCGAACCATTAGATGCTCCGTTAATCCACCGTTGAATTCGATGATTACCTACAGAAAGGAAATCGACGAAATATTTCATTGCTTTTCACTTGTATATTCATGATTAACATTACCATAATCACAAATGTAGATATCTCCAGCTGAATTTAGAATAATTTGTGTGGGTTGTTTCAATCGATTCGAGGTCGATCCTGAACTGCTAACTTGCCCAGCGACTAAGACACCATACGTTGACGGTGGAGTCCATTTAACAACGCGCCCATTGTTATAATCAGGTACATAAATATTACCATTGGAGTTAAACTTTGCATCATATGCATAGGCGATATTGCTCAAAGACGTACCGGTCGATCCGTTTCCTAAAGTGAACAAAAACAGTACTTATGTCATTGTTTCAAAATCAAACTACTAACGTTTTCTACTTACCAGCAACCATGATGCCTTGTGAGGCGCCTAGCTGCCACTTGAGAACTCGATAATTTTGACCATCGTAGATATACATATTCCAAGTGCTTGAATCAATAGAAATACTTTGAGGCTATAGAAAAGAAGGCAAATCTTCTCGTTTGTTCTCTATTGACAGATGTATTGTCTGAACTTACTTTGTTTAGTAGATCTAGAGTTGACCCACTAGTTCCTGTTGTTCCAGCAACGGTCGTACCATTCGTAGCTCCGGGAAGCCATCTCTGGATACGATGATTGTTTTGATCTGCCTAATGAAAACTTCATGATCAACCTGATGCCACTTCATAAGAATCATATCGTGCTTACTATATATAGTGCTCCAGTCGTGTCTATATCTATACCATTTGGCGAATTGAGCTGGTTCATTTTCGATCCTGCCGTTCCGGTACCAGCGATTACCCTGGGCATTGATCCATTGCTTGGATATATAATGACACGATGCTTGCCGTAATCATTCACATACAGATTGTTGTCTATATCGAAAGCGATGGGACCTGGACCAGTTAATGATATGTTGCCAGCCAAACCAGCTGCACTACTGCCAGCCACAGTATCACCTGTAGCTGACCATACAGCTTGAGCTGTCAACTGTTTTTCCGTTGCTAGCATAAGAACAAAGTCAATATGTGTACTTCCTTTCGTTTCTACTAACTTGTTCCTATGTTTGTAGTTGTTTCAAAAGTAGTGTAGTATTGTTCGGGCGGTAAGCTACGAAAATAAAAAGATGAATTAGGATCGACGGTCAGATTGTAAGGGAGCGAATAATTGTAGACGAACAAACATGTTTGATTTTGTGAACAACTAAGACCAATAATGTCGTCTGATAACATCATAGTACATATGCATTCAGCACACGAATCATTCGTTGGTACAGTAATTCCGGTAGAGGAGAAGAACGAGACACCTTGAATTGACCCAATCTGCACAGATACGATTCGACTGGCAAGAAGAAGAATCATTTGAGCAATAAGGACTCTGAGCATACGATGGTATGTCGACATGTTACGGAATTTTTATCACTAACTAGGTTAGTGGACTGATTAATAAGGAATATATGCACGAGTTTCAATAATTTGTTCTCGTCTCTGCTGTTTTGTGTGTTTTTGTTCGAGAAAAATCATTAAAAGAACATGTAACAAACAGAGCACATCAAAAATTTGTATTTGAGTACTTTTGATGGATGTTTACATTTTCTATCGGTGTGAGTGGAAGTAGCGAACATGAGACGTTTTTATTTGAATTACATCCACACCCTTAAGAAAGTGATTCGTTGTCATGTTCAACAAAATCCACTCGTAGTTCCTTTTGATTTGCCTTTCGGCTCAAGTCGAATAGTTGGACTACTTGTTTTCCTCGATGATTCCTTCGATATCAGGCCATTAAAGAAATACATGAAAACTTGTTCGACGTTGGTGCCATTCTTAGGCGATGTCTCCAGATAAGTTACATTCCTTGAATCAGCTAAAGCCTACAAAACAAACAAATATCCATGATGACGACAAGCTCAATAGCATTTTTGAGTAATGAATACTTTAGCTTGATCGTAATGAACTACTCGTTCAGCTGTTAGATCACATTTATTTCCCACAAATATAGTTTTGACGTTATTTGTATTATTGGCATAAGCATCGCTCAACCATTTAGTTAGATTGTTGAATGATTCCTCAATAGTAATGATATTAGCATATGAATTCAATTGAAATAACATACTTCATTGGTAACATCGAAAATAATGATAAAACCATCGGCATGTTGACAGTAACTACCTGAAAATCAGAACAGTGGTTTATAGCAATGGAACATATGTCGTTACCCGATAAACTCCGATATCGCTCTTGACCAGCTGTATCCCACTGAAAAGTTTCAATCAGAAGAAAAAAAAAGAACAAAATAGAAGTGATTGTCAACGTACAATTTGAAACCGTATCGATTGTTCATTTTGTGTTATTGTATGAGTAATCTACAAATACAAAACGAATCTATCTGTGGATTCTATAATGAAACGAACAAAGGCCTACGAAATCGATACCAACTGTTGGTTGAAAATCACCATCAAATGTATCTTGCTAAAAGCTGTCAATATGATGATAAATAACGGCAATGAATTCATATTTACCGTCAGTCGTTTTAATAGAGCAGATTTTCCAACGCATGAATCTCCAAGTAGCACTAATTTACACTTTCGATACCTAGATAAGATATGAATATCAGCCCATCGTTCGGAATCATCTGATTGGACACAAGACTTTACTCTTCACACGCCGATGCAGCTGAAACATCACATTCCAGTTTTATTTTTTCTTCATGAGAAACAATAGGTTCTATTGTCAGAGATGTAACTGTTGTTTTTGCCATATTATTCACCATGGTAAGAAATATTTCGTGCACATTAGAAGTATCCTTCGCTGATGCTTCAATGTAAGGTATATTTAACGAATCAGCTAACTCCTATGAGCAGAGAGAGAGTCGAAACTTTGATTGGTTCAATCTGCCTGACATACTTTTGCTTCTGAATGTTCAATCACTCGTTCTGTGGATAGATCACATTTATTACCCACCAACAGTTTCACCACGTTCGCAGATTGATTGTTATTGAACATTTCAGACCAATATCGAACGTTTTTGAATGAATTCTGTAACAACAACATCTGCACGATATCACAGAGAAATTCCACTGACTATACATACAGAATTTGTGATATCGAAAACGATGACAGCGCCATCAATACCTTGTACGTAAGTATCTAGAAAGATGATCGTTCGGTATAGATAAAAATGACAAATAGTAAATATCACCTGTCAATGATCGAAATCGTTCTTCACCGGCGATATCCCACTAGAACAATCACAAGTATTCAAGTAATCTTTTCATCGTCTCATTTCTATTTACAATTTGTAATCGAATAGTTTTTCCATCACTTTGCAATCGATGAGTTATCTGTAAGTTTTCTGCATTAATTCCTTTTCCACGTACCGGTGTGCGTTACTTACAAAATCGACTCCGACAGTTGGAGCTGCTGTTTCGTTGAAAACATCGTTCTAATAGAGCAGCGAAAGATTGATCTAAGAGAAAAAAGAACATGCACATTACACGTACTCCAAAACGTGACAACAGCGATGATTTGCCAACATTTGCGTCGCCCATGAATACGAGTTTGAACCTTTCATATACAACAAAAAATTCTTTTTTTCCCGTGAAAATTTGATTCTGAACATACTTTTGCACAGCCATAAGTACGACTATCTCGAAATCAATTACTTCTCAGACAATTATCGATCAATTTTTATATTTTCACATTGATACTTATTGACATGAATGCTGTTAGTTTTTACAGAATAGAATCGTTTCTTTTTTTCCTTTTCGACTACCAGTCAACAATAGAGAAAGAGAGAGAGAAATGCAGCCACCTTCTTCATTCTTATATTTTCAAATATAATTAGTTCACTTTGTGAACAAACGATTATTTCTACCAGTGATTATGTGCAAAATAATCATGAAATAAGTACAAGTGCACACATTGCGTTCAGATGTACTTTCTCGGATTCAGAAGATTTGTTCCGAGTAATATCAATTCAGCTCTCTCGAAGTTGAAAACAAAAAACGTTAACGAGACATTCGATCACGCCAAACCAAAATATATGCAAAAAATATAAGGTAAACAGCGGCAGATTGATATGCACACGTGTTTCTATTATTCACCTTTATGGCGATGATTTTTGTAACATGCTAATCTTAGACTAGGGCCCTAAACTAAACACAGGTACATTCGTTCGTGGTGAAAAAATATAAGTATCGCTGTTCACAAAAAAAAATAGGATATAGATATACTATCGTTTATTCTTCATTCACAATCTATTTTGATCAACTTATCTGTTGCATAATCACCTTTCAATGGAATTATCAACTGTTGTTTATCGTTACTTTTTATTTACGAACAAAAATCAAATTTGACAGAAAAGCGAAGAATCAAAGCGATCTCATGAGAGTGCTGAATTCAGCTTGATCAATTCCTCCGTCGTGATTTACATCTGCGTAATCGAACATGGCGGCAGCTGGATCATATTGTGCGCTTCGTCGTGCTACATTGGGCGCGCCAATACCAACATCTGGTCCGAGGCCGTATGAATGACGTGCATTTGCGTTTGCGGCAGCACTGTATTTTTCATATTCGATGGGATTTTTAGTGAAACCAGCCAGAGCAACATCGAGACCGATTTCATAGGTCAATGTTTCAATTGCATGTTCGCCGTTCTATCACATAAAAAACAGTAAACCGTGAGAAAGACAAACGAAATTTCGCGATGGAAAAGGCAACTTACAACGTTCGCTTGAGCGCTCATCTTGTAATCTGAAAGACTGAATGAAGATTCGACGTACATTTCGCGAGGATTATAAACCAAACAAGTTTGACGTCAATGGCATTCAACCGTAAAAAATATTTTTTTTCCTACACATCCTCATCACATACCAATTGAGGGTATCATTCTCGATCTGCCTATCTTAAGTTATTTACAAAACAAAGGAATGCGCCGTCATCATAACGAAAAAAAAAGACGGTGTGTAGTTATGGTTGTACATATTTGCTTTCGGTGGGGTAATTTTCGCCGTGTATAGTTGAGACGAACATCTATATTTTATCTTTGACAATTCGGTCATTTCGTTTAACGGATGATCAAATTATGTTTGCTTTCCTTTTTCCTTATCTACGTATACAGAGAACAGAAATTAGACGATTGACCCAATGATATATTATTCGTTTGTTTTTCTCACACCTTGACACGCATGTGATCTATGGACTGAATCGAAACAATCATTTGTTTAGAAAATATGTACAAACGTTTTCTTCTTTCATCCACCGTTATGATGAAAAAAGGAAGTATTATATTTTATGTAATAGCACAGTTTATCATCTTCTATCGATTCTATTTAAATTCTACACGGAAATATCTAAAGGTAAGGAGAACAATAAATTGTACGCAACTTTGAATTTATCGTTGAAAGTCAGAGGACTGTTGCGTTTAGATATTATTATACAACGGACAGATGGTCCGAAAAAATATTGCCCTCTATCTATCATAAGGTTATTGGTGAAGGAATTGAGAAATAGGCGCAATGGATGATATCATATTGGAATAGAAATATATTTTGTCTTGTTACAACGATTGTTTCACTATCAAGAAACAATTTTGAGAATATACACAGCAGAAGCAAATGAAAAAGTGTATTTATTTTCACAATACAAATACGAATCGATCCGCATTCTTGATAAACGATAAAACTATAAAAAAAATGTGTCTTATTCAGTTCGCAGCTTTTACGCATTTGTCAAATCGTCGACCATATTGACCCAATCACTGAACATATCAGGAATTTCAGCACTAACAAAGTAGATCTTCTCTACTCCTTTGAGACCAAGCTCTTTCGTTTCACTTTCAATCTTGCTCTTTACCTTGCTTTGCTCGGCATCTTTCACCAGATCGAACTTATTGAACACGATTGTGTATTTCAGTCCAAGTTCATCGAGAAGTCTCATCAAACTCGAGTTTTCTTTCACCGTCGACCCAATGAGAATGAGACGTCGTGTGAGACCTTTGAAGAAAGAGATGTACTCCATACTGAAGTAAGAGACTTCGTCATTCCGACCAGGAATATCCCAAAGGATGAATTTTGAACCTTTGTGTGGTGTAATTGTGGTTGTTGTTTCACCAGCACCTGTTTCGGCAACAGTTTTGCCGATCAAAGTGTTGAGCATAGTAGATTTACCAGTTGAGGTCAAACCGAACAGACCGATGTTGTTACCTTCCAACTTAGCTGGCTTTGTCTCCTGAGCCAAGTGGATGAGATCATTCTTAGCTTGTTGATCCCGTTTTTGAAGTTGTTCAAACGTCGTGATCCTCTTTCTTTCCATCTCTGCGGTAAGTGTGTCGAATCGTGAGAGTAATTTAGCATTTTGTGCGCGATATTCAGCTAGTTCTTGCCGTAATTCGGCTGCTTCAGCTGAACTATTGGACGGATTCACTACAGCGGGTGATTCACCTACAAGATCAACATAGTATTTGTAAAAAAACGTGCTACGGTTCAGAGAAATCATGCATTCAATATCTTATTGCGATTTCATGGACAGAAGTTTCTTTACTCACCCTTTTTTCTTCCTGCTACTTCGTTTAACAAGGTTTCAACGACTCTGATAGCCGCTGGTATAGCTAATCCCCAATAAGCCATGTTTTTCGCAAGCGCTACTGAAATTGATTTGTAACGAGAATATCTATTCGATATCAAGACTACATATGAATATATATGTATTCAGATAGAAGCAATTTTGTTGGAATATTCCACATTTTATAATATTTCTTTTTCTTCGTTGCTCATGCATCCTATTCGTTTGTGATGCAATCATCAATGACAAGGAAAAATCCTCTTCTGGTATCGTTTCGAACAAGAGAGACGCAAAAATATGGCAAATATGGGTAAGAGAAAGATTATTATCTGAAGGTTTTTTCCTCGATCTCGAGTCTCGTGTAATTACGACGTCGCACAAATCCATGTTCGGTTCTGTTTCTTTTCATGCGTCAGAGTAACACGAGAATCGTATACAAGCTATTTGCGTTTAAAATATCCTAAAGTCGAAGGGATAGCTGTTTGTCTTAGATGCTTCTAAATCTTTTATCGCATTTTCAGTGCTGAGTATTACACGTTTTTTACCACGTTGTAATTACACAAGACTGGAGATCGAAGAAAAAATCTTCAGAGAATAATCTTTCTCTTATCCATATTTACCACATTTTTGCGGTTCTCTTGTTCGAAACAATACCAGAAGAGGATTTTTCCTTTTCATTGATGATTGCATCACAAACGAATAAGATGCATACACAACGAAGAAGAAGAAATATTATAAAATGTGGAATATTCCAACAAAGTTACCCTTATATATATAGCCATCGGTGACTATGCGGAACAAAACTACGTGTCTATCGATTGTATATCGGATTGCACTTTGAAATTTCAGTATGATAGCTGTGAATATCATCACATGCTTGAGCAGTCATATAGTTCAAGAACTGTTAAACACAATTAACTCATTTCGAGGTATGTTATAGGAGTTTTTGTAAAAGAAAGATATTTTCTTATCGTCGAAGCTTTTCTACCCTTGTTGTTTATATTTAGATCGTCATGGTGCATCGGCTGAAAATGCGCAGTTAAATGATCTAAGGTCCCGAAACGATGATCTTACACAGGAAAATGCCGTTCTACGTCGCGAATTGTCGAAAAATCAAGCGAAGACTGAAACAACGACTCCACAATATGGACAAGGAGCAACGTTAAGTCAACAATCGGAGAAGAATTCAAACGCTTCCAGTTCAATAAATGTTCATCATCCTTCATCTACTGCAGAGCCAAGTTCAGACCAAATGGAGGTCGAGACCGAACGCAATACAGATGATAATGCAGCACTACGAGTAGAAGTGGCTCAGTATCGTGACCGCCACGCTCAACTAATTGAACGTTACAGAAAGCTTAACGAAGAATTGAAACGAAAACGAATAAAATCGTTTGAAGATCTTGCCAAGCATGATCAACAAGCGCTGAAAACTCTTATAGAACTAGCAAAGCTGACAGAACCCTTACCTATGGAAGGTAACAATATCGGCCTATTCGGTTTGACCTCAACTGGTAAATCTACTATGCTCAACACTTTGATCGGCAAAACTGTTGCCGAAACAGGTGCTGGTGAAACAACAACCACAATTACACCACACAAAGGTTCAAAATTCATCCTTTGGGATATTCCTGGTCGGAATGACGAAGTCTCTTACTTCAGTATGGAGTACATCTCTTTCTTCAAAGGTCTCACACGACGTCTCATTCTCATTGGGTCGACGGTGAAAGAAAACTCGAGTTTGATGAGACTTCTCGATGAACTTGGACTGAAATACACAATCGTGTTCAATAAGTTCGATCTGGTGAAAGATGCCGAGCAAAGCAAGGTGAAGAGCAAGATTGAAAGTGAAACGAAGGAGCTTGGTCTCAAAGGAGTAGAGAAGATCTACTTTGTTAGTGCTGAAATTCCTGATATGTTTGAAGATTGGAAGACTATGGTTAATCATTTAGTGGGTCTCTGACGCATAAATAATTGATAATTATAATGATTTTTGTTTATTATACCTGTCCTTTTTTGAATAAACATGATCTTCTTGACCAATTTACACTTTTGTTTACAGTGACGTTTTCAAGATATGAATACATCGTTTGTCAGACTACCCAATACCATACCGCTTTAGAAAGTTAACACCGAAAGTTAAGATACTTTGTTGCATTTAGGGATTAAAGAGAAAAAAGGTTTTTCGTGGGGTACTATATATGATTAAAACAAATAAGATGCTTATTATCATAGACATCAGACAAGTAATACAAAGTTAAAAAATACAAAGAAGCGTGTCCGATCTTTTCAAGGTTTATGCTTTGGGATGTCAATGCAATATCGGTGGTTAAATTCACATATTCGTTCAATCTGAATCTGAACTTGAGTCCGAGCTCGAGTTTGAGCTTGAATCTGATGACGAATCCGGATCAGCGCTTTGATAACGATATTCATTAGTTAAAGAATCGACCATTGTCAGCCAATCTGAAAACATATCCGGATACATTGCACTTAGAAAGTAGACGTTTTTCACTTCTTCTAGTTTAAGTGAAGAAATTTCCCGTCGAATTTTCGATTGAAAAGATTCTCGTTGATTTTCACGAACTTGATCCAGTTTGTTAACAACGATATCGTAACTCAGATTAAGGTCATCCAACAGTCGCAGCAGTTCCAGGTTTTCCTTGACTGTATGCTCAATAATAACAAGACGATGTGTTAGTCCTTTGATGTGCGACATATATTTTTCATTTGTATATGATAGTTCATCGTTGCGCCCGGGTACATCCCAAAGAGTGTATCCCATGCCTTTGTATGGTGTTATTTCTTTCGTTGTTTCGCCCACGCCTGTCTCCGCGAGCTCTTTTCCCAAGAGACTATTGATCGTGGTCGATTTTCCACAGGATGTCAGTCCAAAAAGTCCAATATTCTTCCCTGGTAATTTATTTGATTTGGTATTGCGGGCCAGTTTCTTTAGTGTTTTCTCTCGACTTTTCTCTTGCTTTCGTTCCATTCGTTCGAGTCGTCTGGCCAGTCGTTGTGCTTGTCGGCGTTCTCGATCCACATCTCGACGTACTGTTCTTATTTCCTGCTGAGTCGGTGAAACTCTTCGAATTCTGTCATCATCCTCGGATGGCTCACGTCGTCTTTCCCTCAAGTCAGCTAAAAATAAGTTGCACAGAAAAGTTTTCATTTTTACATTATGATATACGATAAAACAGCGAGTGTTTTATCATATAAATGTGGTAACTTACGTATGAGAGGTGTCGGTACTCCCAATATAGATTGAAGAGCTACCCTAGTAATATCATTAAAGAAAAATCCGGCCATCTTTCATCAAATATATGCAAGATAAATCAAAATTTTCGAATGAAATTCGTTCTGACTGATATTTATACATAAGCGCTGCGTTGGAATTTTTCTCTATTTGCCAATGCGTCATCGAAGAAAGAAACAAGTTTTTTTCCCTTTTCTTCTACGTATTGGCATTTACTGGATTTTTCCACAGCGTTTTATGTTATACGTCGATTATGATGTAAGCGTTCTGACAACCAGGGAACATGTGCATACGATGATGAAATATCGCTCTCATTTCATTTCATTTCATTTCTCCTCATGCAAAACACGTTTTTATACTTGTCCACGAAAACAAAACAGATAATACATATGTATTTGTTTTCGCGAGTCAGAAAATATACAGAAAATTGTCTTTAATTATTTAATAAAAAAAATTTCATGTTCGAATAATGTAATGAACTGTCTGATACGGTGGCATCAAGCTCATAGCTTGACCCGATCCTGTTGTGCCTGTCGATCCACTAATCGTATGGTTGTGATCGCCAACTGTGTTGATTGTAATGCCTGTCTTACCGCTGGAAATCGAATGACTATGTGTACCAGCGCCATTACCCGGAAAACCGGAACCAATCATAGCAGAACTACCAGCACCTAATGGTTGAGTACCTGTTGATCCACCATGATCATGTCCAGGATCCGTGTAATTATGTGTATGACTACCGCTGTACGAGGTAACTAAAGATCCTTGATCATGGCTATGTGAAGGCATCTCAGCAACCGTAATCGTGTGTGTTGAAGATCCGCCAGAGAGCATGGTCACATCACTGCTTAATGTGCTACCTAACGGAAATCGAGCCCGTAAATCAGGTAGATTAAATGTGTTAACGCCATCACCGCTTCCGTATATAGTACCAATAACACTAAATAAGTTTCGATAGGTTTGACGCGATACTTCTGATCCATTACAGAATAACCATCGATCGTTTTGACCTAGTAAAGCTGCTGATGTCCCACTGTAGAGAAGGATGGTACCAGTTGGTACTTCTAAGAAAAACCAATGGAAATTGTTTAGATCATCACATCCAAAATGGTCTCACCCGGTTGAAGACCAAAGATTAAGCTGAAAAAGCCGAGAAGAATAGCAGCAACTGAGAGCGCGCTGACAAGTCCGAGAATGCCAATGTGATCGATACTTTCAAGCGCTTGGTCACTAAGAAAAAGGACTTATCAATAGAGCACGCATCTCTTGACAATGGAATTACTTTTCATCTGGCGATCCTAACGGAGGTATCTATCGGAGACGAGAAGAAGTATTATATTAATAATTTGATATATAATCACATACTTCTGAATTTTCATTTGTGGCAGGTTTTTTAGGATAAATCGCATTCAATCTTCTGATAATTCTGAGGCGACTGAACGGTGGTAGTGAAAACGGCAGTGGAAATAATGTTCTAGATGTCATTAAAGATCTAAAAGTATTATTTAGCGGCCGATTGCTGGATATCTAATCGATAAGTGTGCAGAAAATGTTTTTTCCTTCTCGCTCAAACTCACACAAATCGAAGTGAAAAAAAAACTCCATTTCACTTCTCTCGGAGAAAGTTAAGTCGAAGTAGCAGCACTTCTCGCATCGGAGAGAGAAACGGAAAACACTACAACAACCATTCCGGTTGCTAAGTGCATGAGCAATGAAAACTTGATTTTGATTTTATAAATAATAAATATCCATCAATCCACTCTCAAAACATGATTTTTAGTCTGTTTTTTTCCTGTACACAAACACGCGAGCTTTTATTTTGCTAGGATAATTTATAAAAAATGTCAACATTTCCAACAATGAGTCAATTATAATTCAATTGCGTGCATTATTTCTGTAATTCGATCAACAATATACTAAAAGAACAGATCAATAGGTTTATAGAACAACGGAATAGATTAAAAGTAACATACTCGAGCGTCACCAAGATCCTCAAACGAAATAATCTTTTCACGTTCTCGGTGTCTGTTAATTCTTCGACGTAATTTAGCTTCCTAAATGATTACAATTACTCTTTTTGATAGAAAGATGCTCGATTTACTTTTAAATTGATTTCGATTTGATTCAACAGAAAATTCATCTTCGGCGCTTCGTTTAATTCTTTATATTGAAAGTGCCATTCAATTCCGTAGACATCAGAACTATGTGACGTATCTTTGATGAACATAATGTGTCTAAAATCACAAAGTTTCCATCGAGTCAATCGATTGAAATACGACTCACTTCGATGTGATCATAAACCAACCAAGTACATTATTTTCGAGACAATTTATATGAGCAATATAGTCATCTGACTGAATGTATTTCTTGTTATCAAGTCTCTGACAAAAACGAAAGCATAAAATCTAGTTCGTTGCTTCCTAAGACTTACATTGAAAATAAAACGACCTTTTGCTTCATCAGCGATCGAAGGTCGGATAAGAAAGTCAGTGCCGATATGTCGCGAGCGTCGAATACGATGAATAATATCGCCGTGTGTCACAGTCCTGTGATATTTCATCAATTAATCAGATTATTTTTGTTTCTGTGAAAGTAATCTTACCGTTTGAGAACGTCACACGATGTACTAGTCAGATTAGCAACACTACTTGTTGGCCGCGCGACGACGCCGAGAAAACCTTTACCTAATCCTTTCATTAGACCTGCAGCACCCTCTTCTTTAGCACCAGCTATTGGTTTTTTAACAACATCTTTCACACCATGTACAACATCCTATGGAGAATATATGAATTTTAATCTGTAGAGACGAATTGTTCGATCTAAAATACCTTAGCAACGCTTTTTCCACCATTGACAATATCTGATGTCGTTTGTTTGCGAGATTTCTTACGTTGAGTGCGAATATTTACATAATTTTCATCAAATGTTAATGTAGCTAAACCTTTACTAATGACATTCGTGAGTCTGGAACCCACGCCAGCAACGCTGCCTACAGCTGAACCAATTAAATGCTCTGTTCCTACGGCCATTCCTTCAGCAAATCCAAGTGGACCTTTGATAGCACCACCCTTAGAAAACGAGGAATATACTTTATCGTATATAAACCAAACTAACTTTATATGGTTCGTGGAAAAGTGCTTTCACACCATGAGCAACATCCCGAATGATTCCAAAAGGATTTCCAAGTACATCGTGGCCCAGTAGGACGACATACACTTGCTTCCAAATTTGATTCAAATAATGCTCATAAACCTCATCTATCAATTTATTGAAGGTAAATCGATCGTTTTCTCGTTCGTAGTAATTCAGCCTGCAGGAAAATAGTTTTTCAACAATTGTTGTTTAAAATGAAAAAGAAAGACTTACTTCAAAATTATATCGTGAACTCTCACATAATTTAATATTTGAATGAAATAGTCAATTGACGGGTAATCGACAAGAACGAATTGATTTGGCTTGGGGCCGTTCGATGACAGACTGACATGGATCTAAGGGGCACGATGAATCGTGATAGGAAATTTTCCGGACAGAAAACGATTTTTACTTTTATTGGGGAGACATGGATACAACCAAAGTACATTTTTGTTTCATTCGATTGTTTTTCAACAAGCTTCTCAAAGCCTTTTCTAAGTGCTTTTAAGTCCGAATTCATATCGATCGTCAGTTTTGTCGATTTCTGTAAATATTCAACATGCGAATTTATCGTTTTTGTGAAAAAACCCACCTCTTCCGTTTCGATGAATGTAAGAAACGCATCCATTAAACCTTGATCAAGACGCACCATCGCTTCTTGGCACACGATTTTGAAATATCTAAATGACTCATATCACTTGAACAAAAGATCTACACCAAATCGAATTGCATACTTGAAATAAACAGTATTCGAGCGTGTATTGATTATTTTCAAAGCACTCAGTTCAATACATGGCTTCTGCCCTGTAGGTGAATTTACCGGACGAAGGATTACTGGTAACAACGTATACTCTAGTTGATTATCGACTTGAATATGATTGATGCGTAGATGATAAGCAACATTTGTCGTTGACCAACTACATCGAAATCGTAGTCCATCAAGTGATTGGCGTTGAATTCGTATCCGTCGATCGTTTTGATCGATAATATCCGCCGAGTTTCCCATGAATGAAGCACGCTAAATGACAAATTTGCATCTCACGTGTTCTTCCAGTCACTAATCGATCTTACGCGATGTCTACCGACATGATATGTTTTTCTCTCCATTTCAGATTCATTTGATTTGACGTGAGCGCGATATTTCTTTTCCAGTCGATGATTGAGTCTTCCGGAAAGTGGTTCTATCACCGATTGCCGAGTTTCTGTCCACATCTCCTTCGATTTGTTGATCGTTAAGTAAATGAGTTCTTGATGTGTGAGATCATTGACAATCGACAGGCCAATTTCATGAATACTAATGTCAATATATTGATCCATTAAGTTGTTCGGAGAGAGAGTTCCATTGGCAAACTAAGTCATAGGATTACATACTTAGCGTAGAGAAAGTTTAACGTACGTCTGAAACGGACTTGATCACCGAAATTTCTTCTGCGAAAATGACAATCGTTTGAGGACCATCACGAAATACAGTGTAGAACACACGATTCGTACTGCTTGCTTCCAAACAACCGCAATCAGGCTAGTAATTGAAAAGTTATTTTTGCGAGAAGAACTGAATTTAATAGAAAGGAAATTACGAGAAGCTCAAGGGTGATGTGCTGATTGTCACATGCAATAGTCAATTTACGCGGTTTGAACATATCAGTCCATGTATAATAAACGTAATGTTGGGGTAACAAATTTACCATTTCTCTACAATTTTTCATGAACTTCTTATGTGGTGAAAAAGTTTTGGAAACTCACGGATCTTCTTGTTGATAATACACAATTGATCGATTTCTTAAACAATTGACAAGTAAAACAGGTGCATCGCCATGCTGATAATCACTGAAAACGATGTGAATACCCAAAGATTCAATCACCGATACTTCTACACGAAGACTCGAACGATCCTCATCATCCATGCGTAGCAATGTTTGATGTCGATCATACATTGGAAAATTCAGTGATGATACGTTTGGCTTATTCGCATATCGAACACACATAACACCTTCTTTGACATTCTGTGGCCAAAATGGGATGATCTAAATACGAAATTCTCCATTGGTGTCTCCCAATATAGGATACTATACTTCATTGGATTTGACTCCGTGCCATTTATTGTCTTGAATTCCCAGCACGGGTTCGTTAACTTCAAGATCAATCTGTAGGGACGTGAATATGGTAGATTCCTAAACATAAGATCTTACCGTGGAATTATTGATAATAGCCATAGAGGACGACAGTTTGATAATTTTGGTCATGCAAAATGAAGTTGTTGTTATATGAACACAAATCTTAGTAGGTCAACAAGATTTTACCGTTTACTACTATACAATCTTTTAGATTTACCATATAGGTTCGGTCATCAGATACTTTGCAATTCGCTACACCCGCACTAGAAATAACATAAAGAGTGAAATCTTCCGACCATTGAGATGTAGAACCGTTGTCTTCCTCTTCAGCAGGGTGGACGCGAACATGTGCCTATGAATGGATTGACATTTATTTCGGTTTGATGGGAAGTTTTTAAAGCAGACTTTTCGATTGTGCACTTCGTTATCAATTTTCTTTGGACAAACGAAAAACGGTGAGTCACTAACATTGACTAGAGTTATATCGTTTTCAATCTGCCCGAAAAAAGAAAAAGAACAGATGAAAAGAATGGCAAAATCAATAACAACCTTAAATTCCAGTTCAAGATTCGTACAGTTAACGATCCAAAATGGTGAATACAAGACCGCACGAAATGATCCTTGATACGTATCAACACGCAAGATCATTCTCTAGAACGCATAATTCTCCATCTCTTTCCGTGAAATGTAACTTCATTACCAATATCTCATTTGATTGAGCTTCGTGGAAAACTACCAAATGTTCATTGTGATTACCGTGTCCTTTAGTGGTTAAATCAATTGCTTCTGAAACCCACTTCATATTGTTGTACGATGGAATCTATAGAGTATGGGAAATATTCGTTGGAATCAATACAAATGACTACGTACAAGAAAAGTAAGTACAGATTGTTTACTGCCGGATGTACTATGGTGAAGTTCACTTGGTTTCAGATCGATTGGACTATTCGACTGAGTATGAATGCAATTGTCTAATGCTCAAAGAGTTATACCGAACTTACATCAATTAGGCATTGAACGTCGATAGGCAAGAGATTAATTAAACGAAGAGTATGATGAATATAAATATGAAAACAAGCTCGACTCGACTCATCCGTATTTCCGAGATATGCATTGATAGTTTCTTTCCGTATCTAAACATATTGTATACATTGCAAGCAAAATTAACGCTAGATACTGCTACTTACCACAAGGTGTATTTCTTCACTGTTTTCTCTCTTCAATCGACGATCGACGGCAGTTTCATTTCTCCAGTCGAATGAAATAAAATCAGTTCTGGAATAAACAAATCATTGCTAAATCAGAGAATACGTTCTAACATCGCACTCACTCATCTGAGCTGATAAATAGTCGAGAAGTTGAACGTATGTACAGAGGTTCGATGGGAAGATAACATTCATCATTTGCATCCACTCGGCACAATGTTCGATAGCTTTTCGTTTCAATCGAATCAATATCCAAGATCATCAGAGGCAAAACAGTCCGATTGTAAACCTTGAGAAGAATGTAATTGGAAAGAATTGCATACGAAGATATAATGAGTTACTTTAACAATGGAACTAAGAACTAATCGTCGAGAGTTATTGTAAATATGAGAATCGCAAAGTAATTCGACGGGCCAATCGGGTATAACAGATGGACTTAATTGATACACTCGTTTCGTGGCATAATTCATATTGACTTGTGTATTCGTATTATTCATTTTCAATTGAATAGATAGATCTTGTTGTTTCCTACTATTGTGATCGGTAATTGCAGAAAGATGTGTTGCCGATAATCGCTCTTTTGGAATGGTCATCGAAATTGAATTTCCATGTTGCAGTTGGATCGGTATTTCTGACTGATCCATCATTTCGAAATCTTTGACATCATCAAGAAGAACCTCATAACCTGTTAAATTGTGTACGGACAGCATCGGTCCATCTTCATTGACTGATAATTTATTATTGTAAGCATTCATATATGATGTCGTCAGACGTTGAATGAGATCGAAGCTTGTTTTCGTCAATATCATACTCAAGAAATGTTCGGCACGTATATGAATTTTGGTTTTTGCATTAAGGCTATCTGCGATATCTTTGGACTGTTCTTCAGTAGCGCATAATGAATTCTGATGACCCAAACATCCTAACTGAACAAACACAATATATCAACTGTTTTTGTTCTGAGAAGAAAAGAAACCTACTCTGTGAGGCCGCACAGATCGTTCTTCTTCAACAACCGGATGCTTCAATGGATATCTCATTTGATTTTCATTTACTACAGTCGAACATGTCAGATACCAAGGAGAAACGATTTCGCCGCGCTCATCAACCACTGGTTCGATCAATGGCACCCATGCAAGTGTACGATCGTTGAAAACAGCTAATTCAAGATGAATTCGTGAAGAACAACTCATCTGGATAGAAAAAAGATCACATCGATTTCTATCACATTCGAAAAGCTACCCATACATTACTCGACCAATTTCGAATGTCAACAGACAGATCCGAAAGACACAGCGCAACAGCTTCTTTTACCATTGAATTACCAGCAAATTCGCACTTGATTTCGATGAGTTTCAGATTCAAGTCAAACTAGAAATCAAAATCGAATTGAATCGAAATTAAAGTTATGCGTATGAAAGAACATACATGTTGTGATGTGCGATGATTAGTACTTTTCTCTTCTTCTTCAATTATAGTTTTGTTTTCCATCGGAGTTCCAGTTGCTAGTTCTAGAATATCTCTCTGTTCGATCATTTCCTGTTTGACTTCCGTATCTAGAAGAATACTCTCCTATTCAAAATAAATCATTTCGATTTTCGAACGAAACAAAACCTTTTAGAAACCAGAATGACCCATCTTTAAATGGTTTTGGATCGAATAGAGATGTTTCCATTTGTTGCTTTGAGCCCACTGCCAAGGTCGTTGCTTTACACTCGTTTATCAACTTTATCCAAATACCAACCATTCGAACTAAGACTGGAGAGATATTAAGAAGCATATTTTCGATAGAAACATCGAAATTTTCATCCGTTGTTTTCCTATTTAAAACGACATCGATACTTGTTGGTTGTAAAACCTAGATAGCGAATGAAATAGCATGAAATCACAGAAAACATCACATTCTTACACGAGATTGAAATTTCCAATCTTTCAAATGAGCAAATTTCGAAAGGTACGCACGAAGATCCTTGATGGAACTATGCAATTGAGTTTCTCCAAAGGCAATGTTCAATTGCATTTGAAACATGAACTAAAGGAAGAATGGGCAAGTCTCATTTCCAACAGGTTTTATCTTACATCAAGAACAAGGCAATCCGGATTTGAACTCGGTTGACTTTCCAACCAGGATAACTGGGAAGTTTTAACCAGAATCTCAATTTTTGTTATAATATCGGATGGCAACGTGCTCTTCGACGAAGATGATATCGATGATGAATCTTGCTGCTGATGATGATATCGTGAAACGCATTTTGCGGGTAATGGCACGTTATCCGTCATTGTCACTATCTGCGATTGTTCTTCTTTAATTATGAATTGAGTTGAAGTGAAGAACATGATCCATGTTTCCAAGCAGTCAGGAGTCAACCACAGATAGAAACTTTCCAATTGAATGTTCACTAATGAAAAGAAAAACTTACAGGAATTCCTAGATTTTTCCTTGTATTTACCGTGTCGAATATTCGTTACAAATTCAATGGTAGCCAGAAACATTGGTGTTTGGGGACTGACATGAGAATTACGATTGAACAGATGTGTTTCATGTGTATCATCTAGAATAATCTGTTGAATTTGAGCTTTGGCGTTGTAACTAGCGTCGGAGAGTTGTTGAAAATGAGCTTCGACTGTTTGAATAATCGTTCGAAGAAACTTATCTTGATTAAACCGAAGGACACACGTAATTCTGTCGATTTCAAAATCAACTTGCATCTTCTTTGAATCCTTTACAATCGTTCGCTGGGTACGAATCACTTCGGTTGGTTCATCCTCAAGTATTTGCTGCTCGAACGATTGCAGAGATACTTTTTCCGAGAAATTTCTCTTCAATATGCTCCTAACACACGAATAATCTTCGTTTGATATAGTCACATCAATGGTTTTCCACTCGATTTTGATGGAAATTTCTGGTTGCGTTTGACTTTCGCCTAAATATAATACACGTTGTATCCATGCGTGAAAATCTTCGCATTGGACAAGAACCGTGTCACTTGAAATTTCGTTATTGTCATTGAGATGACGATGGCAGATGTGAAAATCCGTAAAAATAAGCTCTTCTCGTTCGATTACTGATTGGTTTGGATGGTTGTCCGATGGCTTCGTTTGTAACGTCAATTCACCAAGATCAATGAAAATTCCTTCTCTGGAGTGAGTATCCACTGGAAGGAAAATTGTCGGCGCATTAAGAATAACATCGAAGCAGATTCTCAAATTTTGCCTTTGAAATTTATCAACCATATCCTCGAATGTGTTCGGCACGACGGGAGAAACATTGGCTCGTTTCGGTTGAAAAGCGTTCCACGCATTGAGAATTATGTCAATATATTTATACAACAAGACGAGACGCATTTTGTTCAAATACAATTTAATATTGTAATCAACGTCATGCAGTTTTCTCTTGAAAATTTTCGGATGGTTGTACGCGATGAAATCGAGATATAAAACTTGTATGTCCGGACTTTCTTGGATCATGGTGTTTCGATATTGAGTTTGAGCATGTAGATCGTGTATGTGAAGGTCGGTAAGAATGAGCTTCATTGCAAATTTTTTAATCGTCTGAGTTATATCGAGGGAGAAATCACGAAAGTGAATGTCGAGTAGTTGCGAGAACTCGGTGCCGATGATGATGCGAAATTGATCGAGGTGAATTTCGAACTTTGACGTGGGCCGCTTTTCGTAATATTTTCCGTTGTCGGTCGTTGCTTCAACGTTCGACGGCAGATTCTTTTGCAATGGTAATTTCGATATTTTATACAGCAGATTATTTTGAAACAGGACAATTGATGCCAGTGGTTCGATTTGTAACATGGCAAGAGGCTTGCTGAGCTGTACGTGAACTTTATTTTCAATTTGGTTGTAAGGAGCGGAATAGAATGATGGATTTTCCGGCGAAGTAAGCAAACATTTCATGTCGAGTAGGTTATTTTTATCTGCAGTGGAGAATAAACGAAGTGGTTCGTTGGTCGAAGTAAGAAACTGTTCGTGAGTGATGAGAAAGTCTGTCAGAGAGGCTTGTAAATCGATATGGAATGTTTTGATCGTTGTTTGAGCAGTGAGCGATATGAATGAAAAGCGAACGAATGGTTGGATTTGATCAGAAGTTGATTTTTGAAAAAGAATATCAATCTAGAAAAGATTCCGTTGACTATGGTCTTTTGTTGAAATTCGCTACGTACGTAAGGGATATTTAAAGTGCCATCGACTTCCGTTGGTTGTGCATCCAAATCGTCATTTTGTAGTTTCTTTTTCAATCTTGCCATGTTTTCAACCGTTTGAAAGAGTTTCTTCGTATTTTTTTCTGGTTGTGTGTCTTCGATGACGAATAACTAAAAGGAAATAATATAATGAACGACGAAACACGATTCATTCTCACTTCTTCGATAGTATATTTCTCTCTCGGCATGTTTTCCAATTGCGGTAATGGAATCGAACGAATCAGTTTCATTATGCCAAAAATACGTTCATCTGACAAACGAGAATTTACAGACGAAACATTGACGTTGATTTTCCAACTATACGAAATTTATTTGAGAAAATCGAACTTCGATATCGATCACTTACAGTGGTAGGACAGGATCATTGACGTAGATACATTTGTTTATATCCACATTGATGGTATACGGTTGAATCAGATATATTGGAGAATTTCGATCACATTGAAGATTTCCCCAATTTTCATCTAGATGCAAACAGTTCATAAAATACTGAGCGAGTGAAAGTTTTAGCGTACTGGATAGAGAATAAAAGAATCGAATATCTTCCAATTGAACTTTTATGGGAACGTAAGAGGAATCAAGAATATCCAGATGACTCTGAAACAATCAATGACAAAGATTAAAATGAGGACATCTCTCAGTACTTGAGCATCTTCGAATGTTTCCTCGTCGATCTGATCTGTAGTTTCCTCACGGCCACCTTGCATCTTCAAATGTCCGAAGTCGAAACAAGCCAACGAACAATCAGCCGATCGATAAACACCATTTTCAGGTAGAATGAAATAAATCGATTGAAGATCGATATCAATATCCAAATTCTTTATATTTCGAATATTATAATCAAGTAGGAATCGCATTCGATGTCGAATATCCATGTACATCGAATAGATTTTCTTCTTAACTCTAGAGAAAAAGAAACAGACAAAATTCAATGAAAGACCCGCACGACTTACTTACCCTTTTAAGTCACGATAAACACCTGGATAAAAACAATCCACGAGACTATTCATAGTCATCTATACAAACTCAAATGAATTAGAAGGAAGATTTGCCGAAAAAACGTTTCCTTACTGCATCATAAACGATGCCAATCGTTGGTGACTTGGCATGAACTCGAAAATCAATATTTGTTTTTGCTATATCTGTTTCAAATTCAATGTGGACTACTTTTTGGGACTTGTTCGTCAATTGAAGTAATTTCGGAGTAGGATTGTCCGTTTGAACACCATAAATTTCCAGTACATCAATATCGACGATAGTCCTGCAAAACAAAATATGATCTTAGCACAGAAATACCTGGTTCGAACGAACAGAAAAGCGGAAGTTGCTGGACGTCGTTGGTATTGTACATTCGTATTCAATACATCAATCTGCGTAATGCGAACAAACCTGTTTAAGAAGAAACGAACAAATCAGACATAGCACTCGACGGAAAGCTCACTGTGAATCATTTTCATTCAGAGTCGACCAAATGTTGATCTGGAGTAAATCCAGCCGAATTGCTAATTTCATATCCACGTACTAGAATTTCAAGTCTGTGACAATAGATGTGTGTAAAAGACTGACCTCTTCGGAGCAAGTTGGCGATTGCGAAATATCTTTGTCGTCAATAGAACTGTACAAGGTTACCTCCTCGTCAATGGTCATTACATCTTCTTGATCTAAACCTATCGATCATACGCGATTCATATTGAACAGAAACCGAATTACCGAAATTGTCGTTGTTTGATGCATTATTCCACCACGTAGACAGCCATTCCCATGTTGACTTATGTTTTTGTTCAACTTTTTTCTTTTTGATCTACAATTCCAACGCATACGGAAAACAAATTATCAACGAAAATATTACTCGTACCTCAAGATCAATATTTCGCCGAATAAAAACTAAATTCAGAGCATCAAGTAGTTTTTCCAACTCCTAAAACCGTACATCGAGAAACGTTCGCTCCTAAAAGATCCTCGACTTACACGCATGCGTTCTTTTTCCTGTTTTGTTGCTTGGTCGGTCTTCTTTTTTAAATAAAGAGCGTTGTATTCGCGACAGCGATTGAGATTTTCTCGCATATTTTCCCACTGATGGTAGGATAAACGTGGCCGAACAACTTCGTTGAGAATTGCGGCATAGGCAAACTTCCAACTGAAGAGAAAGATCATATAATTTTCAAGAACTCCTTCGATTTATCTTTACCGTTTTATCTTTGGATTGTCTGACTCGACCGTTTCATAGTATTTTATGTATTTCGATTGTAATGTGATATAGTCCCAATGTTCGAAAAGATCGAGAAGATCGATATACTAGACGTAAGCATAAAATCGACAGATTCTCCATTGTCTTCTTACCTGATTACGGTTGATGTTGAAATAAGACTTTCCGAAATCAACTTGAACATCGAGAACAGGTTGCACATGCTCCTGTTCACTTGGTATCGATGCAATTTGTAACTTCATTTCAATATTGAGTGGTTGTAAAACTATAGAACAAACGTCTATTCATTCAAATTATGCACAATTCAGCTCACCATAAGACATGTTTTCAATGACTTCTCCATCATTTCTCATAATCTTTGCATGCAATTCATCCTTTAGACGAAACTTTGAAAGAACGGATAGACTTTCGATAAAAGTCTTACAATAAGATTATCTTCCGATAATTTTGATTTGATATTTGAATTCCAGTAGATCGACAGAGCATTCAATTCGCCGAACTATCGCACAGCTGAGTCATTTTTTTACGTGTCAAAGCAAGACAAACTTACCTTGTAAACAATCGCTGAATCATCGGAAGATGTTGAGATCTGATTCCACTCCTCATTCGTTGTCTATAGTGAGAAAGTAATTCAATTTACAAACTGATTTCAATGAGAATATTTACATGAAATTTAATATAATTCAACGTAATGCCAAATGTAAATGGATGCTCAACTTTTGTTTTCGCATCTTCAAAAGCAAGGTGAATATTGCTTATGGATATTTCAAGATGACGCATAAGATGTAATCGTAAACGTTCGAGGTGTGTATTCTGATCTTTCGGCAATCGTTTTGCTCGTTCTACAACGCACGAAATCATGTCGATGTACAAATGAAATCGAGTTTTATCCTACCGAATTCTTCCTGTGCTTTACGAAACTCTTCTACCTTATGTACTTCTTTCATTTTCGCCTTGTATTGCTTTTTTTCTTCCTGTTCTGCATTATATTTCACATCTGTCTTGAGTTCAGCAAGGACATAAAATCCATCGATATTGATTCTGATCGGATGCGCATAGAAATGTTTCCATGATATATGAAGAGATAGTTTTCCTAAATGTCTCTTCATTGTGCAAATAGATTCATGAAGAATTCAAACATACGAAGATAACCCTTCTTGATCGTAATCGGAAGGTTGAATTCAGTCTAAAAGAAAACCTTATTCGGTGTACTTTTCTTCTAAGTGAACAAAAAGATCTTTACGAGAATATCAGGCTTGAGATAGAGATCTTGCAGAACAACATCACCTAAAAGAGAGAAAATGCGATGATTTGACAATTCGAATATCGATCTAACCCTTCCATAGATCGAATTTGAGTTTGTTTGTATCTAAATTTTCAATATAATCTCCCAGATACTTATCAAGAATATAACTAATAATACGTTGGAACACCATATTCACAACATAACAGCAAGAATCGACTGTACGTTACCCGGTACGCACTGAAGAGAACGAAAAAGAAAATATCACGTATACGAAACACATGGCGAGAAAAATGAGACGAATAAAGCGACAAGTCATCCGTAGCAACGAACAGATGACAGAACGAAAAATTCTACTCGTACATCACATTCTAATTTTATATTAGAGGTGAAACAATACGTTACACGTGACCATTGTCAGCGCACAATCTTCGATTGTTAAACGATCGTTCGAATGCTACGCACGAGAAGAATATTTTATGTTTATTTCAATTTTATGCATTCCTCATCGTTATAAAATAGTATTTTAATCAGTTGTTTATTTACCAAAGAGCTTACAAAAAAGCAAGCCGACACGACTTTGTATTTTTTTACGATCAGCAGGTGTAAACCATGAACCTACACGTCCACCAAATGAATGCTTGTCTTCCTTTTTTACATTCTGCCAGTAGCGTTCTTCAACGTCACCCATACATTTATTGGAAGAGGACGTGATCGGGTCGGAGTAGAGCTGCTTGACAAGTGGATGATTAAAGACGCGACCAATTTTTTCCTCGCCAGCTTCGCCGAGTACTAGGTAGAGAGCACCGATCAGCGTATGTACCGAATGGCCAACTGTACAGTAACCATTATCACGAGTGGCGTAATATGCACCAAGTCGCGATTCTGGATCAACTTTTACCTTTCCAGTTTCAACGCGTTCTAGAACAGCAGCTCTTTTAAGGATGAGATCTTTGACTGTCTCCCATCTAGCCACGACCAGCGAAACACCAATCAATATATCATCTGCATCATGGACAGTTGGTTTGCCATCACCGTATAAACCGTTCACTTTACCGATATTGGGAATTTCTGGATAGCACACATTGTTACTCGTACGTGTGTTGACACTTCTACTGCGCAGATCCTCTGAGAGATTGTCTGATGGTAGATAATTAATTAGTAAGGGATCTTGTAGCAGAACTGAAATGAGTTCAGGACTTTCGGAGATTGCATCCAATCGCTCACGCATATTCTCCCATGCTTCAATACGTTCCTCAGTACTCTCGACAAGAAGAGCAGCACCAAATCGTGCCATTATACCGGGCTCTTGTTCTTCAGCGAGATTGATTATGTGTTCGACTACTATATCATACGGATCGGGACTTTCAATCAGCTCGAGAGGATGAATATCGTGGTCGTAAATAGCACTACCCAGCATTTGAGCAGCAATATGACGACCAAAACTGACTTCAGATTCGCCAATAGAAAAGTTCAATGTCATGTCATCAGTGATTTCAACTAATAAATCGCCGTATTCAGATGAATTTTCCAATATGAGGTCGGGCGTGGCTGTATCTAAACCATCAATAATCTCTAGTGATGAACTAGTTTCTTCTGAGGAGTTTTCTGATGGGAGTTGAGGAGTTACGAGGTTGGATTCCGTAGTTGTTTGCGTAGTGAAGGGCACTGTCGAACTTGCACCTGTTTGACACATCCATCTAGGTGGACAATCGGGTCGACATTGGGCATACCATTTGGAACGCCATTGACAAGGATATTGCGCACAATTTCGTGGCCCTTTCCATCCTTCGCCTCCGCATTGATCCCACCCCTTTGCAAGACCAGAGCCTGTTGAAGAACTTGTTTCAGTTACACATTGCCAATCACCACCTGGACAGCCGGTTTGACATGAAGAGAACCAACGAGATCGACGGAAACATTTCAAAGGCCAATCGCAAGTGGTTGATCCTCTATAGCCTTCCCCACCACACTGCTGATAAATACCAACAGATAAGCAAAGAGGAATATACGAAACGAATAAGAGCGAAAGAATGCAATTCATGATTGTATTCGGGAATAAGACGAGTGCACGAAAACGAAGTCTATATATTAGAGGCACTGAGGTTAATCAGTTTTTAATTTTCAATTTTCGAGAAACAAATAACAATCTGATACCACAAAAGATTACAAACTATCTTTCGTGCTAAATGTCTTTTTCGTTGAAATGTAATACCCTGATTCAAATTAATTTAGCAGTTTTTCACGAAAGAGAGCATTAGTTTCGATTTCAATCAAATTGTTTCTGCGAAATCTACAGATGATAGTCTTCTTTTTCATTTGAAGAACAAACACGAAAGGATTAGTCTGAATATCTTTTTTACAATACTATGAAACAAACACAGAAGCATTGGAGAAGCGTATAATTAAAATAATTTAGACATGAAATTCATTACAATGCATTTTGATGAATGCCATTGTTGAGAACAGGAGGAGGGAAGCATATCATGACGAACTTCCTTTTGGCATGTGTTCTGTTATGCAGTGAGAATTATCACGCGCCTTCTGCGTACTGTGCGGTTTCGATTCATACTATCTAAAACAATCATATCAGCGGCGTCATCGAACGCTACATCCTCTCCGACAATGATGGTATGGAGCTTGAAAAGAGAGTTTGTCATGTGCCACTCACAGTAAACATTATGAAAATTCGGTAGCCGTAAGTGATAATTATGCGAAAATCAGCAGTTCTTGTTAAATTCAAGAGTTTAGTTTCAGACATCATATACTAATCCATGGAGAAAGTTTGCGTAATCTCATAGTTGAATTGATTTTCAGTTTGTCAACACTACGAAAGAAGTCTTAAGAATGAGCTTTAGTTGACTGAAATGAAGTACTGTCAACGAAGAAATCACAAGAATGAGGTCATTTTTCTATACCTCGAACACATAAGTGCGCATTATTTTCAAATGTTCACAATCTATTCTCATTCAATGTAATATTTAGACATCTATGCATACTATCAGTTTGACTTCAGTACCTGAAGATTCCATTAGTCTTATTAACAGTTTCTTCGTTCAAGCACTTTCTTTTTCTCGATATTATTCGAATAGATAAATAGAACACAGCACAAGTATCTANTCGTGGAAAAGTGCTTTCACACCATGAGCAACATCCCGAATGATTCCAAAAGGATTTCCAAGTACATCGTGGCCCAGTAGGACGACATACACTTGCTTCCAAATTTGATTCAAATAATGCTCATAAACCTCATCTATCAATTTATTGAAGGTAAATCGATCGTTTTCTCGTTCGTAGTAATTCAGCCTACAGGGAAATAGTTTTTCAATAATTGTTCTTTAAGGTGAAAAAGAAAGACTTACTTCAAAATCACATCGTGAACTCTCACATAATTTAATATTTGAATGAAATAGTCAATTGAAGGGTAATCGACGAGAACCAATTGATTTGGTTTGGGGCCGTTTGATGACAGACTGACATGGATCTATAAGAGGCACGATGAATCGTGCTAGGAAATTTTCGGGACAGAAAACGATATTTACTTTTATTGGGGAGACGTGGATGCAACCAAAGTACATTTTTGTTTCATTCGATTGTTTTTCAACAAGCTTCACAAAGCCTTTTCTAAGTGCTTTTAAGTCCGAATTCATATCAATCGTCAGTTTTGTCGATTTCTGTAAATACTCAACATGCAAATTTATCGTTTTTGTGGAAAAACCCACCTGTTCCGTTTCGATGAATGTAAGAAACGCATCCGTTAAACCTTGATCAAGACGCACCATCGCTTCTTGGCACACGATTTTGAAATATCTAAATGACTCATATTACTTGATCAAAAGATTTACACCAAATCGCATTGCATACTTGAAATAAACAGTATTCGATCGTGTATTGATTATTTTCAAAGCGCTCAGTTCAATACATGGCTTCTGCCCTGTAGGCGAATTTACCGGACGAAGAATTACTGGTAACAACGTATACTCTAGTTGATTATCGACTTGAATATGATTGATGCGTAGATGATAAGCGACATTTGTCGTTGACCAACTACATCGAAATCGTAGTCCATCAAGTGATTGGCGTTGAATTCGTATCCGTTGATCGTTTTGATCGATAATATCCGCCGAGTTTCCCATGAATGAAGCACGCTAAATGACAAATTTGTATCTCACGTGTTCTTCCAGCCACTAATCGATCTTACGCGATGTCTACCGACATGATATGTTTTTCTTTCCGTTTCGGATTCATTTGATTTGACGTGAGCGCGATATTTCTTTTCCAGTCGATGATTGAGTCTTCCAGAAAGTGGTTCTATCACTGATTGTCGAGTTTCTGTCCACATCTCCTTCGATTTGTTGATCGTTAAGTAAATGAGTTCTTGATGTGTGAGATCATTGACAACCGACAGGCCAATTTCATGAATACTAATGTCAATATATTGATCCATTAAATTGTTCGGAGAGAGAGTTCCATTGGCAAACTAAGTCATAGGATTATACACACTTAGAATAGAGAAAGTTTAACGTACGTCTGAAACGGACTTGATCACCGAAATTTCTTCAGCGAAGAGGACAATCGTTTGAGGACCATCATGAAATACAGTATAGAACATACGATTCGCACTGCTTGCTTCCAAACAGCCGCAATCAGGCTAGTAATTGAAAAGTTATTTTTGCGAGAAGAACTCAATTCAATAGAAAGGAAATTACGAGAAGCTCGAGGGTGATGTGCTGATTGTCACACGCAATAGTCAATTTACGCGGTTTGAACAGATCAGTCCATGTATAATAAACGTAATGTTGCGGTAACAAATTTACCATTTCTCTACAATTTTTCATGAGTTTCTTATGTGGTGAATGAGTTTTGGAAACTTACGGATCTTCTTGTTGATAATACACAATTGATCGATTTCTCAAACAATTGACAAGTAAAACAGGTGCATCGCCATGCTGATAATCACTGAAAACGATGTGAATACCCAAAGATTCAATCACTGACACTTGCACACGAAGACTCGAACGATCGTCATCATCCATGCGTAGTAATGTTTGATGTCGATCATACATTGGAAAACTTAGTGATGATACGTTTGGCTTATTTGCATAGCGAACACACATAACACCCTCTTTGACATTCTGTGGCCAAAATGGGATAATCTAAATACAAAATTCTACATTGGTATCTCCCAATATAGGATACTATACTTCATTGGATTTGACTCCGTGCCATTGATTGTGTTGAGTTCCCAGTACGAGTTCGTTAACTTCAAGATCAATCTGTAGGGACATGAATATGGTAGATTTCTAAACATAAGATCTTACCGTGGAATTATTGATAATAGCCATAGAGGACGACAGTTTGATGATTTTGGTCATACAAAATGAAGTTGTTGTTATATGAACAGCAATCTTAGTAGATCATCAAGATTTTCTCGTTTGCTAGAATCTTTTCGATTTACCATATAGGTTCGGTCATCAGATACTTTGCAGTTCGCTACACCCGCACTAGAAATAACATAAAGAGTGAAATCTTCCGACCATTCAGATGCAGAATCGTTGTCTTCCTCTCCAACATGATGGACGCGAACATGTGCCTATGAATGGATTGACACCTATTTCGATTTGATGGGAAGTTTTTAAAACAGACTTTTCGATTGTGCACTTCGTTATCAATTTTCTTTGGACAAACGAAAAACGGTGAGTCATCAACATTGACCAGAGTTATATCGTTATCAATCTGCCCGATAAAAGAAAAAGAACGCATGAAAAGTATGGCAAAATCAATAACAACCTTAAATTCCAGTTCAAGATTCGTACAGTTCACAATCCAAAATGGTGAATACAAGACCGCACGAAATGATCCTTGATACGTATCAACACGCAAGATCATTCTCTAAAACACATAATTCTCCATCTCTTTCCGTGAAATGAAACTTCATTACCAATATCTCATTTGATTGAACTTCGTGGAAAACTACCAAATGTTCATTGTGATTTCCGTATCCTTTAGTGGTTAAATCAATTGCTTCTGAAACCCATTTCATATTGTTGTACAATGGAATCTATGGAGTACAGGAAGTATTCGTTGGAATCAATACAAAATGGCTACGTACAAGAAACGTAAGTACAGATTGTTTACTGCCGGGTGTACTATGATGAAGTTCACTTGGTTTCAGATCGATTGGACTATTCGACTGAATATGAATGTAATGGTTCAATGCTCAAAGAATTATACCGAACTTACGTCAATCAGACATTGAATGTCGATAGGTAAGAGATTAATTAAACGAAGAGCATGATGAATATAAATATGAAAACAAGCTCGACTCAACTCATCCGTATTTCCGAGATATGCATTGATAGTTTCTTTCCTTATCTAAACATATCGTATACATTGCAAGCAAAATTAACGCTAGAGAATGCTACTTACCACAAGGTGTATTTCTTCACTGTTTTCTCTCTTCAATCGACGATCGACGGCAGTTTCATTTCTCCAGTCGAATGAAATAAAATCACTTCTGGAATAGACAAATCATTGCTCAATCAGAGGATACGTTTTGATATCGCACTCACTCATCCGAGCTGATAAATAGTCGAGAAGTTGAACGTATGTACAGAGGTTCGATGGGAAGATAACATTCATCATTTGCATCAACTCGACACAATGTTCGGTAGCTTTTCATTTCAATCGAGTCAACATCCATGATCATCAGGGGCAAAACAGTCCGATTGTAAACCTTGAAAAGAATGCAGTTAGAAAGAATTGCATACAAAGATATAAAGATTTACTTTAACAATGGAACTAAGAACTAGTCGTCGAGAATTATTGTAAATATGAGAATCGCAAAGTAATTCGACGGGCCAATCGGGTATAACAGATGGACTCAATTGATACACTCGTTTCGAGGCATAATTCATATCGACTTGTGTATTCGTATTATTCATTTTCAATTGAATAGATAGTTCTTGTTGTTTCCTACTATTTTGATCGGTAATTGCAGGAAGATGTGTTGCTGATAATCGCTCTTTTGGAATGATCATCGGAATTGAATTTCCATGTTGCAGTTGGATCGGTATTTCTGACTGATCCTTCATTTCGAGATCTTTGATATCATCAAGAAGAACCTCATAACCTGTTAAATTGTGTACGGACAGCATCGGTTCATCTTCATTGACTGATAATTTATTATTATAAGCATTCATATATGATGTCGTCAGACGTTGAATGAGATCGAAGCTTGTTTTCGTCAATGTCATACTCAAAAAGTGTTCGGCACGTATATGAATTTTGGTCTGTGCATTTAGACTATCTGTGATATCTTTGGACTGTTCTTCAGTAGTGCATAATGAGTTCTGATGACCCAAACATCCGAACTGAGCAAACACAATATATCAACTGTTTTTGTTCTGAGAAGAAAAGAAACCTACTCTGTGAGGCCGCACAGACCGTTCTTCTTCAACAAGAGGATGCTTCAACGGATATCTCATTTGATTTTCATTTACTACAGTCGAGCATGTCAGATACCAAGGAGAAACGATTTCGCCGCGTTCGTCAACCACTGGTTCGATCAATGGCATCCATGCAAGTGTACGATCGTTGAAAACAGCTAATTCAAGATGAATTCGTGAAGAACAACTCATCTGGATGGAAAAAAAAGATCGCATCGATTATCTATCACATTCGAAAAGCTATCCATACATTACTCGACCAATTTCGAATGTCAACAGACAGATCCGAAAGACACAGCGCAGCAGCTTCTTTTACCACTGAATTACCAGCAAATTCGCATTTGATTTCGATGAGTTTCAGATTCAAGTTGAACTAGAAATCAAAATCGAATTGAATCGGAATTAAAGTTATGGGTGTGAAAGAACATACATGTTGTGTGCGATGATTAGTACTTTTCTCTTCTTCTTCAATTATAGTTTTGTTTACTGCCGGGTGTACTATGATGAAGTTCACTTGGTTTCAGATCGATTGGACTATTCGACTGAATATGANGTACTTTTCTCTTCTTCTTCAATTATAGTTTTGTTTTGCATCGGAGTTCCAGTTGCTAGTTCTAGAATATCTCTCTGTTCGATCATTTCCTGTTTGACTTCCGTATCTAGAAGAATACTCTCGTATTCAAAATAAATCATTTCGATTTTCGAACGAAACAAAACCTTTTAGAAACCAGAATGACCCATCTTTGAATGGTTTTGGATTGAATAGAGATGTTTCTATTTTGTGCTGTGAACCCACTGCCAAAGTCGTTGCTTTACATTTGTTTATCAAGTTTATTAGATTGCCAACCATTCGAACTAAGATTGGAGAGATATTGACAAGCATATCTCCGATAGAAGCATCGAAATTTTCATTCGTTGTATTCCTATTTAAAACGACATCGACATTTGTTGGTTGTAAAACCTAGATAACAAATACAATAGCATACAATCACAGAAAACATCACATTCTTACATGAGATCGAAAGTTCCAATCTTTCAAATGAGTAAATTTCGAAAGGTAAGCACGAAGATCTTTCATGGAACTATGCAATTGAGTTTCTCCAAAGGCGATGTTCAATTGCATTTGAAACATGAACTAAAGGGAGAATAGGCATGTCTCATTACTAACAGATTTGATCTTACATTAACAACAAGGCAATCCGGATTTGAACTCGGTTGATTTTCCAACCAGGATAACTGGGGAGTTTTAACCAGAATCTCAATTTTTGTTATAATATCGGATGGCAACGTATTCTTCGATGAAGATGATATTGATGATGAATCTTGCTGTTGATGATGGTATCGTGAAATGTATTTTGCGGGTAATGGCACGTTATCCGTCATTGTCACCATCTGCGATTGTTCTTCTTTGATTATGAATTGAGTTGAAGTGAAGAACATGATCCATGTTTCTAAGCAATCAGGAGTCAACCACAGATAGAAACTTTCCAATTGAATGTTCACTAATGAAAGGAAAAACTTACAGGAGTTCCTAGATTTTTCCCTGTATTTACCGTGTCGAATATTTGTTACAAATTCAATAGTAGCCAGAAACATTGGCGTTTGGGGACTAACATGAGAACTACGATTGAGCAGATGTGTTTCATGTGTATCATCTAGAGTAATCTGTTGAATTTGAGCTTTGGCATTGTAACTAGCGTCGGAGAGTTGTTGAAAATGAGCTTCGACTGTTTGAATGATCATTCGGAGAAACTTCTCTTGACTAGACCGAAGGACACACGTAATTCTGTCGATTTCAAAATCAACTTGCATCTTCTTTGATTCCGTTACAACCGTTCGATGCATAGGAATCACTTCTGACGATTCATCCTCAAGTATTTGATGCCCGAACGATTGCAGAGATACTTTCTCCGAGAAATTTCTCTTCAACATGTTTCTAACACACGAATAATCTTCGTTTGATATAGTCACATCAATGGTTTTCCACTCGATTTTGATGGAAATTTCCGGTTGTGTTTGACTTTTGCCTAAATATAATACACGTTGTATCCATGCGTGAAAATCTTCACATTGGACAAGAACCGTATCACTTGAAATTTCGTTATTGTCATTGAGATGACGATGACAGATGTGAAAATCCGTAAAAATAAGCTCTTCTCGTTCGATTNCAGCTATGCTCCTTCGATTACCGACTTGTTTGGATGGTTGTCCTAAGACTTCGTTTGTAACGTCAATTCACCAAGATCAATGAAAATTCCTTCTCTGGAGTGAGTATCCACTGGAAGGAAAATTGTCGGCGCATTGAGAATAACATCGAAGCAGATTCTCAAATTTTGCCTTTGACATTTGTCAATCATATCTTCGAATGTGTTCGGTACGGTGGGAGAAACATTGGCTCGTTTCGGTTGAAATGCGCCCCACGCATTCAGAATTATGTCAATATATTTATACAACAAGACGAGACGCATTTTGTTCAAATATAATTTGATATTGTAATCAACATCATGCAGTTTTCTCTTGAAAATTTTCGGATGATTGTACGCAATGAAATCGAGATACAAAACTTGTATGTCCGGACTTTCTTGGACCATGGTGTTGCGATATTGAGTTTGAGCATGTAGATCGTGTATGTGAAGATCGGTAAGAACGAGCTTCATTGCGAACTTTTTAATCGTTTGAGTTATGTCGAGGGAGAATCCACAAAAGTGAATATCGAGTAGTTGCGAGAACTCGGTGCCGATGATGATGCGAAATTGATCGAGGCGAATCTCGAATTTTGACGTAGGCCGCTTTTTGTAATATTTCCCGTTGTCGGTCGTTGCTTCATCGTTTGACGGCATGTTCTTTTGCAATGGTAATTTCGATATTTTATACAGCAGATGATTTTGAAAGCGGACAATTGATGCCAGTGCTTCGATTTGTAACGTAGCAAGAGGCTTGCTGAGTTGTACGTGAACTTTATTTTCAATTCGGTTGTAAGGAGCGGAATAGAATGATGGATTTTCCGGCGAAGTAAGCAAACATTTCATGTTGAGTAGATGATTTTTATCTGCAGTGGAGAGTAAACGAAGTGGTTCGTTGGTCGAAGTGAGAAACTGTTCGTGAGTGACGAGAAAGTCTGCTAGAGAGGCTTGTAAATCGATATGGAATGTTTTGACTGTTGTTTGAGCAGTGAGCGATATGAATGAAAAGCGAACGAATGGTTGAATTTGATCAGAAGTCGATTCTTGAAAGAGAATATCAATCTAGAAAAGACTCCGTTGACTATGTTCTCTTGTTGAAATTCGCTACGTACATAGGGGATATTTAAAGTACCATCGACTTCCGTTGGTTGTGCATCCAAATCGTCGTTTTGTAGTTTCTTTTTCAATCTTGCCATGTTTTCAACCGTTTGAAAGAGTTTCTTCGTATTTTTTTCCGGCTGCGTGTCTTCGATGACGAATAACTAAAACGAAATAATATAACGAACCACAAAACACGATTCGTTCTCACTTCTTCGATAGTATATTTCTCTCTCGGCGTGTTTTCCAATTGCGGCAATGGAATCGAACGAATCAGTTTCATTATGCCGAAAATACGTTCATCCGACAAACGAGAATTTATAGACGAAACATTGACGTTGATTTTCCAACTATATGAAATGTATCTGAGAAAATCGAACTTCGATATCGATCACCTACAGTGGTAGAACAGGATCATTGACGTAGATACATTTGTTAATATCCACGTTGATGGTATACGGTTGAATCAGATATATTGGAGAATTTCGATCACATTGAAGATTTCCCCAATCTTCATCTAGATGCCGATAGTTCATAAAATACTGAACGACTAAAAGTTTTACCGTACTGGATTGAGAATAAAAGAATCGAATATCTTCCAATTGAACTTTTATGGGAACGTAAGAGGAATCAAGAATATCCAGATGGCTCTGAAACAATAAATGATAAAGATTAAAATGAGGACGTCTCTCAGTACTTGAGCATCTTCGAATGTTTCCTCGTCGATATGATCTGTCGTTTCCTCACGGCCACCTTGCATCTTTAAATGTCCGAAGTCGAAACAAGCCAATGAACAATCAGCCGATCGATAAACACCATTTTCAGGTAAAATGAAATAAATCGATTGAAGATCAATATCAATATCCAAATTTTTTATATTTCGAATATTATAATCAAATAGGAATCGCATTCGATGTCGAATATCCATGTACATTGAATAGATTTTCTTCTTAACTCTAGAGAAAAAAGAAACAGACAAAATTCAACGAAAGACCCGCACGACTCACTTACCCTTTTAAGTCACGATAAACACCTGGATAAAAACAATCCACGAGACTATTCATAGTCATCTATACAAACTCAAATGAATTAGAAGGACGATTTGCCGAAAAAACGTTCCCTACTGCATCATAAACGATGCCAATCGTTGGTGACTTAGCATGAACTCGATAATCAATATTTGTTTTAGCTATATCTGTTTCAAATTCAATGTGGACTACTTTTTGCGACTTGTTCGGCAATTGAAGTAATTTCGGAGTAGGATCGTCCGTTTGAACACCATAAACTTCCAGTAGATCAATATCGACGATAGTCCTGTAAAACAAAAGATGAACTTAACACAGAAATAGCTGATTCGAACGAACAGAAAAGCGGAAGTTGCTGGACGTCTCTGGTATTGTACATTCGTATTCAATACATCAATCTGCGTAATGCGAGCAAATCTGTTTGAAAAGAAACACACAAATCAGACATGGTGCTCGACGGAAAGCTCACTGCGAATCATTTTCATTCAAAATCGACCAAATGTTGATCTGGAGTAGATCCAGCCGAATTGCTAATTTCATATCCACGTACTAGAATTTCAAGTTGGTGACGATAAATGTGTGTAACATACAGACCTCTTCTGAGCAAGTTGGCGATTGCGAAGTATCTTTGTCGTGAATAGAACTGTACAAGTTTACCTCCTCGTCAACGGTAATCACATCTTCTTGATCTAAACCTATCGATCATACGCGATTCGTATAGAATAGAAATAGAAACCGAATTACCGAAATTGCCGTTGTTTGATGCATTATTCCACCACGTAGACAGCCATTCCCATGTCGACTTATGTTTTTGCTCAACTTTTTTCTTTTTGATCTACAATTCCAACGCATATGGAAAACAAATCATCTACAAAAATATTACTCTCACCTCAAGATCAATATTTCGCCGAATAAAAACTAAATTCAGAGCATCAAGCAGTTTTTCCAACTCCTAAAACCGTGCATTGATAAACGTTCGCTCCTAAAAGATCCTCGACTTACATGCATGCGTTCTTTTTCCTGTTTTGTTGCTTGATAGGTCTTCTTTTTTAGATAAAGAGCGTTGTATTCGCGACAGCGATTGAGATTTTCTCGCATATTTTCCCACTGATGGTATGATAAACGCGGCCGAACAACTTCGTTGAGAATTGCGGCATAGGCAAACTTCCAACTGAAGAAAAAGAACATATTATTCTCAAGAACTCCTTCGATTTATCTTTACCGTTTTATCTTTGGATTGTTTGACTCGACCGTTTCATAGTATTTTATGTATTTCGATTGTAATGTGATATAGTCCCAATGTTCGAAAAGGTCGAGAAGATCGATATACTAGACATAAGCATAAAATCGACAGATTCTCCATTGTCTTCTTACCTGATTACGGTTGATGTTGAAATAAGACTTTCCGAAATCAATTTGAACATCGAGAACAGGCTGCACATACGCTTGTTCACTTGGTATCGATGCAATTTGTAACTTCGTTTCAATATTTAGCGGCTGTAAAACTACAGAACAAACGTTTATTCATTCAAATTATGCACAATTCAGCTCACCATAAGACATGTTTTCAATGACTTCTCCATCATTTCTCATAATCTTTGCATGCAACTCATCCTATAGACGATACTTAGAAAGAACGAATAGACTTTCGATAAAAGTCTTACAATAAGATTTTCTTCCGATAATTTTGATTTGATATTTGAATTCCAGTAGATCGACAGAGCATTCAATTCGCCGAACTATCGTACAGTTGAGTCATGTTTTTACGTGTCAAAGCAAGACAAACTTACTTTGTAAACAATCGCTGAATCATCGGAAGATGATGAGATCTGCTCCCACTCCTCATTCGTTGTCTATAGACAAAGTAATTCAATTTACAAACTGATTTCAATAAAAATATTTACATGAAATTTAATATAATTCAACGTAATGCCAAATGTGAATGGATGCTCAACTTTTGTTTTCGCATCTTCAAAAGCAAGGTGAATATTGCTTATGGATATTTCAAGGTGACGCATAAGATGTAATCGTAAACGTTCGAGGTATGTATTCTGATCTTTCGGTAATCGTTTTGCTCGTTCTACAACGCACAAAATCATGTCGATGCACAAATCAAATCGAGTTTTGTCCTACCGAATTCTTCCTGTGCTTTACGAAACTCTTCTACTTTATGTACTTCTTTCATTTTCGCCTTGTATTGCTTTTTTTCTTCCTGTTCTGCATTATATTTCACATCTGTCTTGAGTTCAGCAAGGACATATAATCCATCGATATTGATTCTGATCGGATGCGCATAGAAATGTTTCCATGATATATGAAGAGATAATTTTTCTAAATGTCTCCTCATTGTGCAAATAGATTCATGAAAAATTCAAACATACGAAGATAACCCTTCTTGATCGTAACCGGAAGGTTGAACTCAGTCTAGAAGAAAACCTTATTCGGTGCACTTTTCTTCTAAGAGAACATAAAGATCTTTACGAGAATATCAGGCTTGAGATAGAGATCTTCCAGAACAACATCACCTAAAAGAGAGAAAATACGATGATTTGACAATTCGAATCTCGATATAACCTTTCCATAGATCGAATTTGAGTTTGTTTGTATCTAAATTTTCAATATAATCTCCCAGATACTTATCAAGAATATAGCTAATGATACGTTGGAACACCATATTCACAACATAACAGCAAGAATCGACTGCACGTTACCCGGTACGCACTGTGAAGAGAACGAAAAAGAAAATATCACTTATACGCAACACATGGCGAGAAAAATGAGACGAATAAAGCGACAGGTCATCCGTAGCAACGAACAGATGACAGAACGAAAAATTCTACTCGCACATCACATTCTAATTTTATATTAGAGGTGAAACAATACGTTACACGTGACCATGGTCAGCGTATAATCTTCGATTGTTAAACGATCGTTCGAATGCTACTCACGAGAAGAATATTTTATGTTTATTTCAATTTTATGCATTCCTCATTGTTATAAAATAGTATTTTAATCAGTTGTTTATTTACCAAAGAGCTTACAAAAACGCAAACCGACACGACTTTGTATTTTTTCACGATCATCAGGTGTAAACCATGAACCTACACGTCCACCAAATGAATGCTTGTCTTCCTTTTTTACATTCTGCCAGTAGCGTTCTTCAACGTCACCCATACATTTATTGGAAGAGGACGTGATCGAGTCGGAGTAGAGCTGCTTGACAAGTGGATGATTAAAGACGCGACCAATTTTTTCCTCACCAGCTTCACCTAGTACTAGGTAGAGAGCACCGATCAGCGTATGTACCGAATGGCCAACTGTACAGTACTTATTATCACGAGTGGCGTAATATGCACCAAGTCGCGATTCTGGATCAACTCTTACCTTTCCAGTTTCAACGCGTTCTAGAACAGCAGCTCTTTTAATGATGAGATCTTTGACTGCCTCCCATCTAGTCACGACCAGCGAAACACCAATCAATATATCGTCTGCATCAGGGACAGTTGGCTTGCCATCACCGTATAAACCGTTCACTTTACCGATATTGGGAATTTCTGGATAACACACATTGTTACTCGTACGTGTGTTGACACTTCTGCTGCGCAGATCTTCTGAGAGATTGTCTGATGGTAGATAATTAATTAGTAAGGGATCTTGTAGCAGAACTGAAATGAGTTCAGGACTTTCGGAGATTGCATCCAGTCGCTCACGCATATTCTCCCATGCTTCAATACGTTCCTCGACGCTCTCGACAAGAAGAGCAGCACCAAATCGTGCCATTATACCGGGTTCTTGTTCTTCAGCGAGATTGATTATGTGTTCGACTACTATATCATACGGATCGCGACTTTCAATCAGTTCGAGAGGATGAATATCGTGGTCGTAAACAGCACTACCCAGCATTTGAGCAGCAATATGACGACCAAAACTGACTTCAGATTCGCCAATAGAAAAGTTCGATGCCATGTCATCAGTGATTTCAGCTAATAAATCGCCGTATTCAGATGAAGTTTCCCATATGAGATCGGGCGTGGCTGTATCCAAACCATCAATAATCTCCAGCGATGAACCAGTTTCTTCGGAGGAGCTTTGTGATGGAAGTTGATGAGTTACGAGGTTGGATTCCGTAGTTGTTTGTGTAGTGGAGGGCACTGTCGAACTTGCACCTGTTTGACACATCCATCTAGCTGGACAATCGGGTCGACATTGAGCATACCATTTGGAACGCCATTGACAAGGATATTGCGCACAATTTCGTGGTCCTTTCCATCCTTCGCCTCCGCATTGATCCCACGCCTTGGCAAGACCAAAGCCTGTTGAAGAACTTGTTTCAGTTACGCATTGCCAATCACCACCTGGACAGCTGGTTTGACATGAAGAGAACCAATGAGATCGACGGAAGCATTTCAAAGGCCAATCGCACGTGGTTGATCCTCTATAGCCTTCTCCACCACATTGTTGATAAATACCAACAGATAAGCAAAGAGGAATATACGAAACGAATAAAAGCGAAAGAATGCAATCCATGATTGTATTCGGGAATACGACGAGTGCATGAAAACGAAGTCTATATATTAGAGGCACTGAGTTTAATCAGCTTCTAATTTTCAATTTTCGAGAAACAAAAAATAATCTGATATTACAAAGGATTACAAACCATCTTTCGTGGCAAAAGTCTTTTTCTTTGAAACATAATACCCCGATTCGAATTAATTTAGCAATTTTTCACGAAAGAGAGAATTAGTTTCGATTTCAATCAAGATGGTTTCTGCGAAATCTACAGATAATAGTCTTCTTTCTCATTTTAAGAACAAACACGAAAGGATTAGTCTGAATATCTTTTTTACAATACTAGCTATGAAACAAACACAGGAGCATTGGAGAAAGATATACTTTCAACTCTATATTTATTTGTGCACCTTGCTGTAGATACAGATTCAGACATAACTCACCAATATTTATTCTGTTTCTCTCAAAATTCGAATAAACGTTAAAAAGGTACGTTGTGTTGTGTTCTTTTACTAAATATCCACTAAACAGCAAATACCGTCGTTCAAATTTGTCTTCGTTTCACTCACAAATAGAAGGAAATTGACATACTTCATTCTTCAGTTCACTGTAAGAACACAAAATGGCAAGCAAGTCACCATACCTCAATAATCCGTGGTACTTAATCAAGACTGGATTTCTTCTGCTTGCATGGATTGTCATGGTAAATTTCTTCTTTCGCCAACTAGTAATCTCCATTGTGTATTGTAGGGTATACATGTCGAGCTCATTGCTCCACCGATGTTAATTCTTGCTGAGAATCTGCATGTTGATTCCAGTGGTATTGGTTCGATTCTTGGATGTCAAGGTATAGGTTATTTAGCTGCAAACATTCTCGAGACTACCTTTGGAAAAATCATCAAAAAACACTCGGATGGGTTATTGAGCGCCGCGTTTATCTTACCATCAATTGGTATGTTGTTTTCCTTTGGCATAATCGAATAATGAAGGCTCTTCGTTTCTAGTTTCATTGTACGTTGTTTCGTTAATTCATCCAAATCGAATATCATGATTCCGCACAATATTATTGCAAGCGTATGTCTTTTAATGGCAATTGGCTCTGAGTTCTTTTTATATTCGAGCATTGAAAAATTCAAGAGAAAGATTAAAAGTTCAACAAGTGAGTAGGAGAAGATAAGTAAACAAAAGAGTTGCATATGATTATAGGTTGATTATTCTGTCGTAAATACGACGAATGAAGAACAATCTCCATCTAGTTCTTTTTCTCGTTCGCGTGAAATGATGCTTTCAATTCTCTTTATTACTTCCGTATTTTTCATCATTGGAAACTATATATTTTTTTCCAAGTTCTCTTTTATCTATATAAAATCAGATGAATTTCATTTGCCGACGAAAACTGCCAGTTGGGGAATAATTCTCTATTGGCTTTCTTATTTCGTCGGTACGGAAAATTCTAACTGCACACCAAATATTATCTTTAGTTTTAGGTTGCCCGACTAACTATCGCGATTGTTTCAGCATTTGTATCAGTTAATATCTGTCTGAATATTCTTTGGTTTGGCACGTTTTGTCTTGCGATAGCATGACTAATGTTCGTCTGGGTATTAGGCTTAACTGGAACGAGTCTATTGGTCCTTGGTGCTTCAAGTGGTCTCGTATTTGCACCATTACTCCCATTAACAATTGCTTTATTTAATCAACGGTCGAAAACCGCACCCAGGTTATTGCCCTTTGTGTTTTTGGTAGTAGCATCTAGTATGATCATTTTTCAAAAATTAGCTGGTAAAAATCAACAGATACCAAATGAGCATAGCTTTTTTGTTTTTTATTTCAGGTCTTGTAATGGGTTGGAATTTCAATCACTTTTCAACGCTGTTAGTTAGTTGTATGCTAATATCCATTTGTCTTTATATCGTATCAAATCTGGCCCATTTTGCGTATCAACGACAGCTTCCAATACTAGATTCACATGGAGAACACGAAATGGATCGTTACAGCAAAAATTAACAGAAAATATCACATACTATCAGCTGCACCTCATCAATAATTCGCCATAGTCCGTTTGCAGACGCTACTACCATTGCTAACTTAGCACCATTCTTTCGAATCACTTGAGTAAAATAATCTGTTGCCATTGAGAAAACTAGGTCGATTGAAATGATAGTCTTTAATCTATCATATGTGGATTGAGTAGCGCGTATAGCTAAAATAATTTAATCATGAAATTCATTATAATGCATTTTGATGAATGTCATTGTCAAAAACAGGAGGAAGAAAACATATCATGACGAACTTCCTTTTGACATGTGTTCTGTTCTGCAGTGAAAATCGTCACGTGTCTTCCGCGTACTGTGCGGTTTCGATTCATATTACCTAAAACAATCGTGTCAACGGCGTCGTCGAACGCTAAATCCTCGCTGACAATGATGGTATGGAGCTTGAAAAGAGAGTTTGTCATGTGCCACTCACAGTAAACATCATGAAAATTCGGTAGTCATGAGTGATAATTATGCGAAAATCAGTAGTTCTTGTTAAATTCAAGAGTTTAGTTTCAAACATCATATATTAATCCATGGAGAAAGTTTGCGTAATCTCATAGTTGAATTGATTTTCAGTTCGTCAACACTACGAAAGAAGTCTTAAGAATGAGCTTTAGTTGACTGAAATGAAGTACTGTCAACGAAGAAACCACAAGGATGAGGTCATTTTTCTATACCTCGAACGCATAAGTGCGCATTATTTTCAAATATTCACAATCTGTTCTCATTTAATGTAATATTTAGACATCTATGCATACTATCAGTTTGACTTCAGTACCTGAAGATTCCATTAGTCTTATTAACAGTTTCTTCGTTCAAGCACTTTCTTTTTCTCGATATTATTCGAATAGATAAAAAGAACACAGCACAGGTATCTACCGTTATCTCGTTTGGCATTCAAGTCTGCTTGAAAGTTCTGCATTATGATGGATATTGCAGACATTTTAGTTATTCTCGAAGTGATCTTTTTGGCATTGGCTTTTTGTTTAACTAAAATCTATTCAATCTCCATTTTATCTAACCGTCGATTCTACCACAAAAATAATATGTTTATACTTAACATCTGCTGTACGATTATGACTAGTGCGGCTTTCTTCACTGCCTATATTCTAATGGGAATTTTCTATAGTCAACTATTCAATATTTCTGATGTTTGTCGAGCTCTTTATTATCTATACGGTATAGCTAGCATTCAAATGCCTTTTTCATTTGTTACGTTCACAGTACATCAATTTTGCTCAATCTTGTATCATAATCAACTGTTCTTTCGAACAAACAAATGGGTGATCATATGTATTGCTGCGGGCAATGTACAACCCAGTTCATAGTCTCACTGCCGTTCATCTTTCGACGAGGATACGTAAGTGATGAGAAACGCGTTTCAGGAACACAATAACGAAAAGTAGAAAGCTCCCGAACTTTTATGAAAGTTTCTCTATGACCAGAGTTGACGACGATCCTAATCCTCTTCAACTTACTATACACAGTTATACGTATGTACAAACTTGTTCTTAGACGGTATTTATTTTTATTACAGTATTTATCATCTTACCATGGGTATTAGTATACTTATGCGCTTGGGTTGTGATCGCACCTTCATTCGTGAACATAGTTTTGAATATTCGAATCTTTATGTACGTTCGATCAACAGGTCGTCGTATTCAGCCTACCCATTATGCTACTACAGTCACCATTCCTAAGTCGTCGAGAATTCTCTTTATTACGGCGTATGATTTTTATGTTTATTGTGTTCATTGGTGACTGAGGCTCAACTTATTTTATATTAGTCATTGTCCAGTTTGCATGGATTCCAGGTACCGTGCAACAATTATCAGTGGTTCTATGTGAATTATCTATACTAATCTTAATTATAATTCTATTTATATGTAATCGTGAACTGAGAGAGAGCTTATTTAACAAATTGCGCTGTTGTTTTTGTTCATGAACGACGTTGTAAATAACAAAACGCATTGTTCATTCGTTTTATCTGTTATTGCCTTTTCAAACATACTCCAAAAATACGTTACTGTGACCATTATCGTATCCAAAGTGCACTATTACACCAACCATCTTTGTTGTCTATACTCAGGCCTGAAATTTTATGTTCAGTTTTCCAGATCTACTATGAGAATACTCCTCATCTAATCAATGCCAATGCACTGTAATAGCTGGTTTGATTAATTTCCCTTGTCGCCCGTTGTGATGCTTTATTTAAAATTGGCTTAATGTTGTTTAGAGGAAAGACATTTGAGTATTTTTGAGATTGAAGAACATTTTTACAGCAATGTCCACCCTATTGTCGACGTCTACTTTCCTGATTTATATAATTTATGGGTTTGCACGACACATAGTTACTAATAAATTCGTGGTGAAATCAAGCGTTGCTAATGTATTGAATATAAATATAACGTACCCTGGAAAGAAATCTTTGTACAACTGAAAACAAACGCAACAGAAACCGTATGAATAGACCTTTTATTTATCCTAAGTGGGACAGAAACCTAACATTCATTTTTATTATGATTAGAACATTTAGCTACATAAATTCAGGACCGAAATAGGAATCCATTGTTTCCTGTGTATCTAAAGTAACTGTTATAATCAGTGCTCATTGTCCTCAAGTGTAAAAATATATTGCTTGACTGTAACTATCTAACTAGATATTCATATAATCGCAGTCTGATTTTAATACCTGAAGATTTCCATTAATTATATTACTTCCACTGTCATTCGAACATTCCTTTTTCTTTCTTCATTTCTCATATAAACTGAGAAGTGAATGACATAGTTCTCTTCTCCGTTGTGTACTATGGCGGATGCGATATCGATTATAATTACTCTTGAAGTGATTTTCTTGGCATTAGCTCTATTTTTAAGCGCCATTTATTCAATCACCATCCTATCCAACCGTCGGTTCTACCATCACAACAACATGTTTATACTCAATATTTGCTGCACAATTGTGATTAGCGCAGCTTTCTTCATCTTCTACATCCTCATGCAAAGTATCGACAGTCGACGCTTCATCAGTTCTGACTTCTGTCTATTTATCTACTACACGTATGGCACGGCCAGTATTCAAATGCCATTTGCATTTGTCACATTCACAATACATCGGTTTTGCTCAATTTTGTATCATAATCGACCGTTCTTTCGAACAAACAAATGGGTGATCATATGCATTGCTGGACAATGGATAATTCAGTTCATTGTCTCACTCCCATTCATCTTCCGATCAGGACATGTGAGTTGTAAAATAAGTTCAACATTGGATCAAGCAATGAGATAGATGTTTGAGAAAAAAAAATCTGCTGCAAAGCTAGATTTCCTCAAGCTATGCATGATTTTGAAGGGCGATGACAAGAGTTTGATGTAGTTCACATACAACCTTGGAGCATGCACCGACAGAAGAGCCTTTTAATCTGGTTATAGATATCTATAGAACATAAATCTTTTGACGTCATTCATTTCGTTTTGTGAATAGCCTTGTCTTATTCCACCGTGGGTGTTGATTTATTTGTGTGGTTGGGTGGTAGTCATACCTTCATTTGTGAACATAGCTTTGAACATTCGGATCTTCATGTATGTTCGATCATCAAGTCGTCGTGTTCAACCTACACATCATATTACTACAATCACAAATCTAAATAACACTCAGCAGCAGCAACAACATCCGCCGTCATGGCTAGGCCGTCGAGAGATTTTCCTGCTACGTCACATGATTTACATGTTTATTATGTTTATTGGTGGTTGGGGTCCGCTGTATTTTTTCCTATTTATCAGTCAATTGACGCCAATCCAGAGAATTGCGCGTGAATCGGCTGTACTATTATGTGAACTATCTTTGCTAACTTTGATCATAAACTTGTTTATATGTAATCAAGAACTGAGACAGCATTTGTTTAACAAACTACGCTGTAATTTCTGTTCATAAAGGGTTTCGTAAACTTGATACAATGCGTTCTAACATGCATCATTAGCCCCCAGTATCACGAAACTGTCTGAGAGCGCATCAATGGATCACCACCATACATACTAAGTGCTCTAGCGCCAACACGATTCTCCCTGTCAGAGCAATTGCCGACTAATTTTGAAATTTATTGTTCATTTGTTGTATTTTTTAGTATTTTTTAAAGTACATCCTGCAGCTGTTGCTGCGACTATTCTTGTGCAAGATGGTTTTCATTTCACTACACTTTCAGAAATTCACATCATATTTGTCTGGTAATGCTGTTCAGTAGATCTTGGTTGTACTTAGTTTCTTCTTCATGTTGTATAATCCTGAGATCGTGTAAACCATGATGAATATATGAAAACCAATTACGTTGATGACAGGCATTTTTTTACATCATAATGAAAGAATAGATTTGTTGTTTTGCATAATTTAAAACAGTTAGATATTAATTCGATCATGCACAGAGTGTTCATGTATTGTTTCCTGCTTATCTAAAGCAACTATCATAATCGGTATGCACATTGTGTAAAATGTAAGAAGTATACAAGTTGTCAAGAGAATATTTCTGAGTGTAATTAGCTACACCGAGAGAACTCTTCTATCTTGTCGATTTATCCATTATATCTCGGATAGAAATGTCTCAAACTGCTTTCGATTCTATTCCACTATTATGTATACGATTTTTATTGACAACACTCCCTTTTCTCGGCTAATTGCTAATGGAAAATAGTCTTGCTATATTTATCATCTTATGGTCTAATACCAACTGATTATTTTTTGTTTGTTTTCAACTATCCGCTCTAATCATGTTAAATGATTGTTTACAGTATCCAAGGAGATAGGAGACACGTTGGGGAGATGCGCAGCTTAGATGTCCGAATTTGTGTCACCCGAACTTTTTGGCTTTATGTGTTTAAATGAAGGTACGTATGACTGAAAGAAAACGAAATTTAAGTGTCTGCTATGATCAAACACAGGAAGGGGAAAGGAAGGATGACGATCAGAAAAATTAAATCAGATCAGTCAGTATTAGGCAACTGGCTTACAACAGAAATACTATAGATCTATTCTAAACACAGTTATATTCTGAAAATGAAGACGGTACATCCAGTAGAAGGATAGAATTAAAGGCGGCGTAGAACAGTTAGTTACACACTTTTCTTCTCTAATGTAAGTTCTTCATCATCTACATTCTCATGCAAACTCTCGATCAATTTTGTATCGCAAACGACCGTTCTTTCGGACAAACAAATGGGTGATCATAAGCATTGCTTGACAATTGATTATTAATTNACTAGCGCGGCTTTCTTCACTGCCTATATTCTAATGGGAATTTTCTATAGTCAACTATTCAATATTTCTGATGTTTGTCGAGCTCTTTATTATCTGTACGGTATAGCTAGCATTCAAATGCCTTTTTCATTTGTTACGTTCACAGTACATCAATTTTGCTCAATCTTGTATCATAATCAACTGTTCTTTCGAACAAACAAATGGGTGATCATATGTATTGCCGGGCAATGTACATCCCAGTTCATAGTCTCACTGCTGTTCATCTTTCCACGAGGATACGTAAGTGATGAGAAACGCGTTTCAGGAACACAATAACGAAAAGTAGAAAGCTCCCGAACTTTTATGAAAGTTTCTCTATGATCAGAGTTGACGACGATCCTAATCCTCTTCAACTTACTATACGCAGTTATACGTATGTAGAAACTTGTTCTTAGACGGTATTTATTTTTATTACTGTATTTATCATCTTACCATGGGTATTAGTATACTTATGCGCTTGGGTTGTGATCGCACCTTCATTCGTGAACATAGTTTTGAATATTCGAATCTTTATGTACGTTCGATCTGTAGGTCGTCGTATTCAGCCTACCCATTATGCTACTACAGTCATCATTCCTAAGTCGTCGAGAATTCTCTTTATTACGGCGTATGATTTTTATGTTTATTGTGTTCATTGGTGACTAAGGCTCAACTTATTTTATATTAGTCATTGTCCAATTTGCATCGATTCCAGGTATTGTGCAACAATTATCAGTGGCTCTATGTGAATTATCTATACTAATCTTAATTATAAATCTATTTATATGTAATCGTGAACTGAGAGAGAGCTTATTTAACAAATTGCGCTGTTGTTTTTGTTCATGAACGACGTTGTAAATAACAAAACACATTGTTCATTCGTTTTATCTGTTATTGCCTTTCAAACATACTCCAAAAATACGTGACTGTGACCATTATCGTATCCAAAGTGCACTATTACACCAACCATCTTTGTTGTCTATACTCGGGCCTGAAACTTCATGTTCAGTTTTCCAGATCTACTATGAGAATACTCCTCATCCAATCAATGCCAATGCATTGTTATAGCTGGTTTGATTGATTTCGTTTGTCACACTCAAGATGCTTTATTTAAAATTGGTTTAATGTTGTTTAGAGGAAAGATATTTAAGTATTTTTGAGATTAAAAAAACATTTTTACAGCAACGTCCACCCTACTCTCGACGTCTGCTTTCCTGATTTATATAATTTATGGTTTTGCACGACGCATAGTTACTAATAAATTCGTGATGAAATCAAGCGTTGCTAATGTATTGCATATAAATATAACGTATCCTGGAAAGAAATCTTCTCTGTACAACTGAAAACAAACGCAACAGAAACCGTATGAATAGACCTTTTATTTATCCTAAGTGGGACAGAAACCGAACATTCATTTTTATTATGATTAGAACATTTAGCTACATAAATTCAGAACCGAAATAGGAATCCATTGTTTCCTGTGTATCTAAAGTAACTGTTATAATCAGTGCTCATTGTCCTCAAGTGTAAAAATATATTGCTTGACTGTAACTATCTAACTAGATATTCATATAATCGCAGTCTGATTTTAATACCTGAAGATTTCCATTAATTATATTACTTCCACTGTCATTCGAACATTCCTTTTTCTTTCTTCATTTCTCATATAAACTGAGAAGTGAATGACATAGTTCTTTTCTCCGTTGTGTACTATGGCGGATGCGATATCGATTATAATTACTCTTGAAGTGATTTTCTTGGCATTAGCTCTATTTTTAAGCGCCATTTATTCAATCACCATCCTATCCAACCGTCGGTTCTACCATCACAACAACATGTTTATACTCAATATTTGCTGCACAATTGTGATTAGCGCAGCTTTCTTCATCTTCTATATCCTCATGCAAAGTATCGACAGTCGACGCTTCATCAGTTCTGACTTCTGTCTATTTATCTACTACACGTATGGCACGGCCAGTATTCAAATGCCATTTGCATTTGTCACGTTCACAATACATCGGTTTTGCTCAATTTTGTATCATAATCGACCGTTCTTTCGGACAAACAAATGGGTGATCATATGCATTGCTGGACAATGGATAATTCAGCTCATTGTTTCACTGCCATTCATCTTCCGATCAGGACATGTGAGTTGTCAAATAAGTTCAACATTGGATGAAGCAATGAGATAGATGTTTGAGAAAAAAAGATACTGCCGCAAAACTAGATTTCCTCAAGCTATGCATGATTTTGAAGGGTAATGACAAGAGTTTGATGTAGTTCACATACAACCTTGGAGCATGCACCGACAGAAGAGCCTTTTAATCTGATTATAGATATCTATAGAACATAAATCTTTTGACGTCATTCATTTTGTTTTGTGAGTAGCCTTGTCTTATTCCACCGTGGGTGTTGATTTATCTGTGTGGTTGGGTGGTAGTCATACCTTCATTTGTGAACATAGCTTTGAACATTCGGATCTTCATATATGTACGATCATCGAGTCGTCGTGTTCAACCTACACATCATATTACTACAATCACAAATCTAAATAACACTCAGCAGCAGCAACAACAGCCGCCGTCATGGCTAGGCCGTCGAGAGATTTTCCTGCTACGTCACATGATTTACATGTTTATTATGTTTATTGGTGGTTGGGGTCCGCTGTATTTTTTCCTATTTATCAGTCAATTAACGCCAATCCAGAGAATTGCGCGTGAATCGGCTGTACTATTATGTGAACTATCTTTGCTAACTTTGATCATAAACTTGTTTATATGTAATCAAGAACTGAGACAACATTTGTTTAACAAACTACGCTGTAATTTCTGTTCGTAAAGGGTTTCGTAAACTTGATACAATGCGTTCTAACATGCATCATTAGCCCCCAGTATCACGAAACTGTCTGAGAGCGCATCAATGAATCACCACCATACATACTAAGTGCTCTAGCGCCAACACGGTTCTCCCTGCCAGAGCAATTGCCGACTAATTTTGAAATTTATTGTTCATTTGTTGTACTTTTTAGTATTTTTTAAAGTATATCCTGCAGCTGTTGCTGCAACTATTCTTGTGCAAGATGGCTTTCATTTCACTATGCTTTCAGAAATTCACATCATATTTGTCTGGTAATGCTGTTCAGTAGATCTTGGTTGTACTTAGTTTCTTCTTCATGTTGTATAATCCTGAGATCATGTAAACCATGATGAATATATGAAAACTAATTACGTTGATGACAGGCGATTTTTTACATCACAATGAAAGAATAGATTTGTTGTTTAGCATAATTTAAAACAGTTAGATATTAATTCGATCATGTACAGAGTGTTCATGTATTGTTTCCTGCTTATCTAAAGCAACTATCATAATCGGTATGCACATTGTGTAAAATGTAAGAAGTATACAAGCTGTCAAGAGGACATTTCTGAGTGTAATTAGCTACACTGAGAGAACTCTTCTATCCTGTCGATTTATCCATTATATCTCGAATACGAATATCTCAAACTGCTTTCGATTCTATTCCACTATTATGTATACGATTTTTATTGACAACACTCCCTTTTCTCGGCTAATTGCTAATGAAAAATGGTCTTGCTATATTTATCATCTTGGCCTAATACCAACTGATTATTTTTTGTTTGTTTTCAATTATCTGCTCTAATCATGTTAAATGATTGTTTATAGTATCCAAGGAGATAGGAGACACGTTGGGGAAATGCGCAGCTTAGATGTCCGAATTTGCGTCACCCCAACTTTTTGGCTTTATGTGTTTAAATGAATGTACGTATGACTGAAAGAAAATGAAATTTATGTGTCTGCTATGATCAGACACAGGAAGGGGAAAGGAAGGATGACGATCAGAAAAATTAAATCAGATCAGTCAGTATTAGGCAACCGGTTTAAAACAGAAATACTGTAGATCTATTCTAAACACGGTTATATTCTGAAAATGAAAACGGTACATCCAGTAGACGGATAGAATTAAAGGCGGCATAGAACAGTTAGTTACCCACTTTTCTTCTCTAATGTAAGTTCTTCATCGCCTACATTCTCACGCAAACTCTCGATCAATTTTGTATCACAATCCACCGTTCTTTCGAACAAACAAATGGGTGATCATATGCGTTGCTGGACAATGGATAATTCAGTTCATTGTCTCACTACCATTCATCTTTCGATCAGGACATGTGGGTTGTCAAATAAGTTTAACATTGGATGAAGCAATGAGATAGATGTTTGAGAAAAAAGAATACTGCGACAAAACTAGATTTCCTCAAGCTATGCAAGATTTTGAAGGGTGATGACAAGAGTTTGATGTAGTTCACATACAACCTTGGAGCATGCACCAACAGAGGAACCTTTTAATCCGATTCTAGATGTCTATAGAAGATAAATGTGTTGACGTCATTCATTTTGTTTTGTGAATAGCCTTGTCTTGTTTCGCCGTGGATGTTGATCTATTTGTGTGCTTGCATGGTAATCATACCTTCATATATGTACGATCATCGAGTCGTCGTGTTCAACCTACACATCATATTACTATAATCACAAATCTAGATACTACTGAACGATAATAACCTTCGTTTTTGCATCGACCGATTGATGTCAATCCAGACGATTCTTCTAGGAATCAACGGTACTGTTGTGTGAACTATCCTCCTCGACTTTGATCCTAGATTTATTTGTATGCGATCGTGAACTGAAACACCATTTGCTTATAAAATTATGCTGTCGAATTCGTTCATAAACAATGCACTAGTCGATACTGTGGATGTTCAAAAGAATTGATATTACTGAGGAGAAGAAAAGAAATTCGCGCTCTACCGCGGAAATGATTGGAAAAATAAATTCTTTCGCAACATGATTTTCTATAATCTCATTTGAGTAAGTATGCTTTAGCGCAACAGTGTGTCGGTTCGTTTCGAATATATTTTATTTCAAATTCTCAGAGCGACATATCATTTCTTTTTCAAATGGTTGATTCCAAACGCTGTAGTTGCCATTGTTGACAATCACTGTTCGACCACGACCATTGATGAATTAGAATTCCACCAACGGTAGAGCACATTGGTATATCCAGACATTGATTCAGAGCATGTTTTGGCGTCAAACGATAATATCCATTCGACAGCGCTTCTACTTTCCATTTTTGACAATCAGTATCTAACCAATCGTACAGTTGAACTGCACCACCATCGTATGCATTGCAATCAAATACACTGAGTACACGACCACCTACACGATTNATACGATAGAAACCACCCTCAAGTTGCTCTAGGATCCATTGTTGATTAGTTGCACCCGAATAGTATATTTGACTGATGAACGCATAGTTCTGTTCATTTGCTGCATAGAGTGCAGCTTGCTGAGCAAATTTGGGTGTAATTCGATAAACACCTTCGAATGCAGCGTTCGTTGAGACAGTCGATATGGTGGATGTAGTAGAGACAGCAGAGGTAGTTGAACTTGTGCCAGATTTTAACCGTAAAACACTAATCTTGTCAGTAGAACTAAAGGTCACTTGATTGTTGATGACACGAAGAGTGCTGACATCGACATCAGCATTGTTGTTAAATGCATAAAGTGTAGCCTCGGTGAGAGTGTAGTTACCTTGAACACTGAGCTGAACTTGTTGCGGCGATGGGTATAAATTGAATTTACGTGCCACATCCCAACTTGACACCTCGTNGATTTTAACCGTAAAACACTAATCTTGTCAGTAGAACTAAAGGTCACTTGATTGTTGATGACACGAAGAGTGCTGACATCGACATCAGCATTGTTGTTAAATGCATAAAGTGTAGCCTCGGTGAGAGTGTAGTTACCTTGAACACTGAGCTGAACTTGTTGCGGCGATGGGTATAAATTGAATTTACGTGCCACATCCCAACTTGACACCTCGTTCCACACCATCAAATAAAAGTCACCATTGCGCTTTTGAAAGAGCAGTTGACGAACATTGGTTAAGTTACCGGTGAGTGTGTAGTTCAATGATGCTGGCGTGAAGGCTGATCCCTTATCACTCAGTAGTGATATCAAATTTTTCAGTGCTCGGAATGATGGTTTTTCAGTGAGATTGTTGCGTAGCAAGCCAAAGAAACCTTCTCTATCGGGAAGTGATTGATCAATAAATTCATATTTGTAACTGCGATAAATACCTCGACGGAAGAACTCAGCAAGTATACGAAGTGTATATTTTGCATCAGTTTCTTCTGATACACCGCCAAGATCAGTAAACGTAGTATGGCCAGTTTCAGTGGCCTGAATAGGTTTACGAGATGGTGATTGTTCAGGAGTCAACAGGTTGAGATACCAGTCAATGCTATAGGAACCGTTGCTATCGAATCCACTGAAGCCTGGCCAGTAAGTCCAGTAATACATGTGCTGATTTACATAGTCGATATATGGATCTAAATTACCAACCGCATGGTATGACTCGTACGGTCCAAAGGATGGTCCGATGACAGGGATATTCTTCAGTAACGGATCAGCTTTGACCTTGTTGTATAGAGTAATGCTGTAATTTCTGATGGTTGACACCCAGTCAGTGTCAGGACCATGAGAATGATCATATTCATTTGGAGCTTCTATTGCCACTACGGTCTGTAATGCTCGAGTTTTGAGCTCGTTTAGTTCGGCATCGATTTGTGTTGGATCGAGGGGGGCTGGCCATGAGCCGGGCACCCATCGTCCAGTTACCATGTTTGTTTTGATTCCAAAACTATTATAAAGGTCATTCGCTCGAGTGTAAAGAAGTGGAGAAAATGTTCCATCTCGAACATAACGAATACCAGATTCACCCAATTTAGCTTTCAATGTTGCATAGTTATCTGAGTAAATACCTGGAAATGCCCAATGAGTGTTGACACCAATACTTTCTACGAATGAATCAGCTTGAAATGCTTTTCTAGTTTCAGCAGATACTATTGGAAGTACTACCGCAATGAACAACAAACACCAACGTTGCATTGTATCAAATACACTATGACCTGAAACGAAGTTATCAATTTAATACACACAATGTATTGATGATGCTTTTATTGCTATACGTACGAATCATTTGATAGCTACAGTACTAAGTACGCAATTCAATTTTCTCTCTTTATATATGGAATGTGAAGTTTTCGTTAAACTTTTGTAATATTCTTGGGGATATGGTAGCCTAATGGATGCTTTTGTTCTTTTGGCAAATACGAAAACAGGTGTGCGAGGTAGGTTTGAAAATTTAATTGATCTCTCTCTCTTTGATCCTTCAAAGCTCTATAATAAGAATGTCCTTTTGATTTTTTTATTTATTGATGTACTAAAGGATAACAACAAAAGTATGAATAAATGTATAGATATGATGAATTTATTTATCTTTAGCAGTTATTTTGAAATCGATGTGTGCTTTATTTGTCTCGGATGATCACAGTATATTCATAGTGAACAGGCATAATTGCAGTACATCTGTGGCAAAAAATGAAATTTCTTTTCTCTGAACGGTATAGTATTACTTATTGTCACACCCATAATTGTTAACAATGTTAAAAAAACTTTCGTTTTTCTAATATTTATTACCATTACATGCATCCTAGGTAAAAATAAGAGTTAAAGATTCAAAACTGATATTTCTCTTGTACCACTGGAAATCATTGTATGGCCGATGAGCGTGACTGTCTATTAACCTTTGGAAACGCGCAAAAAACTTAAGAGTTACTATGGTCATTTTCAGTATATAGATAGCTGTATAGTAGATATTATAAAATAAAATAGAATACAAATTCGAATTCACTCAGGAGAGTCTCTCTAATCTTTAAGTTTTTGTATATAAAAAGCAGAGTTTCCAGTATGAGCATTTTGTTTGCAGAAACAAGAATATTTTGTAATAAATCTTGTACCGTTGTGAATTACGATCATTCGACCTTTAATAGATTTTGCCTATTTTATTACATTGCAACAAGATATTAAGAATCTATTTTGGTAGGAAATGGTAGGCCTGCTCCTATGTTACCATTTGTAATTTCTTTCGATCGTTTATTCACTTTGTCTTCTTATACAGCTTGCACAGAACTAGTCAAATACGCCACATTTCTGACTTTCAAAGAGTATATAAGCACCTAGAAGTGGCAAAGAAATGAATGAAGAGTTATATGTATGTATGTGGTCTATAGGACTGGCTATGTAACTATACACCTTCTTAATTGTACGGCAATGCAGTATAAGCATCATATAATCAATGTTCGTTCTTTTCAACTATTTTTGATCATAAACGATTTAAAATATCTAAATACTGTTTCTCTGCTTTAAAAGATCTATGAATACATCTTTTTCACGTGTACTTTTATTTTAAACTCGCAAAACAATAGTTCTCGTCTTCTTCAAACTAATTACTCAATGTGTTCCAGTTTCCATAGTTGACAATCACTATTCGACCATGACGACTGCTGAACGATGATTCCACCTCCACTTCTGCACAATTGAACATTCAGACTTTGATTCGGAGCATGTTTTGGTGTTAAACGATAATATCCATTCGACAACACTTCCACTTTCCACTTTTGACAGTCAGTATTCGACCAATCGTACAATCGCGTGACACCACCATCGTATGTATTGCAATTGTCTATATCGAGTACTCGACCACCTACACGGTTTTTGATACGATAGAAACCATCAACGAGTGATTCTAAGATCCATTGTTGATTGGCAGCACCAGAATAATATGTTTGACTGATGACTGCATGATTCTGATCGCTGATTGCATAGAGAGCAGCTTGCGGGGCGAATTTGGGCGTGATTCGATAGACACCTCCGATTGCGGAGTTGGTAGAAACGGTGGCGATTTTTACCTGTAAAATACTGATCTTGTCAGTTGAGTTGAACTTCACTTGATTGTTGATGACAGGAAGAGAAGTAACATTCACATCGGCATTGTTGTTGAATGAATAAAGGGTCACATCAGTAAGAATGCGATCACCTTGAACATTTAGTTGAAGCTGCTGTGGTGATGGATACAGATCAAACTTGAGTCGAATATCCCAACTTGACACCTCGTTCCACACCATCAAATAAAAGTCACCATTGCGTTTTTGAAAGAGCAGTTGACGAACATTGGTTAAGTTACCAGTGAGTGTATAATTCAACGATGCTGGTGTGAAGGCTGAACCTTTATCACTTAATATCGATATGAGATTTCTTACTGCTCGAAACGATGCCTTTTCAGTCAGATTGTTGCGTAAGAGACCAAAGAAGCCTTCTCTGCCAGTTATTTCTTCGTCAACCAGTTCATATTTGTAAGTACGATAGATGCCACGACGAAAGAATTCCGCCAATAAGCGAGCTGTGTATTTTCCATCAGCTTCTTCTGATAAACCACCAACTTCAATGAAAGTTGTGTGACCGGTTTCCGTAGCTATCAGTGGTTTGCCAGATGGTGACTGTGCACGAGCCAAAAGATTGAGATACCAATCAAGGCTGCGAGTTCCGTTACTATCATAACCGCTGAAACCTGGCCAGTAAGTCCAGTAATATATATGCTGGTTTCCATAATCGATAAAAGAATCACTATTGCCGACAGCAACATATGACTCGTAGTTTACCAATGATGGTCCGATAACGGGAAAATTCTTCAGTATTGGATCAGCCTTGACTTTGTTGTAGAGGTTAATACTGTAGTTTTTTATCGTTGACAGCCAGTTAGTATCGGGACCATGTGCATGATCATATTCGTTTGGGGCCTCTATAGCATCTACCGATCGGAGTGCTTGAGTTTTTATGTCGTTTAGTTCAGCATCGATCTGTGTTGGATCTAATGGAGCCGGCCATATGCCAGGTACCCATCTTGCAGTTAACATGTTTGTTTTAATTCCAAAATTGTCGTAGAGGTCATTTGCACGAGTGAAAACACCTGCAACGGTTCTATCTCGCACGTAACGAATACCGGATTCCACCAATTTTACTCGAAGGGCAGTATAATTGTTAGTATATACTCCTTTATATGCCCAATGAGTGTTAATACCGATGCTTTCCACGAAAGAATCAGCTTGAACCGCTGTTATAGCTTCACCTGATATGATTGGAAACACTGCTGCAACGAACAATAGACACCAACATCGAATCGTACTAAATGCATTATGATCTGGAATAGACTCATCAGTTTAGTACATGGAATGTATTAGTTGCATTCGCATCTCCATACTTACGAATCATTTGGTAAATTGCAAATTAAATACGGTGAAATATTCAATTGTCTTTCCCTTCTATTGAATACGACATTTTTGTTAAGCTTTTATAATATCCAGCAGAGTATATAGCTGCTACTTGATTCTTTCGTTTTTCGTCAAGAGGACACAGATGCATAAAGTAGATTCGAAAATCAATTAAATTTCTCTCTCCTCTTCTCAATCGTCGAAAGTATTCCAGTAAAGATATGCTTCTTCATTTTCAATTCAATGTATACTTGCGCTTTTATCTCTTGGTCGTATTTGAGTGAGAGTGTGTATGTATCCTAGAAACTCACAACTAGCCTCAATGAACGATTCACAATGCTAAAATCAAGACTCAAGAATCACCAGATAAATTTCTTGCATTGAATGACGAACCAAAAGGTTAATGATGATGTTTGATCTTGAAATATGTTCTATTATGTTAATTATTTGATTCTGTCTTACTTATCGCACAAAAGAGTCTCTAAGTTTTCCAGAAACATATCGACTTTTTATAATGAAAAGTCGGTTTGATCAACATGATTTTCATTACCATTTTCTTCATTGACTGGTATTTCGCCTTTATGACATAAGTAATCGACATTCATAACTGTATAACTATCTATCAAAACCTGTCTAGATCAGCTGACAGTGTTTTATTAGTCACTGTTGCGCTAAATTCTAACATACGTGACAAATCATACAGTCACAAAAAATTATTAAAATCAATTCTCATCTTTCAAGATTAAGTCGAATGTGCTATTCCACATAATCTAATCGCAAAAAGTCAACAAAAAATCTTCTATACAGCGTCTATGTTTTTTATTTTCAAAAGTAATTACGTCTAATGAATTGGCCTTTTTGACATCATTCAACAGATGATGCTTTGTATTCAAATATCTAATTCATTAACAGTATGAGATACTGTTCATGTATTTCAATTTTGGGTATATCATGCCATTCTACGTTTGTACTGTTTGGGCACACTTACGATTGTTTTTTCTTTTTAACTTCTACTTTTTCTAAACTACAATGGCTAATAGAACACAACAAGGGCGGAGCACAATGAATGTTTATCGGTTGTTTCTCTTCTCCTTGTCGGCTACAAGTGAGTGAGCGCGCACATGTATCGATAGTATAATGACAAAATAAGTTACTTACCGTGCTTTCATATTATTATTTGAATAGTTTCTTATCCACTAATATCAAAATACATAACACCGTCACATTACAGTAGAGTACTTTCTTAGCCGAAGAAAACGAACAAATAGTCATCATGGCCAGCAAGTATATATATTTTTAGAGTGGATCCAAGTTCTAGTAACTTTATCTTATATACCATTGTGTAGGCCAACAACTAATGCACCAACAGGTAAAGCACCTATCATCAAGAAAATGTTCTTGCACAATCGAAAGACAAATCAACGATATCGTCTCAATGGGGCCAAAGAAACGAATCGTAAACCAAAGAAAGCTTGTCTAAATCGAGATTTTTCTCAATACATCGCCTATACAACTCCTCAATTACCGAACAAAGTTGATCTTCGACCTTGGATGACACAAATCGAAGATCAATCGGACGCCAACAGTTGGTAAGTACTTCTAGACATATCTATGCATGTTAACTGCTTTTTCAAATTTATCATCAGTACGGCAAATGCAATGGCTGGAATCTACGAATATCTAAATTATCGAAGCACTGGGCGTCTCGAAGATGTCAGTCGACTCTTTATCTACTATAATGCTCGAGTTCGAGATAATGATGATGATCCTCATGTGATTGATGATGGAAGTACCATCCCTTCGACCATTGAAACCGTTGAAGAATTCGGCGTCTGCCCAGAATACATATGGCCGTATAATATTAAAAAAGTCAATACCAAACCGACCAAACAAGCGTACAGTATTGCTCCACAGTATAGCATTTCTGAGGCACTTGAAGTCGATATCAATATTAACGAGATGAGATCGTGTCTGGCACAAGGATTTCCTATTCTAGTTATTATCGAACTGTACAAGTCATTCGATAAAGCACAATCACATGGAATCGTTCCTATGCCAAAAAGTAACGAAACAAGCCGATCATCTCACGGAAGGTAACTGTACTTTGTTGGATTGCATCTGCTGCATGCCTTTCTTTGCAGTCATGCTGTCGTACTATCAGGTTACAGTGACCATTCAAGAGCATTTATCGTACGAAATTCCTGGGGAGTTGATTGGGTAAGTGTCATTGGCTAACGAATTAAAGATGTGTTTACATTGTTTAACAGGGAGACAGGGGTTACTGCTATATACCGTATGATTATATCGGCAATGATAAGTTATGCGATATTGCTTGGACAGTTAAGAATTTAGGTGTGGCAANTCAAACATCTATCTCATTGCTTGATCCAACCGTCGGTTCTACCATCACAACAACATGTTTATACTCAATATTTGCTGCACAATTGTGATTAGCGCAGCTTTCTTCATCTTCTACATCCTCATGCAAAGTATCGACAGTCGACGCTTCATCAGTTCTGACTTCTGTCTATTTATCTACTACACGTATGGCACGGCCAGTATTCAAATGCCATTTGCATTTGTCACATTCACAATACATCGGTTTTGCTCAATTTTGTATCATAATCGACCGTTCTTTCGAACAAACAAATGGGTGATCATATGCATTGCTGGACAATGGATAATTCAGTTCATTGTCTCACTCCCATTCATCTTCCGATCAGGACATGTGAGTTGTAAAATAAGTTCAACATTGGATCAAGCAATGAGATAGATGTTTGAGAAAAAAAAATCTGCGACAAAACTAGATTTCCTCAAGCTATGCATGATTTTGAAAGGTGATGACAAGAGTTTGATGTAGTTCACATACAACCTTGGAGCATGCACCGACAGAAGAGCCTTTTAATCTGGTTATAGATATCTATAGAACATAAATCTTTTGACGTCATTCATTTCGTTTTGTGAATAGCCTTGTCTTATTCCACCGTGGGTGTTGATTTATTTGTGTGGTTGGGTGGTAGTCATACCTTCATTTGTGAACATAGCTTTGAACATTCGGATCTTCATGTATGTTCGATCATCAAGTCGTCGTGTTCAACCTACACATCATATTACTACAATCACAAATCTAGATACTACTGAACGATAATAACTTTCGTTTTTGCATCGACCGATTGGTGTCAATCCAGACGATTCTTCTAGGAATCAACGGTAGTGTTGTGTGAACTATCCTCCACAACTTTGATCTTAGATTTATTTGTATGCGACCGTGAACTGAGACACTATTTGCTCGTAAAAATATGTTGTCGAATTCGTTGATAAATAGTGCACCAGTCGATACTGTGAATGGCTAAAAGAATTGATATTGCTGAGGAGAAGAAGCGAAATTCGCGCTCTACCGCGGAAATGATGGAAAAATAAATTCTTTCGCAACATGATTATCTATAATCTCATTTGAGTAATTATGCTTTAGCGCAACAGTGTGTCGATTCGTTTCGAATATATTTTATTTCAAATTCTCAGAACGACATATCATTTCTTTTTCAAATGGTTGATTCCAAACGTTGTAGTTGCCATTGTTGACAATCGCTGTTCGACCACGACCATTGATGAATTAGGATTCCACCAACGGTAGAGCACATTGGTATATCCAGACATTGATTCAGAGCATGTTTTGGCGTCAAACGATAATATCCGTTCGACAGCGCTTCTACTTTCCATTTTTGACAGTCAGTATTCGACCAATCGTACAGTTGAACTGCACCGCCATCGTATGCATTGCAGTCAAGTACACTAAGTACACGACCACCTACACGGTTTTTGATACGATAGAAATCACCGCCAAGTGGCTCTAGGATCCATTGTTGATTAGTAGCACCCGAATAGTATATTTGACTGATGAACGCATAGTTCTGTTCATTTGCTGCGTAGAGCGCAGCTTGCGGGGCAAATTTGGGTGTAATTCGATAAACACCTCCGAATGCAGCGTTCGTTGAGACAGTCGATGCGGTAGATGTAGTAGAGACAGTCGATGCGGTAGATGTAGTAGAGACAGTCGATGTGGTAGATGTAGTAGAGACAGCAGAGGTAGTTGAACTTGTGCCAGATTTTAACCGTAAAACACTAATCTTGTCAGTAGAACTAAAGGTCACTTGATTGTTGATGACAGGAAGAGTGCTGACATCGACATCAGCATTGTTGTTAAATGCATAAAGTGTAGCCTCGGTGAGAGTATAGTTACCTTGAACACTGAGCTGAAGTTGTTGCGGGGACGGATACAAATTGAATTTACGTGCCACATCCCAACTTGACACCTCGTTCCACACCATCAAATAAAAGTCACCATTGCGCTTTTGAAAGAGCAGTTGACGAACATTGGCTAGATTACCTGTGAGTGTGTAGTTCAATGATGCTGGTGTGAAGGCTGATCCTTTATCATTCAGCAGTGATATCAAATTTTTCAGTGCTCGGAATGATGGCTTTTCAGTGAGATTATTGCGTAGCAAGCCAAAGAAACCTTCTCTATCGGGAAGTGATTGATCAATAAATTCATATTTGTAACTGCGATAAATACCTCGACGGAAGAACTCAGCAAGTATACGAAGTGTATATTTTCCGTCAGCTTCTTCTGATACACCGCCAAGATCAGTAAACGTAGTATGACCAGTTTCAGTGGCCTGAATAGGTTTACGAGATGGTGATTGTTCAGGAGTCAACAGGTTGAGATACCAATCAATGCTATATGATCCGTTGCTATCGAATCCACTGAAGCCTGGCCAGTAAGTCCAGTAATACATGTGCTGATTTACATAGTCGATATATGGATCTAAATTACCGACTGCATGGTATGACTCGTATGGTCCAAAGGATGGCCCGATGACAGGGATATTCTTCAGTGCTGGATCAGCTTTGACCTTGTTGTATAGAGTAATACTATAATTTCTGATGGTTGACACCCAGTCAGTGTCAGGACCATGAGTATGATCATATTCATTTGGAGCTTCTATTGCCACTACGGTCTGTAATGCTCGAGTTTTCATCTCGTTTAGTTCGGCATCGATTTGTGTTGGATCGAGTGGAGCTGGCCATGAGCCGGGCACCCATCGTCCAGTTACCATGTTTGTTTTGATTCCAAAACTATCATAAAGATCATTCGCTCGAGTGTAAAGAAGCGGAGAAAAAGTTCCATCTCGAACGTAACGAATACCAGATTCACCCAATTTGGCTTTCAATCTTGCATAGTTGTCTGAGTAAATACCTGGAAATGCCCAATGAGTGTTGACACCAATACTTTCCACGAACGAATCAGCTTGAAATGCTTTTCTCGTGTCAGCAGATACTATTGGAAGTACTACCACAATGAACAACAAACACCAACGTTGCATTGTATCAAATACACTATGACCTGAAACAAAGTTATCAATTTAACACACACAATGTATTGATGATGCTTTTATTGGTATACGTACGAATCATTTGATAGCTACAGTACTAAGTACGCAATTCAATTTTCTCTCTTTATATATGGAATGTGAAGTTTTCGTTAAACTTTTGTAATATTTTTGGGGATATAGTAGCCTAATGGATGCTTTTGTTCTTTTGGCAAATACGAAAACAGGTGTGTGGGGGTAGGTTTGAAAATTTAATTGATCTCTCTCTCTCTCTTTGATCCTTCAAAGCTCTATAATAAGAATGTACTTTTGATATTTTTATTTATTGATGTACTAAAGGATAACAACAAAAATACGAATAAATGTATAGATATGGTGAATTTATTTATCTTTAGCAGTTATTTTGAAATAGATGTGTGCTTTATTTGTCTCGGATGATCACAGTATATTCACAGTAAACAGGCATGATTGGAGCACATCTGTGGTAAAAAATGAAATTTCTTTTCTCTGCACGGTATAGTATTACTTATTGTCACAGTCATAATTGTTAACAATGTTAAAAAGCTTTCGTTTTTCTAATATTTATTACCATTACATGCATCCTAGGTAAAAATAACAGTTAAAGATGCAAAACTAATATTTCTCTTGTACGACTGGAAGTCATTGTATGGCCAATGAGCGTGACTATCTGTTAACCTTTGGAAACGCGCAAAAAAACTCAAGAATTACTATAGTCATTTTCAGTATATAGATAGCTGTATAATAGATTTTATAAAATAAAATAGAATACAAGTTCGAATTCACTCAAGAGAGTCTCTCTAATCTTTAAGTTCTATATATAAAAAGCAGAGTTTCCAGTATAAGCATTTTTTTGCAGAAACAAACATATTTTGTAATAAATCTTGTACCGTTGTGGGTTACGATCATTCGACCTTCAATAGATTTTGCCTATTTTATTACATTGCAACAAGATATTGAGAATCTATTTTGGTAGGAAATGGTAGGCCTACTCCTATGTTACCATTTGTAATTTCTTTCGATCGTTTATTCCTTTTGTTTTCTTATACAGCTTGTACAGAACTAATCAAATACGCCACAAAGAGTTATGTATATGTATGTGCTCTATTGGACTAGCTATATAACTATAGATACATTTTTTTCCACGTATACTTTTATTTTAAACTCTCAAAACAATAGTTCTCGCCTTCTTCAAACTAATTACTCAATGCGTTCCAGTTTCCATAGTTGACAATCACTATTCGACCATGACGACTGCTGAACAATGATTCCACCTCCACCTCTGCACAACTGAACATTCAGACTTTGATTCGGAGCATGTTTTGGTGTTAAACGATAATATCCATTCGACAACACTTCCACTTTCCATTTTTGGCAGTCAGTATTCGACCAATCGTACAATCGCGTGACACCACCATCGTATGTGTTGCAATTGTCTACGTCGAGCACTCGACCACCTACACGGTTTTTGATACGATAGAAACCATCATCAAGTGATTCTAAGATCCATTGTTGATTGGCAGCACCAGAATAATATGTTTGACTAATGACTGCATGATTCTGATCGCTGATTGCATAGAGTGCAGCTTGCGGGGCGAATTTGGGCGTGATTCGATAGACACCTCCGATTATGGAGTTCGTAGAAACGGTGGCAATTTTTACCTGTAAAATACTGATCTTGTCAGTTGAGTTGAACTTCACTTGATTGTTGATGACAGGAAGAGAAGTAACATTCACATCGGCATTGTTGTTGAATGAATAAAGGATGAGATCAGTGAGAATGCGATCACCTTGAACATTTAGTTGAAGCTGCTGTGGTGATGGATACAGATCAAACTTGAGTCGAACATCCCAACTTGACACCTCGTTCCACACCATCAAATAAAAGTCACCATTGCGTTTTTGAAAGAGCAGTTGACGAACATTGGTTAAGTTACCTGTGAGTGTGTAGTTCAATGATGCTGGTGTGAAGGCTGAACCTTTATCACTTAATATCGATATGAGATTTCTTACTGCTCGAAACGATGCCTTTTCGGTAAGATTGTTGCGTAAGAGACCAAAGAAACCTTCTCTGCCAGTTATTTCTTCGTCAACCAGTTCATATTTGTAACTGCGATAAATACCTCGACGGAAGAACTCAGCAAGTATACGAAGTGTGTATTTTCCATCAGCTTCTTCTGATAAACCACCAACTTCAATGAAAGTTGTGTGACCGGTTTCCGTAGCTATCACTGGTTTGCCAGATGGTGACTGTGCACGAGCCAAAAGATTGAGATACCAATCAATGCTGCGAGTTCCGTTACTATCGTAACCGCTGAAACCTGGCCAGTAAGTCCAATAATATATATGCTGGTTTCCATAATCGATAAAAGAATCACTATTGCCGACAGCAACATATGACTCGTAGTTTACCAATGATGGTCCGATAACGGGAAAGTTCTTCAGTATTGGATCAGCCTTGACTTTGTTGTAGAGGTTAATACTATAGTTTTTTATCGTTGACAGCCAGTTAGTGTCGGGACCATGTGCATGATCATATTCGTTTGGGGCCTCTATAGCATCTACCGATCGGAGTGCTTGAGTTTTGATGTCATTGAGTTCGGCATCGATCTGTGTCGGATCCAATGGAGCCGGCCATATGCCAGGTATCCATCTTGCAGTTAACATGTTTGTTTTGATTCCAAAATTGTCGTAGAGGTCATTTGCACGAGTGAAAACACCTGCAACGGTCCTATCACGCACGTATCGAATACCGGATTCCACCAATTTTGCTCGAAGAGTAGTATAATTGTTAGTATATACTCCTTTATATGCCCAATGGGTGTTAATACCGATGCTTTCCACGAAAGAATCAGCTTGAACCGCTGTTATAGCTTCACCTGATATGATTGGAAATACTGCTGCAACGAACAGTAGACACCAACATCGAATCGTGCCAAATGCATTATGATCTGAAATAGGTTCATCAGTTTAGTACGCGGAATGTATTAGGTACACTCGCATCTATATACTTACGAATCATTTGATAGATTGCCAATTAAATATGGTGGAATATTCAATTGTCTTTCCCTTCTATTGAATACGACATTTTCGTTAAGCTTTTATAATATCCAGCACGGTATAGCTGCTACTTGATTCTTTCGTTTTTCATCCAATAGGACACAGATGCATGAGATAGATTCTTAAATCAATTAAATTTTTCTCTCCTCTTCACACTCGTTGAAAATATTCCAGTAAAGATATGCTTCTTCATTTTCAATTCAATCTACCTGCACTTTTATCTATTGGTCGTATTCGAGCGAGAGTATGCATGCATCCTAGAAACTCACAACTAGCCTCAATGAACGATTCACAACGCTAAAATCAAGACTCGAGAACCACCAGAGAAATTTCTTGCATTGAATGACGAAACAAAAGGTTGATGATAAGGTTTGATCTAGAAATACGTTCTATCATCTTAATTATTTGATTCTGTCTTCCTTATCGCACAGAAGAGTCTCTAAGTTTTCTACAAACATATCGACTTTGTATAATGAAAATTCGGATTGATCAATATGATTTTCACCGCCATTTTTTTTCATTGATTGGTATTTCGCCGTTATGTCGTAAGTAATCGACACTCATAACTGTATATCTATCAAAACATGTCTAGATCAGCTGACAGTGTTTTGCTAGTTGCTGTTGAGCTAAATTCTAGCATATATGACAGATCATGCAGTTACAAAATTGATTAAAATCAATACTCATCGTTCAAGACTGAGTCGAATGCGCCATTCCACACAATCTATTCGTAAAAAGTCAACAAAAAATCCTCTGTACAGCGTCTATGTTTTTTATTTTCTAAAGTAATAACGTATAACGAATTGGTCATTTTGGCATCATCTAATGGACAATGCTTTGTATTCAAATAGCCAATTCATTAACATTATGAGATACTGTTAACCTATTTCAACTTTGTGTATGTATATCATCTAACGTTTGTACTGTATGGGCATATTTACGATTGTTTTTTCTGCTTAACTTCTACTTTTTCTAAACTATAATAGTTAATAGAACACAACAAGGGCGGGGCACAACGAAATGTTTAATATCGCTTGTTTTTCTTCTCCTTGTCGGCTACAAGTGAGTGAGCGCGCACATGTATCGGTAGTATAATAACAAAATAAGTTACTTATCGTGCTTTCATATTACTATTTGAATAGTTTCTTATCCACTAATATCAAAATGCATAACACCGTCACATTACAGTAAAGTGCTTTCTTAGCCGGAGAAAACGAACAGATAGTCATCATGGCCAGCAAGTATATATTTTTGAGAGCTGATCCATGTCCTAGTAACTTAATTTTCTATATCATTGTGTAGGCTAACAACTAATGCACCAACAGGTAAGGCACCTATCATCAAGAAAATGTTCTTGCACAATCGAAAGACAAATCAACGATATCGTCTCAATGGGGCGAAAGAGACGAATCGTAAACCAAGGAAAGCTTGTCTGAATCGAGATTTTTCCCAATACATCGCCTATACAACTCCTCAATTACCGAACAAAGTCGATCTACGACCTTGGATGACACAAATCGAAGATCAATCGGACGCCAACAGTTGGTAAGTACTTCTAGACATATCTATCCATGTTAACTGCCTTTTCAAATTTATCACCAGTACGGCAAATGCAATGGCTGGAGTCTACGAATATCTAAATTATCGAACCACTGGGCGTCTCGAAGATGTCAGTCGACTCTTCATCTACTACAATGCTCGAGTTCGAGATAATGATGATGATCCTCATGTGATTGATGATGGAAGTACCATCCCTTCGACCATTGAAACCGTTGAAGAATTCGGCGTCTGTCCAGAGTACATATGGCCATATAATATTAAAAAAGTCAATACCAAACCGACCAAACAAGCGTATAGTGTTGCTCCACAGTATAGCATTTCTGAGGCACTTGAAGTCGATATCAATATTAACGAGATGAAATCGTGTCTGGCGCAAGGATTTCCTATTCTAGTTATTATGGAACTGTACAAATCATTCGATAAAGCGCAATCACATGGAATCGTTCCTATGCCAAAAAGTAACGAAACAAGCCGAGCATCTCACGGAAGGTAACTGTACTTTGTTGGATTGCGTCTACTGCATGCCTTTCTTTGCAGTCATGCTGTCGTACTATCAGGTTACAGTGACCATTCGAGAGCATTCATCGTACGAAATTCCTGGGGAGCCAGTTGGGTAAGTGTCGTTGGCTAACGAATTAAAGATGTTTTTACATTTTTCAACAGGGAGACAGGGGTTACTGCTATATACCGTATGATTATATCGGCAATGATAAGTTATGCGATATTGCTTGGACAGTTAAGAATTTAGGTGTGGCAACTATGGGTAACGACGGTTGGGATGACGAAGATGAGGTTGATTATTTGGATGATGACGATGAAGATGAGGACGAAGATGAAGATGACGAAGATGCTGACATTGAAGAAGTTGAAGAAGAAGATGAGCCAGAAGATGATGATTACGACGACGATGACGAAGAGTAATAAATGACTTGCAAACTAACTCGTCACATCTTTATATTATATTCTTTTGGTATTTGTCTACGTAATTTCGTTGCTGAATTTCATGAAATTGAAAAATTTGCTTCTCGAATGCGGAAATAAACACATAATCTTGATTAAAAAAATGGACCCCTTTAAAATCCGTAATTTTCCATATACTTTTACTATATTCAGAATATGCAATAATAATTTTGATTTTTTTTCCATGCATATTAAACGTTTTCTTCTACATTTCATCATTACAGGCAAGAGTCAATACATTCACATACTTTTATGAAACGATGAAAAAAATACATGACACAATCTGACATGCTTGTTTCGGTGTTTTTTGTACTTATTATCATTACCTCTGCTATGTACACAACGTAATTGCACCACAACTATATCATTCAGATATAGAGGAGGAGGTTTCATCATTAGGATATAGAATGAGAGAATGAAGCGTGTACCGTGGCGTTCTCACGTCATTACTGACGTACATCACCAGTATTTATTTTCGAGTCTTTCATCTTTTGCAGGTCACTAATCAATAAACGTACATGTATCCAAATGTTGATTTACGACTATGTTTTGATATTTTTTTATTTATTCAATGATATCACAATATGCGACTGTACAATATGATTGTTTTTTAGACTTAGAGGACGAATATAGGTTTCCAATGGCCAGCAAGTGTGTACCTTTGAAAACTAACCTAATTTAGTCTAATTTGAACTTTTATCTTAAAAAGATCAACAAAGAAAGCAGCCGTTCGACCACCGAAAGAGAAAGCGCCCGTGATTAAGAAAACGTTCTTGCATAATCGAAAGACAGACAAACGATACCGCCTCAATGGCGATAAAGATATGAGCCGAAAACCAGCAAAAGCCTGTCTAAATCGAGATTTTTCACAATATGTTGCCTACACAGCTCCACAATTGCCGAGCAAAGTCGATCTTCGACCTTGGATGACATCAATTGAAGATCAATCTGATACGAACAGTTGGTAAGTAGAACACCGTTACGTTCACATCCATACCAGCGATTTATTTGTAGTACGGCAAATGCCATGGCTGGAATCTACGAATACTTGAATTATCGAACTACTGGTCGCCTTGAAGACGTCAGTCGTCTTTTCATCTATTATAATAGTCGCATTAAGGATAATGAAGGAGATCCCGATATCACTGATGAAGGTACAAGTATTGCTACGACAATTGAAGTTGTTGAAGAGCAAGGTGTCTGTCTTGAATCACTGTGGCCATACAATATCAAGAAAGTTAATACTAAACCGCATAGTCAATGTTATGCTGCTGCTGCACCTTATGGCATTTCTGAAGCACTTGAACTGGATATTAATGTTGATGAAATGAGATCTTGTCTTGCCCAGGGATTCCCTTTTCTAGTTAGTCTCAACTTGTACAATTCATTTGACAAGGCAGGTACAAATGGAGTAGTGACTTTGCCAAAAAGCAGCGAAGTAGCTCGATCATCACATGGAAGGTAATTTTGTTTGTCTCTAATTTCAATTCTATGTTACCAGGTAAATTTATTCGTTCAGACACGCGCTTGTAGTAGCTGGTTACAGTGATCATTCGAGAGCATTTATCGTACGAAATTCATGGGGAGCTACCTGGGTAAGTTTACAGAGGTATTTTGCCCATGAAATGTGGAACGATTTTCTGTTCGTATAGGGAGACAGAGGTTACTGCTATATACCATACGATTATGTAGGAAGTAATGATTTGTGTAATGCTGCTTGGACAGTTAAAAGGCTACCCACGGAAAAATTTTTGAATAAAAACCGCGGGAATCAACGGTTTAATATATGCGGTTTTGGCCGGTAATTTTGAATCGCAAAAGTCAGACCTTTTATTAGGTTTTTCCACACCGGCTAAAATCGCGGTATGTCAAACCGCGGTTATTAACGGTTTCAACGAAAAATAATATACCATCATGATGGTACATCATTTCGGACAGGTATACTATGTTCTCAATCTATCTACCATCTTCATACGGTCATCTAGCACCTCGGTTAACTCANACCGCGACTAATTCACATCTTATCGCAATTTCTGAAATCGCAGTTTTGAACGGTATATTATGTTGCGGTAACTATTGAGGTTACCGCGGTAAATTCTTACTGCGGTGCACCGTACCGCGGTTAACTGCGGTTTATTTTAAACCTCGCGGTGTTCAATGGTGTCACCGTAGTCTCCGTCAAAAACCGCGTTTATCGGCGGTATTTATTTAAACATTTTTCCGTGGGTAGGTGTGGCAACAATGGGCAACGAGGGTTGGGATGATGAAGATGATGTTGATTATCTGGAAGATGACGATGACGATGACGATGACGATGAAGAAGATGATGATGACGAAGATGGGGATGACGAAGATGCTGATATTGAAGAAGTTGAAGAAGAAGACGAAGAAGCTGATGATGACGACGAAGAGGATGGCGATGAGGAGGAAGATGGTGAAGATGAGGATGATGAGGAGGAGGAAGATGGTGAGGATGACGACGAAGAGGAAGACGGTGAAGATGGAGATGATGATGAAGAGGAATAGAGACGCGCAGCTAAAAGAACTCAATGTTATTTCTAGACACTTTACTTTTGACTTACAGATTTGATTTATATGGATTTCTGTTGAAGTGTAACTGAAAATAAAGAATAAGCCAAACTTATATCAACACATTCTGTACGAAATTGAACTAACAAGTCTTCATAAGGGACGACCAAAGGATCAACAAAAAATAATTTAAATCAGCTATGCAAATGTAATGCGTATACCAGTACAGAGAATATGAGATAGAGGAATACACGAGTTTATCAAAAACAAAACAGACAATTCCTTCCGGTAGACTCTCCGAACAATATATAGTCTATCGATTATTTTCATCAAAAATTGAGCATATCTTATTCCGAGCATTACAAAATATCTAGAAACGTGATTTACATATGTACATTCTTCCAACATCTCTCCGAAATGTATGAATGCATGTTTTGTATTAGAAACTCCATTTAATGAAGGAAAACGTTGTCCTCATAAAAAAAAACAGAATACTTCTGGCTATGTAGCTCTTTCGTGAAGGAGAAAAACAACGAAATTTTACCTTCAATAGAAAAGATCCACGTACAATATTTTGCCCACGTGTATATTCGAAATAATAAATTAGAGGGATATAAGTTGCTCGATTGATGTAAAAAATCTAAGTATAGAGCGCATTACAGCAAGTCATGTTAGATACGTCGATATAGGTATAGTGTAATGTGCCCACAAGTGTTTCATATAATCAACAGATAGTAAGTTACGTATCGATAAAGAAAAAGGTTCGTGATATAAATGGTGCATCGCCCGTCCCAAAAACGTTAAAAGAGACGTCTGGACGAGACGCACGACTTCGCTGTTAATGCTACGATGTAATAGTTTCTATAGTGGAGTCTAGTAATTCTGCAGTATTTGTGCTAAAATTGCATGGTTCGTCCAACGTATGATCTAGATGGTGGTATTTCGTGTCTATCAACTCCTTTGTGTATTTACAGAAGACAATGATGTTCTTTTTTGTTTAGTTGAGTGTCAGCAATCTTTCTAAAAAGATATTCTCTTATCTCTGACGTTAGATTTATCTTTTTTGCTCCCAGATAAGTGAAATTCACTTTGCTTTTTCTTTTCGTCGATAACTGAAGATGGCTAGAACAGTCGGTATCGATCTGGGAACAATATCGTCATGTGTCGCAGTATTTAGCCATGAGAACGTAGAGATCATTGCTGATGAACAAGGACGTCGAACAACACCATCTTATGTCGCATTTACTGAAAGTGGACGTTTATTCGGAGATGTTGCTAAAAATCAAATGGGAATCAACTGTGGTAATACAGTTTTTGCTGTTAAACGACTCATTGGTCGTCAGTTTGATGATTCCACTGTTCAAACTGATATAAAACATTGGCCATTCAAAGTTATTAACGTTAGTGGCAAACCAGAAATTCAAGTTGAATATAAAAACGAAATCAAGTCATTTGTTCCAGAAGAAATATTAGCGATGGTATTAACGAAAATGATCGAAACAACAGAGATTCATTGTGGTAAAAAGATATATGAGGCTGTCATTACTGTTCCAGCTAGTTTTAACAGTTGGCAGCGTCAATCCATCAGAGATGCCGCTTGTATTGCTGGTCTTTGTGTACTAAATATCATCGATGAATCAACAGCCGCCGCTCTCGCCTATGGAATCAACTTCGACACTACAGATGAACGAAATGTATTGGTCTTCAATTTGGGCGGTGGTACTTTTAATGTATCGGTTTTAAAGATTGAAGAGAGAATTTTTGAGGTTAAATCAGTGGCCGGTAACTGCAAAACAAATATCTTGATGTTTTTTCGCCAACCATAAGGACTTTATTTTCAGGTGATGCACATTTAGGAGGTGAAGATTTTGTCAATCGATTAGTATCATATTTTGTTCAAGAATTCAAACACAAATACGAGAAAAATCTATCTGATGATAAGCGAGCTCTTGTGCGTCTACGCTCTGCTTGTGAACGTGCTAAAGTAATAACAAAATCATTCTAATCTGATAGTATATTAAGGATCATCAATTAACAATCTTCTAGATCACATTATCATCGTCATTGAACGCATCGGTTGAGATTGATTCATTGCATGATGGGATTGATTTTTATTCGACAATAACACGCACTCGTTTCGAGAACCTATGTGCTGATCTCTTTTGTTCAACACTTGAACCAGTTGAAAAGGCATTATGTGACGCTAAAATGGATAAAGCAAGTATTCATGACATTGTTCTAGTCGGTGGATCGGTACGCATTCCAAAAGTGCAAAACCTTCTGCAGAATTTGTTCAATGGAAAAGAATTAGTTCAGTCAATAAACCCCGATGAGGCCGCAGCCTATGGGGCACTAGGACAATTCGTCGACGGACAATTCGTCGCGGACAATTCGTCGACGGACAATTCGTCGCGGACAATTCGTCGACGGGCAATTCGTCGCCTGGACAATTCGTCGCCATCATAATATTATTAATTGGCAGCATTACATATGTAAATCAATTAATAAAAAAAGCTACACTATCACCAAAAATGTTGTTAGTGACACTAA